AGGTAGCATATGGGACTGCTGCTTAATCAAAAGTTATGTGAGGTTTCCCATCATAGCTGATCTGTTTTCTTAGCTGGTCTTTCTTTTATCTAGCTGGTTTGTCAGTACTAAAGCACTGCACATTTCAATACTAGTACTCCAGATATTGCAGTCTTTATGAAACACTCTTCAAACACACAGGAACACATTTTCAGAATTACATTGCATGCCTGCTGCACACAGCAAATGGGATCAGCGAGCAGAATGCAGGTTTCTCTGAAATGCAGGTGAATACTTTGTGTGAAACCTGTGCTTTTCCTCTTCATGTACATCTTCTGGGTTTCCTTCCTAAATTCTCTGTTGTTAGGTTTGTGGAAAAAATAGTGTTTCATGATTCTTATAGGCACAAGTGAAAATATGCATTCTCAGATACATTCTTGGTACTTCCTTTGTCCCACAGAAAATAGAGTACCTACTAAAGGTCTTCTAGTTATAAGGAATTTTTACTTTAGACAGGTAGTATGGAAGTGTTTTTAAAAAAAAATAATTTAATTTTGTTGTTGTTTTATTTCAGAGCTTTGGAATAAGAGAGTTTTTGTATGTATGTATTGAACCATCATGACATGCTTTGTTTTATAACTTTTTCAGTATATCAACTTTTTCAGTATATGTTTATTTTTTTGTTATATTTTTGCTTTTTCATTTGGTGTTTGTGGTCGCTATCTGTGAAATCTGATACCTTGTAAAACAAGGTATCAGATTTCACTGGAAGGTTACACCTATCCCAGACCTGCAAATAGAAAATACTCCAAGCTTCGTATTTTATACATTTCTTTAAATGTTAAGCAACTGAGACATTGGAAATTAAATATAAAAACACCACAGGAGCCTGTTCTTAAAGTACCACACCCTGAATTTCTGTGTCTTTAAATTACAGCTTTAACCTTCACAGGGCAGCATTATTTTTCAGCTTGCTGAAGCACAAGCAGCAAAGTAAGCCTAAAAGAAAAACATAATTGTAACATGAGAAGCAAGATCTATGAAGAATTCTGGACTCAGAGTTTTTTTTGACTACATTTGGGTCAACATTTTCAGTTTTTATTGTTATTATTATTTCAGGTAGTTGTTAGTCAAGGCACTCAAATGTGTCAGGCTGTAACTTCCTTTGATCATTTCTGTGATGCCAAGATTTGATATGGATCAAGCCCTGGAGATCCCTTGATTTCAGGAAACAGAGGCTGAAGAATGGTATTCATCATGGAAATCTCTTAACTTTTAAAACCACAATTGCTTAGAACACTTAAAAACATTTGTTTACCCTTGGATGCCCAGTTTTTCAAGTGCATAAGTACATATCAGATAATTCTCCATCTCCAGAAACATACAAATAGCAGTTGAATTTCTTGGGACCAACACAATTTCTTTTTCCGGCCTCCTGTTGAGGAGTGAATTGAATGAGAATCTACTTCAATGAAGCCCTGCAGCAGCTTGTCACATCTGCCTAACTAGTTTACTCAGTTGCACAAGATTGAAAATGGTTCTTTAGAAGTGTTCGGGGTATCTGAAATAGTGAGAACTATTTTTAATTTCTGTTATTTTTAGTTATCCTCCTATTTTGGGCAACCATATCAATCAAATTTTTCTGCTACATCAGCTGAAATTTCCCACTGAGTATTTAGCAATTTAAAGGAAAACAGGTTGATTTTCAAAGATGCTAAGCAGTTACTTTATCCAAACGATTGAATGGCGTCAATAGTTCTCATGAACTGGAGTTTTTGAAACCAAGATGCTCTTTACAAAATGAGTGCTCTAACATCAGTCACCAGTGGTTTCCAAGTTGATCCAAGCACCCTTACATGGAAATTCTGACAATTTCCAATAATACATGCAAGAGGTGGATAATCTGTGTAGATGAAGTTGATAACAGTTATAGATATTTGTTGATATAGATATCAGAGGGAGGTGGAATTAGGAGGTGAAAGAAGGCTGTGGCTCTTTTTCTGTAGGCTTTAGTTTTACCTTCTTCATATTCCCAGTGATGATAGTCACAGCAGCTGAATAACTATATGTTACTTATTATTAAGGAAAAAAATACCACATACCAAAAAGAAAACACCTGGGGAGTTGGTTGGAATCCTTCTGGTATTCCTTGCCTTCTGGTCCTGTCTCAAGACCTACACAGAGATTTTAATTGCTGGTGTTACTGTCTGTTCATCAAGTGGGCAACGCAGTCTTCTTCCCAGATCAGTTAAATATTAGAAAAAAAAAAATAATCAGTGCTATTGAAGTTCCCATTTCCTATACAGGATCTTCTGGAAGCTATGAATTGTATCTCTGGGAATGCACTGAAGTCTTTTATTTATTTATTTATTTTTTAATCCCTTCATGCTCCTCCCTCTCACAAATTGTATTTACTTACTTTTATTTCTGTTTATCCAGTGCAATTCTGTACCTTGTTTAGATAATGTAAGTAACTCATAGAAAACAGGCACTTCGCGGCAATTCAGGAGTGTTTTACTGTTTGTCAAAGTCAGTCTTTGTTAGTAACTAAATTTCAGATTTTCTGTTTATGTGGCTGCTGACACGAATATGTGGGGGATGGATGGGAGGTGTCAACTGATGAGCTGCTGTGTTTCCACATAACTGTGAGCTTCTTTCCCAGTGCTAGGGAGCAGCCCTTTATAGGAAAATTGTCTTATTCAGCTGTAGCTTACAGTCTGAGCACTCATAGAATAAGAAGCACTTATTACATGTAAATTGTAAAATTTAAACTTTTAACTTTAAGCTTTTGATTTCAAAATTTCAATCAGCTTGCTGAAGGTGGCCGTATTTTTGAGGACTGTTCTTGTCATTAACTGGTGTAATAGCTCAGTGGGCATGAGACACGGGAGTAATTTCCAGTCTGAATAAAATTTTAAGTACCAGAAATATAAAACTGCTAATTGTATAAAATATTTAATAGTAAGTATCTACAGCTTTTCTCTAAATGGTTCATTTTAAAAGCACAATGAGAGCCAGATTTTGCTACTGTGTAAATACTTTCTTATTCAGTAACTCCTCTGGAGGAGCTGGAATGATGGCAGCAGTGAGGGGAAAATTCTAGGGAAAGATATTTTCCTGGAGACATCCGCAGTGTTTTGAATTTTATCCATCCCACAAGTTGACAGCTACAAGCACCAGGCACAGAAATGCTCAAAAGAGCAGCACATTTCACAGTTCACTTTGGGGAATACTATTAATAAGTGAGTGATAAATTTACCTTCAGAGAGTAACTTTGTTTTGAAGGCTCCCAAGTGATGTTTTCATAGAGCTGGATGTCTTCCTGGAGACTTCTTGAGCATTGCTTGCAAGCAATAGCCTGTTCATTTACCACATTATGTAGTAATGGTGCCCTCAGCCTCAAGTAAATCTTATGCTTAGAATTCAGGCACTTACTGAAAAAAAAAAAAAAATAAAAAAAAAAATTAAATAATAGTTTACTGAAATGTGGTAGATTGGTATGATTTTTCTCCACTCTGAAAAACCACGTGATCACTCTACTCACTGCTCTAATCATCATCAGAGCTGAGTGCTTGGGTACTTTCATGTCCTTTTGAAGAAAAAGGAGGAAATTTGTGATCCTGCATCACACAGGTGTCTTTCCTTTTACAAAATCTGTCCCTACAGTCAAAAGGAGATGCTTGCAAGACCCTCATTCTGCTGCGATAATCAGACAGAAGTTTCAAGAAGAAACGCTAATTTGTGCTTTTGCAAGTTCTGATGTCTGGCCCAGATGTGTGAATCCATGTTTAAAACTGCAAGGTTTTCATCCAGTTCAGGGGATCCAGTACCAAGAATTACAACCAGTGAAGCTTTTCCATGTTAGCAGTTAATGTTGCATCAGAGCAATGTTCCAACAGGCCCTGCATCTACCAGAAAGGGATAGTTCAGCCTAACTTCACAGTACCCTAAAAACCAATTTGGCCCAACAATTTGAAGCATCTATTGTTCAATAGATGTTCAATCTATTGTTCAAGATTTCTGAATAATTCCAGTTCTGACATCAATTCCTCTTTTATCATTTCAAAATTCAGAAGGAGTTGGATTCTCCAGTTTGGGGCTTTTTGTTTTTCACCCTCCTGGACTCAGAATTATCTTGCTTGATATAGGACCAGCACCTCCAATAGGAACATGGGGAAAAGATTACCTAAGGACTGTGCTGGATATGGTCTGACTCTTACCAAAACAAACTGACATAATGTCAAAGACATGGTTGGCTGATCTATTTCCCTGCTGCTTCCCCTCTCCGCTGTGGCCACAAACCACTTGGGTACTTCAGAGATGCCAGACGAGAAATGGGCCCAATTAATATCAGCGAGGCTTGGACTCCTCTGTGACATTAAGCAGTTAAGCTTTCCCACATTGAGGTATCTCTTCCTGCCTTCTCAGGTCACAGGGGCAAAGTGGTGGTTCTTTACTTCCCAAGAGTACTCTTAATGATTTCTGAAGTATTTTCTGTTATTTGCAGTTGATGGCATAAATCACGTGTTGGGTAAAACATAGTCATGAATGTCGATACCTTTAATGAACTAGAAGATGAAGAGATGTAGAGGCTTATGCTTCTCTCTGTCAAATAAAATAAAATAAACTTGGTTGCATAAACATTGCTTTTATTCTGCCGAGCAGAAATATTACCATGGACACACAATTGGCTGTTAGTTGGTATCAGAAACAGAAAATAAACAGTCATCTTAATGCTGATAGATTTGTCAGTACCAGAAAAAAACAGATGGGATGGAAGAGAAAAGATTAGAAAGGGGGAAAATTTGAGTCTTCCACTTAGTAGTTAAATCTGTTCCAAAAGAAGAGAAAAGACCCATTGTGCATTTTCAGCAGAAAGTTTTGCTTTTCCTTGATGTATAAAACATCAGCTGGTTTCAGTCCAGTATCTGAATGCTTACACAATAGGACAGTTTTAATTGGTCATTTATGTTTAAATTGGCTTGAGTTATTATGTTAATTGAATTGTTTTCCCTTTGCAGGGACCTCAGGGGCCTCCAGGACAAAAGGTATAGTATAAACAACAAAACTGTGAAAGTGATTATTCCTCCTGGTGCCAAATTGTAAGCAGAAAAGGTGAATAGAATTAGCTACTGTACACCACATTGAATCCATTAGTTTAAGCTCTGAATTTTGTTTTTGCAAAATGCAACTATATAACGTGAGATGTAAGATTTCCCATTTCCACCGTCCTTGGAAGTTCAAGCAATGTAAAACAGACTCTTTTCAATCTGTCTGTTTAACATTCAGATGAATATATAAGGTCACTATAACTTTCTTATTCTTGCCCTGGTATAACTATGAAACCAAAGGTAAAATGTTGTGAAAGGTGGGGAGATAGGGTTTCTGATTAAATGCACGTCCTTACTCCAGTAGATCAGTGCCATGTGACTACAGAATCGACCAGCAGCAACAAAGCACATAGGTGTTGCTGATAAATGGTTCTTGGCTGACTGTGTTCAGGTGGTCTGCCAGTGTTTTCCTGTTCCTTGTAACCCAGGACCTGACTTCCTATGAATGCCTTTAGCATTATTTACACTCATTAAAGCTGACTGCCTCAGTTTGATGGAGTGCGCTTTGGATTTATGGAATGACATCATTAAAACAGTCCTAGATGTATCAGCAATAGCAGCTAGTAAGTGGCACCATTCCAGCATCCTCACCCACACACCACCAAAGCAGTTCATTTTCACATTGATTTCAAGAGATAAGAAGGGTTATGGAAGATATTTGATTTGGGCAGGCTTAATTTGTATTAAGGTAAAAAAAAGGAATTAGTAGTATTAACTTATGTGGCAAAGTTGTCACCTCTTTTTCTTCTGAGATAATATTCTTTAAAATGAAGGTTTGCTTGCATGCGTTAAAATGAAACTTTATGAACAAAAGAAAGGAAAGCATGGTAATATGTAAAAATGTAATAACAGAGCACATAAATCCATGGGATTTTGCCATGGATATAGCTATAAACCATACAGAGTTTGCAAGCTGAAGGAGAAGACTACTCTTCATGTTTAGCAATGCAGGAATGTGACATTGTAAAACTGTAATGATTTAGAAGTTGCCATTATACAATTATTTGTATAATTGTATGGGGGAGTGGGATTTTTTGAGCGTACAACATCAGCAAAACCAACATGCTGATGAGCTTTTGAATATATGATAAACCTTTATTGGTTAAGGGAACAATAGAATCAATTTTATTTACACTTTCTAACATCCTGTGTTTCATAAGAAGTCAGTGGCTATATGTGACTGTCACTGAGAGGAGGAATTGTTACAAGCAGGATGTTTTTTTCAGGCTGATGGTTTAATGCCATTTGTCTTATAGTTTTCTGAAAAATTATACAAAGATGTGAAAATGCTCACAAAAGGCCCCTTTGCAGTAGCTAGCAGTCATGGCCATGCATCCAGCAAATAGAGGCAACAGGAATGCCAAAGTGAAAGCTTTGGGAATAAGGGGAAAGCATTCAGGGTCATGGAAACAGGCTGAGGTGCCAGTATATTATTTTTTACTGATTTGCAGCTCTGCTGTGAGCTGAAGCCTCCAGGGCTTTCAAATGTTGGAGTTTTTTGGAGGCCTTCATGAGTTGTTTCCGTTTCTTGTTTCACAGGATTATTCCATCCATTATTTCCTCAACTCTATTTTTTTGGCAAACGTGCATCCATTTTGGCTGCATTCCCTCTGGGTGTTGGTGTCCTTCCACTAAACCATTTTTAGTGAAACCTCTAACCGATGTGAATAGAGGGGAAAACGTTGTATGCTGACTCTTGGGCCTCAGGGCCTGACAGGCCTCACAGGATGCTCATTTGTTTTATGGGTGCTGGGCAACTGTACATCTCACCGTTGACAAAATTTCTGCCTTTTCCAACCCCCTGGCCATATTTTTTTTTAGAGTACCAGCCTTTCAAGTATCTATTGCACTTTTGTAACATGTTAAGGTGCTTAGTAGTGGAAAATAAAAATTATGCTTACAGTTTCCTTGCTGAGCAACAACAATTTTATAGAAAGAAGGGAAAAAACCTGTGTAATTTCATAATTTTCCTGCTTTCCTCATGCCTTAGCTTTATACTAAACATCTGTAGCAACAGTCAGAAAAGTTCCTTCAAAAAAAAAATATTGTCCATGATACAGAAGAAGTATGAGAGCTGTGTAAAAAGATCTCTCATGTTACAAGTCAGTGATAACATTTGATTTCCCCTTTTGTCTACTCCATGTGTTTGTCCTGTTTATTTTTATTTTGTTTCATTTTATTTCATTTCATTTTATTTTATTTTATTTTAAATGATTGCAGTAATGTTGGTGCAATTTGAGAGAGTATCAGCAATTAGCACTTTTCAGGCTGAATTGTTGGAGATTATCCCTTAAAAGATTTTAAACAGATTGACCCTACCAGTTACTGAGCTAGAAGCATCCCTCCACTTCAGATGCTTTAAGCATTTGAAGCATTAAAGGTTTTGTTCAGGTGCTATGTTAGATTGTGTCAGAACAATCTCAAAATTTATTGAGTGCATTAAATGGAATTCCAATTTAATTGTTACATTTCTTGTGGAGCATCCACAACATCACAAAGTAGACACAAACTTGAGGCTTGCTTCTGAGAGGCCATACCATGGGGCAGTCATTAAAATGTACAGCGGGAGAACATGTATAAGTATAAAATGTCATCTGAAAAGAGAGCTCAGCTTGACTGAAAATTAGTTTTTGAAAAATTTGTTGCACTTTCAATATGCAAGTATTCACCATCATTTTTAAGTACTGTATTAAGAGATGAAAGGTTTCATGACCTGTTTAATTTGCTAAACGCTGGCGTCTGTTTCCCACCAGGGTTCTGTTGGAGTGCCTGGTGTTCCAGGGAGAGACGGACAAGTGGTGAGTTCGCTTGACTTTGTCAGCACTGCGGTTATTTATGTCATTGATTAAAGCTACTCAGGGCTCGCAGGGCTCCTTCACATGAGCAATATGCAGCAGTACAGCCAGAGCTCTGATTTCAAATTAGTTTATTGGAAAGGAAAGTACAATCTGATTTGTGCTTTGAAGTAATCTTTTCTAGCCTAAGTTAAACAGTCATTGAACATAATTAAGCTGAAAGTCTGACGTTTGGATTTGATGATGACTGATAGACATCCATATATGTGGTGTGTAACATTAGACAATGTTGTTACAAACTCATTTTTTTCTGCAGGTTTGTTTTTTTTGTTTGTTTGTTTTATTTTCTATTAATTCAGTCCCATGATGCAAACACTTATATGATATTGGATATTTATACGGTGCCAATGCATTTTTAATGCAAACTACAGAGAATCATGAGAGTGGAAAAGCAGGTGGAGAATAATATAAAATTATTGCCAGGGAAGAAAATGCAGAGAAATTAATTGAAAAGAAATAATCTTGAATGCAATTGGGAGGAGATGCTAAGTCAGACAAGTCGGTGTCATCTTTCAGAACCAACACCAAGTTGACTCAGTTCAGAGTGGCGCTCCATAAGGAGGGGTCGCAGTAAAGCAGCAGGGCTGTTTCACAGCATTGCTGAGGTTTGTTGGCAAAGCTGGGTGGTGAAGTTTAAATAATATCCCTCCCTGACTGTAAACAGTATTATCCATCTGTTGTTCTCATAAGCACTAACATTCACGCTGAACTTGAAAAGCACTTGCAGGGAATACCAAAAGAAAAATGTATAATATAGCTTGTTCACTGTGCTTAAAAAGCAATAGATGAGAGTGTATAAAGACCATATTATACAATCCCTTCTCCTGCCTCCCTCCTCAAGAGCCCACAGGGAAAAAGGCACTAAGATATTGTAAATAATTGAATTTAAATTGGTCTTTCCCAACAATAAAGATATATTGCTTCTGTTAACATAATATATAACCCGTATAAGACTTGCATTTTGATAGCGGCTATACGAAATGATGTAATAATGAGTTATTTCACTTTAGTGATAAGGATAATGCTATGAACCTATTATTTTAAAATTATTATGTTCAGAAAATTATGACTACTGTGGAGCAACAAAAGAAAAAAATATTTGGAATTAGCTATATATAACACACAAGCGATTATTAAAAATACCTTACAAAACAAATTTGTGTGAAGACCTGAGATTCTTCCTTGGTATTGCGTGTCTGCATTCAATTGCAACGTGAATGTTAGGAAGTAGTTGCAAACACAGCTGGCATTGTTGTACACAATTCAAGTAATTCTTGTGAGCAACGTATGGGCGCAAGACCAGTGAAGACACATTTTGTAGCATAATATTCTTTGGATATTCTGTGCAGGATGGTGAGAGAAAACTGGATAGAATAGCTCCAAACACATTGAATAGAATAGAACTGATGATTAATTTTTTATCAAAGTGTTTAACTTTTATTAGTATCATCACGTAAAGTCTGTTGAGAAATCTTTACTCACATGTGCCAAATGTCCAAAATTTATCTGGTTATTTGAGTGTCATTTTGGAAGACATGGATTTATTTATTTACTTACTTATTTGAAGGATGTATTAGGTTGTTGTACATCTGTTTTTAGGAGACCACATAGACTTAATTGCAATCATGTTTCATGGGGAAGGAAATAAATATGCAATTGCCTTCATAAAGAAAAAAGCTAATATATCTTTAAATGCTGTTTAACAATTTTAAATTGTGCTTGAAAAACAGATCCTAACGTTTTCAGTGTGTGGTTTTATGTTCATTTTATTTATTTCCATATTTATGGCATCTAAAAGATCCCTAAATTATCACCACTTTAATAAAGATGTACTTATTTAGTATAAGCCGACTAGTATATTTTTGACCTTTTTAAGAAAAAATAAATCAATTGCTAGACTAAATATAGATACTAGCACAAAAACTATACAGATACATAGTGGTCATATTCTTGTGTTGCACAATTGGTAGCTGATTTTGACTAGCAAGCATTTCATTTTGTGCAGAAAATGTATTGTTTTCATATAATACAAAGCAGACTAAAGATCAATGTCAATATCTCATCTAATAATTTGGGTTAGCTTGGTAATAATGGTAGAAATAAAGTTAAAGTGGATCAGTATTTATCTAAATCTGGTATTAGTAGGTATAGTGCAGCCTAGGACTCCCAGGCTAACATTTCTCTACCAAAATGTCGATTTTTCCTAAGTGGATGAAAAAACAGATTCTCGGTGCAGTGTTACTCACAAGATACTGTTGAACAGCTACGAGGGTAATAAGTTCAGTGTCAGACTTCCGTGTTTTCCACATTTATGTGCAGCCTTTAGAGGAGTTCACATACAATTAAAGTTGGCCTGTACTGTGAGCTGATGGCTGACACTCTTGGCTTTGCTCAGACAAATTCATGTTGATTTGCAGAACAGTTGAACTCAACTGAAATGTGTGATGCAAGTCATACCCTTTTGAGAATCTATGCGGTTAAAAGGCTTTACAAAAGTCTTACTGTCTTGTTAGCCTTTTAATCAGTGAACTCGCTCTATGCATGTGCTGTGCACGAGGTTCCAAGTTAATATTTTTTCTTAGTTAAAAAGGCAAAGAGTGCTAAGCACATGCTTAAAATTGCGTGTGTGAATGCTTTCCCCATCCAAGCACTGAAATATTTTTCAGTTGATGAATGTCAGCAGTGAATTAACTTTCCTCTCTCCTTGAGCACTTAAATAATACAACTAGGTCATCTCCATCATGTATGTGTCTGCAATTTTTCTTTTACTTTCCCTTCACCTCTTCTTTAATTGAAATAGTGGAAAATAGGAGACGATTGACAAGTCTGACCAATAGGTCTGGAAATTAGATCATAAATTCTGAGTACACTTGGAACAATTTTCTAATCCCTTAACACATGAACCACTTTTCTTAGACAATCTCTAAATATTAGAGTAAGTGTAATTTTACATAACCCACCTGTTTTTGCAGGACTGTTAACAGATCTTGTTGTAATAAAAGTAGTAGCAAAATTGTTACCATAGCTTTACACACACACACACACATATATATATTTCTTTTAGGCCAAATCCCACAAAATATTACAGTTAGTCTTGCAAGGGCATTTATAGTCTTTGTTTGTTTCTACATTTGGGAAACTGTGGCAACATTCTTCTTATCTTGTTGAAGACAGTAAATGGAAAGAAGCTGCCTAGTAATTCCTGCAGTCTGAGAGATGTTGTCACTGGGTGGACAGAAGCCTTCTGAGATAACAAGAAAAGTCCTTGTAAGCACTCCCTTTCCTCTGCAGACCATTGTGCAATTGAACTGGAGAAGGTTGCTTCCTAGCAAGATGCCTGGGGGGAGGTAACCCTCTCTTTCTTGATCCCTAGTGAGAGGTCCACAGGCATTGAAAACGGAATGAAAGACCACTAAGTAGTCATGTCAAAATATCCAAAAAGGGGTTCTTGGAAAGTTCAACTGTGCAAGTATAGGATACGTAGTGGGGTATTTGCTCAGTGGTACTGATTTGATAAGGACTCCCAGTGACTGCAGCAGCATCACAAGGAAGAAAGGTGAAGTTGGCTGAGTGAGGATTGCATTTGGTCTGAAGGAACCCAGTCTCTAGAGGCTGTGTAAGCAGCACTCTCAGCTTGAAATAGGAATTCATCTGGAGAGCATAAAGCCTCACTCACTTCTTTGCACTGTTTTTCTTACATAGTACTTGGTATTTTTATTATTTTGTAAGGATGTATTCAGAACAGAGCAGTGGTTCGGGACAAGATATTTAATCTCAAATGGTTTCAGTAGTTTGACAACAGCAGTTTCATAAACCTCAAAAGGAAGTTTCCCTTCTTGTTAGTAGACTTTGAGTCTGGTTGCACACATTTCTTACTGCTTTCTTCGTGCTTGTTATTACTCTAATTCACATGCATTTTCCCAACGATATGTAGTATACTGTGTAGGATGTGCACTTGAAAAGTGGTATTACCACATTTCTTTAGAGAAATGAAGGGTATGCATGTACTAACATTTTTTTTTTCAAATAAAGAAATATAAAAGAAGGAAATATCATTGAATGCAGTTCACAAATTCTCAGACAGGTTTGCAGGCCAGCTGAGTCCTGTTGAAGACTCTTTCCACCTAATTTCAACTGGTGAGTGGGCCAGGAGAGATTTCCAGTTCTTAAACAAACAATTTTAAGTTACTTTAGAGGGGGGTGAAAAGCAAATTGAAAGGAAATAATTCAAGCCTGGTTTGAAATGGAAATTGCAGTAACGTGTCTGAGAAACTACTTTTTTTCCTTTCTGTCCTTGTTTATGTATTTTAGAGTAAAATTAGACTGGATTAAATTTGGGGGCCTCTTGTATTTCCTTATCCTTACAACAGATTACATTCTAGTGACTGAAAAATATAGCAATACTGACAGCCTTTCTTCTCAGGGTGAGATGGATATCAACCAGCTGGTGTGGACGGAGTTATGTGTCCCACCGAAACCAAACCTATTTCAGAAGAGTGGCCTCCAGGCTGTTTTTCTGTTACAAACAAGAAAAGCTAGGGCCTCCAGCCACGTTATTTTTAGCTGTTTAATTCTGCATATAAAGGTATATGTCTCCAGGGCACAGACTGCACTAGTAAGAAGAGGTATGCTTTCAACAGCCCTGACTCCCTTAATATGGACTCTAGTGGGTGATACATTTTCAAAACAGGTCTAAAGCAGGATTTATGAGATCGTATTGACAGCTGAGCCCCAGCAGTGCTCTACACAGTTGAGTCTTGATCAAATTCAGATTCAGGTCAGTGGAGGCCTTCAGACTGCCTGCATCACCCGACTTTCTGAGGAAATTATTACACCTATTTATTGGGCAGGGTGCAGGGCATTAGTACTCAAACTAATACAGGAAAGCCAGAGCCAGTTTTTCAATGTTAATACAGTTACATAGTTAATACAAGAACAAGAGAACCAGGACTAGAACCAAGGTACTAGAAACAAGGAACAGCCTTCTTGTTATTCTTTGAGTTATCTGAAACTTCTGAATCAAACATCTGGGTTGGACGTGTTCTTCTTGGCATATTAGCATTTTGTTTGCCCTAATAACTGATATTAATTGGAAGAAAAATCCAAATATTTCTGAGCCTCAAAGCATTTTGCTGAAGATCATTCTGGAAATTATCAGGATGCTTTGAAGAGTTAATGATGTTCTCTTACATAATTTGTTTCAGTCATTCCATAACAACACAGTTTGTTAGTGCAACAGTTTTCTTTCTAATTCATTTTAATAGTGACAGTTATTTAGTTTGTTAGAGTGCTGCTGCTTTTGAGAAACCAAAGTGCCTATCAGGGTATTTGGGGTTAACTTGTGGAACTGAATTAGTGTTAATAGCAGCTTCACATCCACAGGCTGGTTTGTGTAACCTGTTAAAGCCTTTCCTGTTATTGACAACAAACACAATGTCATGCAATGTATCTGTTTGAAAATGCATCATCATTCCATTGGTGGGGACCCTGCAATTTCTCTATAGCATATAAACAACAGACACCCCCCAAAAAATAACAAACAAAACCAAAACAAAACAATAACAACAAAAACACACCACGTCTGATGCATTTTTCTGCCCTGTAAGTAGTCATCAACTAAATTACTGGAGCATTTACACTCCTGCTTTAGCTGCTTGATTTTCAGTGAGTGTAAGAACAATAGCACATTTGCTGGAAATTTTTATTTCCACCATTCTGAGACTATTTATGAATTCAGCAAGATGGATCTAAATAACTTCAGATGGTGGTAGTGAATAAATGGGGACTTAAGTGCTTACAAAGCTTCTAGTGGTAGTGGTGTCCTTTTCTGTGGTAGACAAATGTCTAGAGCATTGCCTTCTACTATTAACAGTATTTTACATTAAATTTGGGAAAAGGCACCTTTTCTAACATTTTCTAGTATTTTATAGTCTATTTGTATAGTCATGTCATGAAAACAAGACCTTTCTTTTGCTCTTTGTGCAGTAATCAAAAGTAAGAGAAAACAACTTCACGTGAAACAAAATTTAAAGGCTAAGAGCACTTCTGATGCAACATTTGTGGGTTTACCAGTTTGGCACATGATATTTTTGTATATCTGGTAGGTTTCTTTACTACTTTTACAAGTACTTGAAAACCTAAGTAGATAGTATATTCAAATAATATGGTGTTGGTACCACAGCGTCCCATTAGACTCTCTACCAGTCACAGTAGCCCCAAATTGCTGAAGCAGCATGTGTAAATATAACCATCTTAATGCCACTATTAACAGGGTTTATTCTTGCAATAAGGGAGAATTTATTTCTGTTATGGTGTATCATTGTTGTCCCATGTGATGTCCAGCGCACAGTTTCTTTGGCATGGACTAACTCAGAATCAGAACACGGCAGGGCAGAAAGAGCTAGCAGTCCATGTGGAATGAACAATTCCCTAAAATTGCATACTGAGACATGTCCAACCTGCCCACAGCATCTTCCTCACAGTCCATCTGTGTAAAAGAAGAGTTCCAAGGGGCCTATCTTCATGCAATTTCTTTGGTCCTTGCAACTCTTGTTTGAGGGAGCACTGTGGCCCTCAGTACCATTTTAATTGGGATCATGGGTTACATTTTTACATGACTGCAGAAAGCTAAGCTGTGACCTAAGCTCTGGTGTGCTATAGACAAAGTCACTCTTTAAATGGGAAAGAAAAAAAAAAAAGTTGATTTGAAAGCTAAACGGTGTGCAGAAGACAATTGTTTCTGCAGCCTAACACCTTCATTGTCAGAGCTATTAAAGAGAGACTGCAATATGAGTCAGGAAACACATTAGCCATGGCCTGGTAAATATAAAAATGTATGAGATTAAGGATCTAGTTTTATAGCTTCTGTCATCTTGCCAAGTTGAAAAGCAGTCTAATTGCAATTACTACATGAGATGGTGTTTCTGAACGTACAGTTTCCCCATGCATGCACCACTCCTTGAACAGCAGTGGAACTGTCCTCGGCCTTTTAAAAAGTAGTTCTTTTGTTAATTTCTCAAGCACTAACCTGTGGGGATGAAACATGTGTGTACTTTTTTTTTTATTTTAGATTTAATACATGTTTTGATTAAAAAAAAAAAAGGTAAATAAATGGAAGGAAAGTGATTAACCATACTTCTCAACAGAAGTATTGTAAATTATTTTCATGCCAAATACTAAAATCATCCTTACGGGACAAACATTCCTAAGATAACATTGTGTTTTAGTGTATAGCTGTGGAAGAACTACTTTCTACTAGTAAGTCTTGAATAAGTCAAGCTACTTTCCTCCAAAATGTTTGCCGTTCTTTTCCTTTGTAGATACCTCTTTAGAATTTCAATAGGAGGTCTGTCAGGAGGTTGTATTTTATTTTTGTTTTTTATTTTATTTTGAGCTTTATTAGAATAGTTAAAATATGAAGCCAGACATGCCTAAAAGACCTGAAGTATGAAAAATGGAAGCCCCCGGCACAAAGCTTGTTTTGCTGTGCGTTGGGAGTGTTTACCAGGGATATAGATATAGCTTAAGTACTATAATTTTTTATTTCATCTTACTGCTCCCTGCTTCCTTGTATTGATTTACAAGAAAATCAGGTTCTAAAGCAGTGAAAGGGATATTATGGGCATAACAGAAAATGATTTTATACTAGCCCCCTGTGCTTCTGGCCTTTAGAAACTGAAGGATAATCACTTCAAAAGCATAAAAGCACAAGGTCATCTCTGGACTGGCCTTGTAGGTTTGTCTTCAATCTTTGCCCTTCCCAGAGCCAATGTCTGGCTGGTACTTCCAGAGTTAGAAACATGCAGTGTGTTGGCCATAGGAAAGTCACTAGTGGGCTAGAGACAAAACTGGAGTGAATAGGGATTTACTAGGACTGGGTAACAGCTGGAGGTTTTCATTTGTTTTTCCAAAGTAAGATAACTCTTTTGTCCAATTTCTAGCATCCCTTTTTGTTGCTTTCATACCAGTAGCTCTCTGCATTTATAACTCAGATTTGTAAACTTGGGAGGAAAGTGCAATCTTGGGATATCAGCCCTTTGATTAGTGACTTAAGCCCCTTAAAGTGTCAGCCAACTGCAGCTGTTTTAAAATGAAGGAGACAGAAGCAAACTTGTTGGGGTGTGGGATGAGGAGAAACAAGTGCATATCCATTGGTCCCTTCTGCTTCATTTTGTCAACTGGCAGTTTTCTTCAAGTGCTTTTTAGGTCAATCCCTTGGAACACTTATGCCTAATCTCCAACAGCTTCAAATCCTTACCACTCATATATCAAATGCCTGTGCTACTATATCAGCCTAAAAGCTACTGTAGTACAAAGGAGCCTTGAAAAAAGGGCTGACTCAAATAGCTATGTAATTCCCCAGGGGTTTAATAGCACCTAGCACTTTTTTTTTCTCTGGTGAGGAAAATACCTCACTGGAATTTTGCAAGAACCTCAACACTCTTGTTTTATATTTCAAAATAGTCCAACACTTAGTGACATTATTGTATTTTATGTTCCTTTACCTAATTTTAAAATAGAATGGAACCTTCTTCCTTGGAGAACCAAAGAAGGCTTTTATGGAGGATTGGAAAATATTTCTTGTTGCACTTGGAACAAGCCCTTATCTTAACTCTTTTGTAACTTGTGAGAAGAGAGTTGGTTTGTCATGTGTTAGCTCAAGTCCTGTATGAAAATTTCAGCTGAGTTTCTGATAAGAATTATTCTTTCTAATTTGATTATCATGCTGACTATTGTATTTAACTTCTAAGCATTTTATACATTTACATAGCAAAAGACTTACAGAAAAACCTAGCTGAAGGCTTTTTCTGATATTCTTTTGGATGCTACTTTAACATTCTTTGCCACCCCAGAAGTGCAATGTGTTTGTGTAGCTGAGGGTTACAAAAGAATAGGCATGGTTCTTGAGAAACTGAGGAATACTTCTGCAGAAGTTTTCACTCAGCCATCAACCCTAGTTGCTTAACAATGAAGTCCAACCATTGCTTTATCACATCACATAAAATAAATAATACTCTTTTTTTTTTTTTTCATAAATCTGGGAAATGAACACCAGAAAATGTCATAAAGGTTTTTTTGTTGATGGTATTTTTGTGTTGTTTTTGTTTGTTTGTTTTTGGTGTGTGTTTTTTTTTATGGTTTTTTAACTTTGGGGGAAAAAGAAATTTGCAAGTAGTTGTCATTTGTTGATGGACTTTTGAAAGTGACTCGTGACACCTTGAACTGTGGAAGAATTTATATGCTATCTGTTAAATGTCCCCAAAATTTGGATCATTGATGTTATGCTAAATTTTTTAACAATCTTTTAAATTTAATTTTCAGCCAATGGTACTAGAGTATGTAAAATGGACAAGGAAGGTATATTAAAAAAAAAAAAAAAAGTGTTATCTATTCTTCCAAATTCTTCCATTTCTAGAAATAACCTTTCTCATTTTTCATCGCTATCTGCCTTTCTTATGAGACCAGAAGCACAAATGTCAAAGCCATTTAAGATAAGCCTTTCTTGCAGTTATTTCTAAATTGGAGAGAAGAGAGAAACATTGCTAGTCTTTCTGGAGGGAATGTGCTTTTAAGGTTAATTGGACAGCTTTTCAGAATCAAAAGTTTCAGTTCTTTTTTCTGTTTAGTTTCACACCTTTGTATTTCCACCACTTCCCGTAGAATTATTTCTTATCTATACAGGAACTTGAATTTGAGTTAGTCCACTCTAACCGAGGAAATAGTGCATATTAGTACCTGTTTGTGGAGTACATATTCAGGCTGAGCAATCTTAAATTTTATTTATCATGACTTACCTAATGTGAGACAGTTTGTGAAACAATGTTAATATACTTCATTATGTCTTTCTTAACTACATTTTTTATTTTCTTTGCATTTAGGGTGAACCTGGTTTGCCTGGTGTAGCAGGAGAGAAGGGAGCAGCAGGACTTAAGGTTAGTATTGAAAATGGATTAGAAAAAAAAAGCACACGGTACGTGAGTGCATATAGATTACAGTCATGCTTCCCAACTTGTGTTTATATTCTGACTGGATTTTAATGATCTGCTCACTCCAGTGATCTGTGCTGTAAGAGGCTTTACACATTTCACCATAAAGAAGCATTATCTTCTGCTGTGCATGTATAATTCCAGTCAGTGGCACTGACGCATATGCATCCATTGCCAAGTGAATGTGCCTGCAAGTGTTTGGGAATTTGGGGACCTTTTCAGAAGGGCTTTGTTTATGCTCCTTACAATGTGTCTCAGGCTTCTTTTCAAGAGCTACTGTGGTCAATTCTTTGATGAATGTCAGAGTTAAGTCTTGAGCCCTGATCCTGCTATTATGGAAGTTAGCAACAAACCGCATTAGGAACACGTCTGGGCCTGTATTTGCTGCATCAAAATCTCTCTTTGCATTTATGTTATTGTTAAATGATTTTTTTTCCTGCTCTTTTAATATTGAACTAGTGAAATAGAACATAAAGCTTATGATAACTTTGTTTAAAAGAAAGCTCAACATGTCCAACACAATGCGATCTGCGGGCCTCCTGGAATGGGTAATGCTAAATTCTAATCCCATCAGCTGCGAGCGTGCATCTTTGGGGCACATGTGCTCCTCAGCTGATTCTGTGCATCACACTGCTGCTGACGGACACTCAGGGCAGGCTTTTTACATTTACTGACTGGCTGCTTGTCCATCAGGGATGAAAACAAACCATTAGGGAGCATGACCTTTTCTTACTTTGTATACAGAAGAAGCCAAATTGTGGCGGTTGATGCTTAATTCATATTCACAGCTGTAATCTTTGAGTTGCCTAGCGACCACCAGCTATCAGAAGGGGCAAAGATGAGGCAGAGTGCACTTCTGAGCCAAAATCACAGAGATGAGCTGTCAGGGTCATGCTCAGTGTGCAAAAGTGCGTTTGCCATTGAGCCAGTTTCTCAAGCAAGTTATAATTAAAAATAAAGGCTATAAGCCATCTTTTTGTTACACAGAATGTCAGGAGCAATAAAGACTCATTGCTTTGAATCAATTATGAATTATATCGAGACACTTAAGGCTTTCTGTTTCTCACATGGAGCCTTCTAAGCCATTACTAGAATCATAAGACTTTTCCCTCACATTCAACCTTTGGATTTTTCCTTCATTTATTCCCAGTATAAGGAGATCTACATGCAGAAGTCATTTCTGTCACAATAGGCCATCCCACAAACATATATGCCTGTTTGTCAGGGTTTAATCTAGAACAAAGGAGGAAGAAAACTTAAAAAAAAAAAAAAATATAAAATAATAATAATAATAATAAAAAAATCATGCAAAAAAAAAATCTTTTAAAATTATGTCAAAAATGTATTGTCTGTTGAGTTCTACTAAATTGACTTATTGTTTATAGAAGATTTATTTGGATTTTGTCATTTGAAACAGTGTCATCAATAGCGACATAACAATAATATTAACATTTCAAATTTTGCTCATGTTAGTAACTTATGACTTCTCTGCTCCACTTACTTCAATCAGGGTGACCCTGGAGAGAGAGGAGAAAAGGTAAGGCATATTTTTGCTTCTTTTGTTGTTATGTTTTTTGAGGACCGTCACTGCACAGTTTCTGAGTTTACAAAAAATGAATGCAGCTACAGCCTACATCTTGAGACTCATTGTGCAGCTTTTTACTAATACAAGTTACTCCTTCTGGGAATACTGTGGTGGGATTCCTCATGGAGAGCAGTGGTCATGTGTTAAAGGCTGCACTGTTGAGCAACACTGCACCTAACCATTACTGTTAGCATCAGAAGAAGATGAGTTTGTTAGAATAAATGCAAATGCCAAACATTACTTGTAACTTGGTTTTGATGCTCTGTTACCTGTGGGGAGTAAAACAATTAGGTAACAGAGTGATAATTACACAGACTCCACAAGACATATGGCCATGCAGAGAGGAGACAAGCTCCATGCTGCAAAATGTGAGTGCAATTCTCCCCTTTCAGGTGAAGTTGCTGGTAGGAGCACCCATGTTAGAGTAAATGCTGAGTGTGAGTCAAGCCTCTGCATCTCTGCAAGGACAGTCTGAGAAACGCTGTAAGCCTTGTTTTGAGCAGGAATCTGCACACAGGCTCAACTCCTGTCAGTAAACTGATGCATGCTTTTTTAAAAAGGAAGCTGCTTGTACTCAGGTGCTATTTGCTCTTGAGAAATGCTTGCCTATACAGCTTCAATTTGCAGCTGCAATTAAATTTCACTTTCAGATCTGTGTAAATCCATGTAGTAGCAGCTGCAAGCATGCTTTGAAAAGGCAATTCACATACTCACAAGAATATCATAGAATTAATCCAGGGAAGTCTTGAAAGTGTATACCCCACGTGTAGAAGTATATAATTGGGAATCTCTTCATGAAATCATTACTTTTTGTTAAAATTGTGTTTTTAGGGGAACTCCAGGGATCCTTTGTTTGCTTTCAGTTACAAAGGGAATATAACAACAAATTCTAACATATTCTGGATTTCTGTTACTTACAATCATTGTTTCCCTGTAGTCATCTATTGTCTTTCCCTAAAAAAAATGTAACTGTAAATGTCCTCTATGTGCTTTATCGTGTCAAATGGACTTGGAATATCATTCCTAGCAGTAACTATTGCATGTTTCATCATGCCCTTAATTAGAGAGTTGCTTGACTGTTAGCTAGCTCCCCTTGTGTTAGTGACTGTGGTATACAAAACTTTCTCTGTTACAAGTCCTCTGAATGGAATTTTACATTAAGGTTTTCAGAGCAATATGACAGGTGTTGAATTAGTATTGTTATTTGAATATTACTACTGATTATCTGACAAAGACCTAGAGGAATGTTTTTAGCATATTTAGAGTCAATATTTATCAATACTTTTGGCATTTAAAATGTTTCTTGCACTCAAGTCCCACAGACATTTATGGCCTAGATCTTCACATATAGCAGACCTTTTCATGTACTCTGGTCTTACTATATGGCTGAATTAAAAATAAAGAGTATTCTTATAGATAAAAATGTTGAAGTGTTTCTTTAAAAAGTTGTTTTTAAAACAGGGAATGTCTACCCAGCCATCAAGAATTTGTCTGAATATCATTTTTTTAATAATAAACAATATATAGAATTTGTGTAGAGATAACCACCATTTTGGTGGCTATTTGAAGGAGTGGAATTAGAAGTTTTTCTGGTTCATGAATCATTTATGGAAGTACTTCAAACTCAGAGTTTATACCATACATCACTTGAGAATCCTAACACTAAGTAATTGGGTAACTGTGAACTGAATTTGATAAGGTATGTTTAGGTGAGTGTCTCTGTTGGGAAAAAAATATACACTGGTAATTCAAAATGCTGAACCATGATGAATTGGGCAAGTCTGTCGGCTATACCAACAGAAAGATAGTTATTTGAAAGTTTATGTGTTTCTAAGAATCTGTGAAAGGTTTATAGAGAAGACTATATTCAAGCAACAGATGTAGCAGCTATAAAACCCACACTTCCTGACCATGTCATAGAGATTGACTACCTGATTAACAGAATTAGCTTCCTAATCATGGTTGAATGCTGCCTCCTCTCTGCATGCTGTGTGCTTACATAAAATCATTAATAAAATACATGTGTTTTAATTATAGGGTGATGCTGGAGAAAATGGACCAAAGGGTGACACAGGAGAAAAGGTATACTTTGTATCGATAGAGAATAAAATGTGGTGTTGGCATGCTTAAGTCTAAACAACTAATGAAAATAATAATTTGATCAAAAGGAAAATGCATTTTAAACTTTCTCGTAAATATGTTGAACATCTGACTGGGTTCATTCTTATGAACTGCAGAAAAAAGGTCACTGTTCTGTCCAACTAAGTACAAAATTCCTGACTTTATGCAGAAGCAGCTTTAGTACAGAATATATCAGCATCAGGACTCCTCTTAGCTGATGTGTGCAATGTACAGAAACTTTGGACACAACCTGGAAGACTGTTGGTATTGTGTCTGGTAAATTACATCCATTTCAGATATATCCTAGCTGTTCACATTTCCCACTCTCAGTTACCTGTGAAGAAAGGGACTAAACCAATATGGTATTATCGTAGCTAACTTCCTTCCAAGCAACCAGCTGGACAAATGAGAGCTGAATATAGAAACTACATTTTATATTTTTTTAACGGGTGATATCAGCAATAATGTCACTTAATACCTTAGTTCACTGCTGCAAAGTACCAACAGGTAGTAGCCACTGTAGAGTAGAAGTTGTTAAAATTATATTTTATTTATTATTTTTTTTTGCTTTATTTTATGTGAGGCTCATTCTGTATCTCTACACAAAAGATCAAAATTGAACTTGAGTTTTTAAATGTGTTTTATATATACAAGTCAAGAGTCTTTATTTTAGCAGTCAGAACAAAGCCTGTGGAGCACAGAAAGAAGGGTCTGCCGTAATGGTCTCCTCTAGCCAAATTTATGATGTATTCTTATCTATTTATGATGTATTCTTTTGAGTATAATGAGTTTTGTATAATGCTTATTACCACTAGTTTGGAACTCATATGCTTCTAAAAACATTCAGTTCACCCTATACTTGGGCAGAAGCACAAAAATTTATTGTGTCCTTCTCATTCTCCCCTGCCCCCCATGTTTAATTGCATAACCAACTCAGATCAGAGTGTACTGCAAGGAGATGTTTATGATAGATTTATCAAAATGCTGGTAAGGAATGCATGCAAATCTCTCAGGCCCTATAATTTGGAAACAGTATTCATGAACACAAAGATATTATAGGGCATATTCTAAAATCAGATCTTAAAAATAGTCATTAGGTTTAAGAATAGCCAAGGTCTTTCATTTCAAGAGTTCATTTAAATAATACTTCATTTGCAGTCCTGTTTATTAGTCCAGATTAAAATCTCAAAAACCTTATTTAGTTACATACACAGGGTATTCCAATGAAGTCTTCTTAATCTACTTTTATGAGATTAAAGAGCATAATCTCTAGGCAAATATGAGATTTTTATTCAGACATAGTCTGGCAGCAAGTAAACAGGAAGTTTATAATCAACCTGGGCAGTCGAGTGTAGCTTTCTTTGTTGCTTTGCTATTTTATCAACTGTGAGAGTAAGCCTGTATCCATTAGTACGCCTGTGATGCACTGTGGTCAGCAGTGCATGCATCTCCTTGCTTGGGACCTTGTTTAATGAAAAGAAAAAAAAATATGTCTCCCTCTTCTAGTGGGAGATCTTTTCTTCATGAGTATAGTTTTTTGTAACATTTCTGTATTTAATCAGTTTGGGATCAACTTGTGGAAAGTGTAGGTCATGAGGAGATTTCTTATACTTCTGTATCTAAAGAAATTTCAATATATTTGTAGGACTTCACAATACAGAAGTCTCCCATCTCCTCAAGCTTTTTTTTATAAGTTTCAGAGGTGGTGTGGTGACATGGAAATACATGTACATGCTGTTTGCATGGAGTGCATTGCTCTAATAGTGGTGGGCTGGCATTCACTGCATGAATTCTTAGGACAGAATACGCAAAACTGAGGCTTAGTTAACCTTTTTTTTTTCTTTTTTTTTTTTCTCCCCATTTTCCTTGCCTGCTACGCAAAGTGCCACTCAAAAAAATATCCAGATCTTGTAGGAGAGCTGCAGCTTAATGTTTCCAAAAGATATCTCTGCAGACAGCACTTTGCTTGGGAGCTTAGAAGGATGTATTTTGACAGATAATATAGGAACAAAAATTAAACATGGTGTCATTACATTACATTTGCACTGCTTAGCAAGGATTGTGTTCTTTCCTGCTGTTCATCATAGGGGAAAGATTTTGCTACATGATCATTGAATATAATTCAGGCATGAATTTGCCTAGCAATTATTAATCATGCTAGTGATAGAGGAACTAAGAATGTCTATTACAGCCACATTTAATTAATATGTTCACAAAGCCTTGTTTTGTTTTTTTTTCCCTGCATATCTTTTTCTTACTTGTTTGCACTTTTTTCAGTTGCCATGATCATCTCAAAGAGTTACATTTACTGGACTGTTCTGCTATAATGCAGAGCATCAGAGTAGCACAGTGGCATTCCCTTTGTGTTTCCTCTGGCTATTTTCTACTGGGGCAAGAGCTTAACATAGAAAACCGTACTTTTTTGTTGTCTTAAAAGAAGCAGATGGAATCAAGTCCCAGCAAATTTCACAGCCCAGCCTTATTAACGCATTATGGCTTACACATGTCTTCTGATATATTTTTTCCCTACTACACAACTTATGCCTTGTATTTGGGTATCTCTGAAATGTCTGGGGCATGTGTTACATTATGGGACTTCACTACCAGATGAAAATTGACAGTTTTTGCCAGCTGAACACCTGCAGAGAGGAGTTCATGACTTACTAAGTATCCATTCATAAATAAACTTTTTAAGAGAACTACTGGAGGTATTGCTTCAGAGATGAGATAAGGCTAGTACTGGTTCAGTTCTCAGCTGTTCAACCACTTACATGTATGTGCCCTCCTTGGTCAGTAAACAAGACATTTTATATAAGTAAATGCAGAGTCTATTACACTAAATTATCATGCCACATGTTTAAGAGATTTAATTCATAGAAACGTAAAAGCATTTCTTTAAAATATTAAGTGATGTTTCTGTGAATATTTAAATATTCACACTAAATATTTAGTTAGCATGGTGAGAGAGGTCAGGTGGCAACAGTTTCAGACTTGGTTTTAGGAATTGGCTCCTATTTGTGCAATTAGTATAAGTTTTCTTTCTACCCAGTAGATCTCAGAAACACAGGCTTGGGTACATACTTCTTGACCTGTGATTTAAAAAGGAAACCGACTTCGCTGAGTAGTCCTACTTTGAAGACAGTGCCAATGCCAGACTTGAGTTCTTATTCCTGCTTTTCTATTGTAGCCTTGGCTTCTGGAAATTACCAAGTATCTTTCTTGTGTGTGCGTGTTCCCCTGCTAAAGTTTCTTCATTTCTAAGCTGTCTGACTCATCAGAGAACTGAGAACATGCTGTGCCGTATATTTTTCTTTAATCCCATATTAATTTTCATTCTTATGTGAAGGTGGATTATAAATACTTTATAAATACTCTTATCTCCCCCATATCCATCATTATCCTTTAAAATGTTTAACTTGTGAATGTCTCTTACCAGTTGCTTTGCCAGTTTATAGCTATAAAAAGTCCTTGAAGCTTTGCAGTTGTACATGCTTGTAAGGGATATCAGCTGTATCACTCATGCATGTCTGTCAAGATGAGGCAGCTCAGGTTTCCAGACATGAATCAACCCTTCATAAAACTGACTTTTTATTTTTTTTTCTTCACACATGAGAGCACTGTGGTAACTGTGTAGAGGAAATCTATTTTTCTTCTTCAAAAAGTAGTGAACATGTTACATGGTGCCATTTAATTTTATTACACTGTTCATATATATATATATATATATATACCTAAAACAAATTTTAAACTATGGCATTCCCAAAATGCTTCCTCCAGCTTCACTGAACCACCAGGAATAGATACTCTGCTTAAACATCTTCAAAGTGGATTACACTACTGGCTCCTGTACTACCTATGTAAATCACCAACAGGCTGTTGAGGAGCTTGCAGTTGCTGCTGTGTAGCAACCTGTTATTTTCAATGAACAATCCCAATTTATTTTGAGTAACAAATAGTGAGGCAGTTCTTCCAATAAAAGCACTCTAGCCATCTTCAACAGCCTGTATTTTGACTAGCAAATTTTTTCCTTAGTTTAGCTTTTTCCATATTTTTGGCATGCCGTTTAAGAAAAAAAAAATGCAGCAAATGTGTACACAATAATTTTAAAGATCCTGCAGCAGTTACACAAAATGAACTGGGAGCTAAAATCTTCCCTACTGGGTCACTTGCCAATTCTCTGACCGTGTGTGTATCACTGCCTATCAAGTCCAATAACACAGGAGAACTCTTTTTGAATGCAAGATGTTTCTTCAGAACAAATTTTTTTTTCCTGAATTCAGTAAATTACTGTAGCTATCTTATCCTGTAATGTACAACACTTAACTGCATTGAATTATCAGTTTAAATAGGCTGAGGAGCTGTGGAAATTAAGCTATGACCTGTCCTGATGGTCACTGTTTTTTCAAGGCTTACCTTCATTAGCACAAAAAGCTTTGTCAGTCGAGACCTGATACTTGCCGTCTGCAGAACCAGGTCAAAAAGATCACTTATACGCTTTGTAAATGGCAGTAAATGATTTTTAATGTATACCAGCAATTTAGAAATGCCAAACTATGTTCCATCTCCTGGCTTTATGAAGCACATTTATACAAAATCTGCAATTATTGCATCTACATTACTGGGTGTGAAATTTGAGGTTAATTATTGTGCTGTTTGAAACTAACTCTGTCCAAATGTTCTTTAAAATAATACTGCTTCTTTTCTGAATCATTTTGATTTAATTTCAATGGATAAATTTCTATGTAGCATCACAGAAAACTGGTACTCTTGCTATACAGTTATTTTGCTACATAATCTTGCTATAACCTTGCATATTTTGCTGTATCTCTTTCCTTAAAAAAAAAAAATGTATAAGTAATAAGTATGATTGTTTCTTGTGGATTTTCTGTCAGGGTGACCCTGGTTCATCTGCTGCAGGAATTAAGGTAATTTAATGTTTAAAGCAGTTGCACGGGAAGAAGAGGGGTGGCTGGTCTGTGTTACTTTGTACTGTCACAACTGTTTCAGGTACCATTAATGTTATGATTTTCCCCAACCTTATTTTTAATTCATTTTGTCAGATTTCATGCCTTTCATCTCTTTTCTTTTAGGGTGAACCTGGTGAATCTGGGCGACCTGGACAAAAGGTATAAGTTGGAAATTCTTGTGTCTTTTTTTCTTCACTGTCAGATTTGTGATAAAACTTGTTATGCAGATGTTACCAGTGACATTTACCTCTACTAGGATAATCCCAAGGCTTTACAATTTAACAGCCCAAGACTTGTACAGTTGTTTTTTTATATGGTCATTTTGTATTTTAAAAAGCACAGGAATGATACTAATTAGCATGAAAGGCAATATTAGAATAACCCACTTCCTCTTCTAGTGACAGAGCACTTCTTGTGTTTAAAGCTTACGCAATTGCAGCTGGTGAGACTAACAAAGAATGGCTCTGCTACTTGAATGATCACAAGTTAACCTTGCATGTTTGACTGAATATTAACCTTCAGATTATGGGACATTATTACATCTCATTAGGAAGAAAATAAATGCTGACTAGAATCCCTTTTCCATGTACTTGTAAGAGGAATCAAACTATCAGAGATATGCAATGGCTAATGCTGCTTCATTCTTCCTTCCTGAGGAAGAAATTCCCCTGGGTGCCATGTAGCCAAGGCTGGTTATTTTATTTTATTTTATTTTATTTTATTTTATTTTATTTTATTTTATTTTATTTTATTTTATTTTATTTTATTTTATTTTATTTTATTTTATTTTAATTTATTTTAATTTTATTTTATTTTTTTGCAAGTAAAGATCCAGCAGGAGCTGTATTGACTCTGTGCTGCATGAGGCCCTATGAAGCTGGGGACTTTCCCCTTTGAATCCACAGTCCATCAAACATAGTGAATGCTGTGCCTTCGGCTGCCTTTCAGGAGAGTAGGAGGCAGGTCCTGCTGGGAGAAATGGTGAAAGGGCAAAGAGAAGAGACAATGAGGGAACCAGATTTTTGCTTTGCAGTACTTGTTTCCCTCTGGAGCCTTCAGCACCGTTCTTGTGTCTTATAACTGAAAATCACCCACTGCTGCCAGAGTGGAGCAAAGCCCAGCTGAAGGTTGAGTGAGCAGGTATTCCAGCCAGCCAGCCAGCCAAGAGCTAAAATTCTATATGGTGAATGACAGTACAGCTGTTTCTAATACTCAGGGCCTTTACGTGACTAAGCAAAACCCCTGAACATACATTAATGTAAAATGAGAAGTAGAGTCTTTTTGTTTGAGAAATATTAATTGGCATCAATTATAACAGACTAAACAAAGACTATTATGGTTGCAAATGCAGTTCTTTAGTAAAATGCAGTTTTAATTAGAGAAAGTAATCATACTAGTTTAAAGCTATCTAATCTGTGGAATCATTAAGCGTGTGCATTCTGCACTGTGTGCTCTGCTTGGGTAATAAACTAGAAAATGCACTTAAGAGCCTGTTGAGATTCATCTTCTCATTAGCTGGCTGCCATGGAGGCAAAAGCAGCAGTGATTTATCAGCAGCCTCCTGCATCTCAGTCCCCAGGCACTCAGGTTTGATCTCGTTTATGTAATATAGATAAGTGAGAGGCATGCAGTTCAGACTTTGTATAGTCTCAGCTTGTTGTTCGCACCAAAGGGGGCTTAATGCATTCTTTCCACATCACCTCACAAACTCCCAATATGCCACCTCCCCGTGCCCAGCCAGGGAGCTCCCATAATACACAGCAGCTCCCATAATACGCTCACTCAGAGTGCCTCGTCCAGCCAGGTGTCCCACATCTGCCATCCTGCCCCTGTTCAGCAGGAACTTGCTCACCCCACCAGAGGCTGGGGATAGCCCTTTCTCAAACAGACGTATGTCTATGCCCCCTACATCGCCTCTCTTCTTTACCCCCTACCGTGCTCCATTCCTATTTCCTTCCTGGATCTTCCTTCTTTATATATTACTTCTTCCTCTTCTTCCAGTTACTCCTTATCCATCTTCTAAGAACAGATATATATTGAGCTGTCCACCTGAACATTATTTACATGAGATGAGGTGTGATGGTGTTTGAATGGCCTGACAAGGCTGTTGTGTGCCATATGTTGTATTGCAGAGGCGATAGAACAACCTGCCCTGCCAACCCTAACATTATGAGGTGGAGTTAGTGTACAGCCTCTGCTTCTTCAAATATCATTGTTCTCTTTAATCATACTCACATATTTTGTATTATGAAAGGTCCAGAAAAGAAAATGTTATGAATCATCTACGATACTAATTTTAATGAAGCGTTAATGGTTTAATTGTTCTACATTCTTTCCATCTTTGAGGGGCATCTTAATTGGTTTAGAGTACTGTGAAGTTGAAGTGGCCTTGCTGGATCCTCTCTGCTTGTTACATGTGGTTCCCTAGGGGTTAGCTCTGTCCCAAGACTAAACAGTGAGCTACTGCAGCAATATTAATAGATTTATCAGTTCTAATTATTCAAATGCTGAGCTTAGAAGTGAAACTTAGTGCTTCACAGTTGGATGAGGGTAGGGCATGTTAGCTGTGTGACATGTATGGCTACTCAGGTAAGAAAGTGAAAGATGAAGAGAGGTTTTGTAGCTAGCATTTTGTCAGGATTGAGTGTAATGGAGACTGTTTAATGGATTATTCTTTTGCAAGAGTGACAACCCATTTCCTGCTTTAGGAAGTGCTAGGCAATAAACCAAGAGCTAGAGTCCACTCTTTCATCTCGTTTTATAGTTAATATTTTCAGACTGGATTCTTCCCTGTGCTTTTAGGCATTATGAATAGTTAAAATGTTGGAGTGACTGAAATGGACAAAGAAGCTGTTATCAGATCCAGCTATAACATGTAAAAATTACTCCATTTGGTAAAACAATTTGCAGACCCTCTATTGTGTTTTTCAGCAGTGTTTTTGTGGCAGAATGTAATTTTATTATTAGTGCTTCAAGTCTGGTTAATATTATTGCCTCAAAGTGTTTTGGGGTACTGTAGCCTGAGGAACATCTGTATGCATGTGGGGTTTTTTTTGAGTATATACGTGCATACATACCTGTATAGATGAGTGAATACATGGAAGTATATATGTATGTGTATACACACATACAAAATGTTTTAATAGCAAAATCTGTATGAATCAGCCCAAACCACAGAGCAGAAATCTGGATTTCTGTAAAGCTCAAGAGTGTACAAAATCTGGAATATAGTTCAACTTGTTATAAAGGTAAAAGTTGGCTTCAGAGTTCAGACATGAGCTTCTAGAAAGTTCAGGGAATATTGAGATCCAACGTGCTGGTTTGAATCCACATGTGTAATAAAATAAAGTCTACAGCCTTTAAAATAATGTTTTCTTCACATGTTATTGCTATCTTTTTTGTTGTTGTTCATCATTTTTATTTCCCTAGACAACATCTTTCTATTTAGCTGATACCTCAAAATCCCCATGTGTGAGAATGTTGTAGTAAGCTTTCTTGTCTTAGACTAATATCAACTTCATTTCAAAATAAATGCATTCAGCTTTCTATTCTTGTTAACAATTTACCCTTGCAAATGTTGTATTATAGGTCATTTTATTGCAATTTTAAATAAGTAAGGCATTTCTGGGTAAAGCTGTAGAAGGTTATATTCCTGCTATCCTTCATGACACCATATATATTCAGAGATAAATACCAAGCACTGAAATGATGCAGCAGATAGGTCTATAAAAATGATGGTGCAGTTGTAATTAGGCAGTCCTGCTTGAATTGCACAATTTAAACCTGAATTACTTTCTAGATAAATCAGATAGTTATGCAGCACAATATCTATCTCAGAGTCGAAAATGGAACAGAATAAAGCATCTGTTGTAAGTATGGAACTTAAATGGCAGTGTGTAAAATAAGCCAGTGCTGCTTGTTTTCCTCTCCTTTGGTGAAGGCTAAAGAGAATTCATTTTTGTGTGTGAGGTTTTTTTTGGGGGGGATTTTTTTTTCTGACATGGATTTTAGATGTGGGTGTCGTCATAGCATCAGAGGTTCCCAGAAGATATTTGTGTTCCTTAATGTATATTAGGACAGTCACATTAAATCACTCATTTTGAAAATATCAGAATATCAGCCCTGCCTGAAATGACTAGCTGTCATCTATGCTCTTTTATCTTGCTGCAGAATATACAGAGGCGTTTGCTGGATAGTGACCATAACTAAATAATGTCTGTAATATTATGCAATTTTCCTGTGTAGGGTGAACCAGGTCTTCCTGGGCTTCCTGGACTCCCTGGGATAAAGGTAAATAAACTGTAGTCTCTGTTGTATTTAGGGGTCATCACAAAGAGGGGCGGGACTGCAAGGATTTTGTTAAAGTGAACTTATTGTGCTTGTACTGTTGTCACCTTCTGAGTCTCTGGTATTGAACTGAGGATTGTCACAGGCAGGTTTTGCACTGAATAATGGTTTAAGGAATCAAACGATATCTTATATTAAAATGTGAAGTAGACCATTGCCCATCTAGGAAATAAAGATTCCACTGCTTAAATATATATATATATATATATACACACATATAAACATATATATATATATAATAGCTTTTATATTTCTGTACAATGGAAGAGACTTGTTATTTGTGACATTGTCATTGTCACAAAGTTTTACTCGGTTTCCATTTTGATGGGTACTTTCCTGTAGCAGTAGACTTACTGAATTTACTAAGCCTCCAGCCAGAAAACTGCATTCATTACACACAGGCTGTAGAGAACTGACTCTGTCAACAAGAATACTCTGTGCTCCGTTACACAGTAGTGATCTCCACTGACAAGTCAAAATGTTTTAATAAGATTCTATTCAGTATTAGCTACAGACCCTGACGTAATACATGGTTTAGCTCCTGGCTTCCAGTTTGTCTGGGATCTTTAGGTAAGTTGATCCAAAAGACGTGGTTGATTTAGCTCTAGCATAAGTGGTTGCACAGGGAGTTGCAGACACTTGCACAGTTTGAACTGTAAACCCATAATGCTGCACGAAGTGACTGGATTTACATCTTGAGTGAGTGCTTGTTAGATTGGTTGTTTCTCCTTTGTGGTAAAGATTCTTCTTTCAGAGAAGAAAATCTCTGAAATTTTCTCTTTGCATTCCAGCGTGGGCTTGTGCATACCTCAGTAGGTAGTTTAGAACAATTCTCCAGTAAAAAGGGGGATAAACCAAAGGCCAAGCTCTTGTCCATTTTGGTAGGATTCAGGATTATCTCAAGGAATGTAACATGTGCAGTGGTTTTCTCAAGGGACTTGTGAATCGCCACACCATTCAAGCATAATGTCCTTTCTCTGTTGCTCGTGAATGATGGGAAAAATTGAAAGTGCTTATTAAAGTTTGTATGTTATCATACCTGAAAATGTAGTTCCCAGGGAGGTCATTCATTTTCTGCAGGAAAGAAATCTGCATTGACTGATGAAGATCACGTAGGAGCTGAGTCCTTCATGTAATGAAATTCTGTTTTCATAAACAGCTTTGACAGAAATCCATGGTCTGTTTGATTTAATAGTGAGCAAAGAGGTAGCTCAGCTGGAGGTCAATGCCAGCATCCTGGGAGCACTTGCCAAAACCAGCTGGGGTTGTATTATGGCAGGTCTGTGTGGATTCCATGTTCGTACAGGCCATGCATGTCCACAAATATCATCAGCAAGGAAATTACAAAAGTTTAAATTTCTGATCTGGGAATATCATTGCTGTTAGTTTTTTTTGTTTGTTTTCATTGATGGTAAGAACGGCTCAAAAGAGTGACTTTCAGATTCACCTAAAAGGCAAAACATGAAATGAAAAGTCTTCTACAAAATTGTCTGTTGAGGTCCCTTGCAGCTAAAATACATTAGGGATGTCACTGCACTTTTTTGTCTTTCTTCAGTCCTCTATAATTGGAGTTATTACAGGATGTTCTCAAAGTCTGTGTCTTCCTATGATGTTCTAGAAATTAGCACTTTGTTTGTTTTCTGCTCAAGCAGTTTTGAACTTGCTCTAGGTGGCAAGTGCTTCTGAAGTGCATTCACCTGTAGGTGAATGGGTTTCACCTAAACCTCTGCTCCCCAGCCAAGTAGCCAAGGAATGGGGACAATTTATTCATTGATTTGTTTGCCTGGAAATTAAGTAAATAAATGACTCCAAGTTGCTTAATTTTCAAAGAATTTCCTTTAGTATCTTTATAGTTCTTCTATGTAGAGAAAAGATGAGCAAGACACTGTGGTGTTCTATGCACAGGGAACTCTTGTATGTAGTTCTCCTGGTGTTAGGTATTCATCCTATAACTATCATGAAAGGAATTGAAGTCTTCTTTTCTTCTCCTAAAGCTATGAGTTAAACTATAAATTTGCTTTCTTGTGAATTAATCTCTCTACAGTGGCAGGCTGCAATATGAAATGCTTTAGGTAACTATACACATAGATAGCACTCCTTACAAATGTTAAACCAGCCTGTAAAAACATTAATACCACGGCAGTCAGAGAACCATATCTTTCCAGCTAAATCTCATCTTTCTTTTCATGGCTGAAGAAAATTCCCAAGGCATCCATTCCAGTATCCCTGAAGGCATAGCCAGGCTACTTAAAGGATTAATAAATATTAATCACTGGAAAGTTTCAACTTCTTGTAATGCCATTTCTATTAATTAATCAGTATATGTTCCCAGAAATCCGTTAGACCTTGGTTTAACATGATATCGGGGCCTGAATGGACTGCAATACGGGATGGACATGCAAGTATCATACCTGAATTCAGAGTATGCAGCAGGGTTGTTGTTAATTATTTTTCTAGACTCATTCACTGTGCCCATGCGGATGTTTTGGGAGTTCTTCCTGTTCTTTTTCTTTCTCTCAACATTGTCAGTTGGTGCCATGGAGGAAACACAAGTGCAGTCAGTTATTTCCAAGACAGTGATGAAGCTGTCTGTGACATGCTGGAGAAGTGTTTCTCAAGCACCTGTTGCCGTTTAGGAATGGCTGGAAACTTAATGAGCCTCTGAATGTGTTCCACCATGTCATTTGGGAAGTGAGTAAGGCACCTAAACACAGAATATTAACTCATGGCTCTGATATCCCCCAACTGACGCCACGTAGATGCAGAATACTTTCTATGAAACACAAACTTCATATACCTGTTTTATCTCATAATTTTATGGGATGATACGTACATAGCAGTACTGCCTTACTGTAATGGAAATAATGCATACCCTTATTCTTTGTAGCATCAGACATCTCTCAAATCCATTGTCTTGCATTTTCTGGAATTTGTCAGTGCAATCCTCAACTTCAACAAGACACAAACTTTTCTCAATAACAGCATGTTGTGCAGCACTTCTGGGTTTTCATCAGCATTTCTGGGATTTCTCTCCCCTCCATTTTTAAAACAATACCGAAGCAAAGCTCATGACCGCAACTGAGCTTTTATTCTGTAGTGTTGAAGAAAACTGTTGAATGATTTGGCACAAGAAAAGAAAGCCTTCCTAGTCCTTCTGCTTTTGTGATGTGGGCAAAGTTTCCTGCACTTTCAAATCTTGCAAAATTGACTGATTCAATAGACTTGCCAGTATGCAGCCACTTTTATCTTTTTGTACTTCAGACTGATTTAACTGGGACTGTAGCTGTTTTCAGTAGAACCTTGGATAAGTATGTGGGAATATTCTTGGATAAGAATATGGATTTTTTTTTTATGAAAACAAAAGCAGTTCTTATTTTGATTTGTTCTGTACTTTAATTAATTAATTAATTTTTACCTCTTCATATGCAAAGGGCTCATCCTTTGACTTTCCTAATTCCATGGGAAGACTGCAGAACTTGCTACTCCATAGAACTTTTTTTTTTTTTTTTAAGTTCTAGTAGAATTGATACTCCTTTCATCCAGTGGCTTCTGATACAAAAGAAGACTTCCAGAGAAAAAGAAAGACAGAATTTTGAAGCTGGGTGCATAGAAGTTTGTCTCCTAAAGCCATTTAAACTCTTAAGAAAAGAAAGTGACTGAGTTGTTGACGCTCAAGTGTTCTTGCTTTTCCTTTCAGCATCTGGTAGCAAAATGAAATCTAAAGTAAATGTCTGTTTCAGATGTTTAATTTTGGGGTCAATGCCATTCACCACACAGATAAAAGTTCTTCAAACTTCCCTTTTACCCCAGGAGCTTCCCTAATGTTTAGGGGTTTATTTCATTTTCTTTTTGTAGAGGATCTGTATTTCTATTCTTCTTCCTGTTTTTCTTCATTGTCAATGAATGTTACCATGAAACCTTATGCCTCTCTTTCCATTATTTCTGGGGCTTAGTCTTGCTTAGTCTTCAATTCATTTTATCTTATAGAATGCCATAATCAGAACCTTCTAGCCTGAATGTGGGAGCTGGAAGGGGCCAGTTGACCTTGTGATAGCCATTTCTGAATCCTAGGAGTGGAGATGTACTGGACACGTTAATTACAGCAGTTGAAAATTGTGGGAATTCTACTGGAAACTCAGCTCTATTGAAAATACCCTGATATGTACTTTCCTTAGCTGATACATATATTGAAATATTCAAATGTCAACTAATTTCCAGCCTTCCATCATTTATATAAAGTGTTCTCAAGAGTGGGTTGTATGAGTAGAAAAAACAATGTGCAGGACAAACAATGTTGGTTAAATACTGAAAAGTGGAATGTAATGATGCATGCTTTGGGTAAAAATGGGAAAGAGCCTAAAAATAGGATTTAATACCTGCACTTGGAAGCCTGGCTTTCAAAAGTAGCTCCATGCATGGGTAGATTTATTTTTTTTTGGGGGGGGGGAAATACAGTTGTGCCACTAATTTTGAGTATTTATTTTCCAGAGTGGAACTGTATATATGAATATGTATTTGTATGCAAGTAGCTACACATCTAGCATTGTTCACTCCGGTTTCTGTATGATGTGGCAGTAATCGCTTGCATAGGGTAGACATGTAATTTTCCAGACTTAATTACGAGAATCAAGGCCAGAAAATGAAATCATTAACATTGGATGGTATGCATGTGTCAGGAGTATTTACTTGGGCATTCTTTGGGATATATGCAGTTCTTACTAATCCATCAGAAACTATATCCTCCAAATCATGAAAGCTCTTATTTTCTTTCTTGGAAAAGTCTAAAGCATAAGTAACTGAAATACAGGATGTTATTTGCCCTAAAGTTATTACTTGTTGTAAGATTAAGCTTGTAAAGATCTATTTCATGGGATCTGATTTATTATATAGTTCAATTTTTCTTTGTGCTTACAAAAAATCAATCCAAATCCAAAGTTTGAATGTAACTGAATAATCTGAAAGCCCTATATTTTGTTGCATTTGGAAATAAAGTATTTTATCAGGCACAAAATTATTTCTGTACTTCAAATATACAATTTTAGTTGGTCAGAAATGATTGCACGCAATAAAGTTCTTTACTTTTAATAGCAGCAACAAATAATTCCTTAGACTTGTAATCTAACTTTTTTCTAAAGAAAACAGTTTGAGGCCAGACTCTAATAATTTAGCAGATCAGTCATCGCAAAGAATTAAAAATGAGGTGCTCATTACAACAAGTGTTTTTATTCTAATCCTCAAAAGTAGGTACCATGCTGACTTGAATTATAATTAGCCTTTAAGTAGGAAGTCCTTGATATGACTAATGCATGCAGAATTAATCAGACTTATTGCTGTAGAATTATTCCCTTAGTGCCCTTCCAAAGCAGCATATGTTCCAAGCAGGCAGAACTTAAAAATGATGAGAAAATTAGGCTCACTAAAAAGCAATAAATGTCATACAAAGTAGGGCTAGTTGTGAAGCTTCAAGGTTTTAGACAGATTTTAAGGTAGTACATTGTGCTTCTTTAAATGAATCATAAAGGCTAAACATGCATTTGGAAATTCAAAACGAGAATTGTTTCTCTAAGTTTAGAGACTGAGCAGTGTGTAAAGATATTGTTTCAAATGTGACGAGTGAGGCAGACAACCTGCTTAACTGGCCATTTCTTGAGCCAATTCTGAGTTGGTATGAAAAGCACTAACAAAGACATTACAAACTGGAGTTGTTTTTTTTATCAGATTTCCTTTTACCTTGCTCATTTCCTTCTTATGAACAGAATACTGTAGTCCTCCTGAGAGTGAAGTTCCCATGGACTTGAGGCTATATATAAGTCCCTCTAATGTTCAGTGAGCAAGTATAAGGTGCTGTTCTCTGTCTAAAGCAGGCTGAGCTTCTGAGGCTTTGCTACACTGGAACTGAGTGCCCCCAACTCCCTGAGCAGATGCAGGCAGGTCATGAGCAAGTACAGCTCCATTGACTGCTGTGGGCTTGCACCTCTGAAAGACTTCTGAGAATTTAGCCCTCACTCTTCTCCTGAGTGAGAATGTTGCAGTATTTTGATTGGATGGCAACCTCAGAAACCTCAAGTCTGAGGTTCAAGTCTCGTCAGAGGGCAATTTCTGGAAAATCAACAAAGGCAATAGTGAACCAAATCCAACCTATTCCAACTGTGTGCTGGTTCTCTAAATTGCCTTGGATTTGGGTTTTTGGGTGTTTTTTTTTGATAGCTCTTGTCCTGTATATCTTCAACTTTGTAGGATTCTTTCAGTAGCATTAGACAAGGAATGGGCATCATACTGGTATCTTCAAATATGACTAGTCAGGATGACATTTACGACAACTGCACTTTGGTCTCTTGAAGTGAGTAAAGTGAGGACCCTTCCATCCATGTCAGTATATGTCAGTGTAGAACCTTGCATTTCAAGGACTGGAAGTGGACAGGGCCTGTCTGTGAGTACAGTTTCAAATAAGTTCATTGCTTGTGTCTCAGCTGTGCAGTGGAGGCTGAGTACAGTATTAGATCTATGTTGCTTATAAACATTTGTCAAGTAAGTGGTGTTTGAAAAAGCAATTAGCGTGGCAAGTAGAATTTTAATTTTTGCACCTTTTTGAACAAAAGTTCAAGTTTTAGCCAATTACAGGTTCTGTAAAAATTAAGACAGTGACAGTGAGCCACGTGTCATGAGAGGGTCAACATCTGATATCAAAGCTAGCCTGTGCCTCAGCCCCTAAAAGCTTTGATCATCATGAAACAACCAGTTATGAATACATCTAGATAATAATCCCCATAAAAAATGAATATCCTCTGAAGTAAATTACAAGGTATTTTTTTGCTATTAATTCTGATGGAGCTCACATTAAGCTAGGTGCACAGCATGCCATTATAGGGCCCTTTTCTACTTTAGACATTTTATTATTAGAAGTGAAATTAACTTTAAGAAGGTTTGTGAAAAGCAGCATATAATTTGTTGTCCATAATGTATTTCTACATTTGACAAATATTTTAGAGTGAAAATGAGCTCAGAGGTAGGCTCTTAGTCTGTTAAAATATTAACATCTCAAGCCATTAAGATTTGTTCCTTCCTAAATGATAACAAATCACTCCTCTGTTAAATGGAAGCAATTCACAAGCCTGTAGATTTATTTTATTGAATACCAAGTTGCCTGTGCTGTATGATTGCAAATTGCTCCAAGCTCTCACAGTAGGTGAAGTTTAAATGCTGAGATTCATCTTGTTGACTTCCTCTGCAATGTGGTGGTTTCTAAGCTGTTATTTCATAACTGTGCCAAAGGGTTAAACTAAAATGCATGAGGAGTCATTACTTGCTTTTTATACAGCTGTCAAACTGTATTTCAAATAGGGGAATTCCAAAATCTCCTGTCACAACCTACCTGTTTAACTCTTCTCTTCCAGTTGTTGTCTTCCCTGTCCCTGTTTTAGCTGGCAAAGAAGCTTGTAGGAGATTCCTACCAGATAAAATTTTGGTTTTATTGGAAGAATCTGTAGTGAGATGTTTAGTAAAGTGTTGTAAAACTTGGTTCTCTGCATTCCTTTCAGTGCTTCACAACTGTTTAAAGCTAATTCAGAGTTCATTTAAGCAAGAGACTTGAGATCAGGAGATGCCAGAGCTAGAATGATGTCAAATCCAAGTGCAGTCCCAAGTAGGCTTTTATTCACACTTTCTTGCAGCTATGGGCCAGCTAACTTGGAAATGTCATGTATTTAAAATGAAAAAACCCTTAGTCCTAGATTTCCTAACTTTGATTTCCTCTATGGCTCAAACATCATGACTAATCAGGACAGTCTTTCAGTTGCCATTCCGTTACAGTGACATAAGCATGCCTTACTGAGAGGAAACTTTTTTCCTTACATTTCACACTTCAATGGCAGTGCTAATCTTAACAGAAGGAGAAGTGCCTGTTTTTCTTAATGTAACCAAGTCCTACCTACGGCAGTTTGGTTTGTGTGTGATAAGAACACACCGTGGGATGATGTTCAACTCAGCATCCATTGTAACCCCCACGTCTTTCTCAGAAGAGCTGCTACTCTGCCAGTCAGTTCCTACCCTTTACTGACACACTAGTTATTCCATTCCACATTTGATAATGTTTTAAAGTTGTGTCATGTAAGATCTGTACTCTAGTTATGCTACTGAAGCTGCCAGCTTCTTTCATTATCAATTCCACTTGCTATTGCAAAGCACCTTTTTCTGTGCATCAACCTCTGAATAGCACTTTAAGCCTTATCACTGAAAAGATTGAACTGCGTAGTCACTGCATGTTTCTTCTGCCTGAAGTCATAAATAGTTGGCCAAGAAATGAGGCCTGGTAAAATCAGTATTAAAGCAACCTGGAGCTGCTGAGCACCTTCTTATTCTAAAATAAATGGTTGCAGCTACTTTCTTCACCATTTACCGATGTTAAAGCACTTCTATCTGCAATGGCAACCTTTTGTTGCTCTTGCTGGTGTGCACTGATACAAATGTTTATATAAACTGTAGGTTTTTTTTCTAATGCCATCAAAAATGTGCTTCTCTTTGACATGTTTGTCTCAGTTTATTCCTTGTTATTATACAGCAGTGCTGAACCATGTCCACCTAGAACTTCATGTTAGAAAATGTTATTTAGTTATATTTTTAATTTTTCTAAATTAAGGCCACTGAGTGCTTGTTATGGTCCTCAATATAGCCACAGGAAAAAATTATCTGGTTTGCTAGGGACTTTCTTTGCTTGAGCTGTTAATGATGGATTGCTGATAAGAGCGCATATGAACGTGCAAGAACACTTGCTAACCTGCTCACTCACTGCAGTGTATCTGTATTTCTATGCAGGCGAAGAGGTGAAGACAAATGTTATCCAACTGCTTATATTTACTGTCTCCATATGTTGTCAGTAATTATATCAATACAGGATTATGACACATCCGTCTTTTTAGCTATCTAAAGAGGCATTTGATGGGTATTTTGTAGTCATTAAATTCAGGTATAATGTTAAAATGCTTGTAAATAAATCTTTATTAATTTAGTTATACTACTGTTTTACTTTTTTTTTTTTTTTTAATTTACAATAGTTCATGGGTAAATCTTTTCCTTGATTTAAATTTATGTGACAAAATTAGATCGCAGGAAACCTTGTACAGGAGAGTTTGTGAATGAAAACATATGGCTTATTAATCTTCCACTGTTCCTCTTCAGCCATGGAGATAGCTTAAAACAAAACAAAACAAAAAAAATAATTGACTCCCCTGCTTAATGCTGCATGTGCTGCAACTCAGCTTGACTCCTGCTATTTGTCTGTTATGTATGTAAAAATTAATGGGCAGGAAGGGGGAAGGACAGAGAGGGAATAAGGAGCTGTGGCTCTTTCCCACCTGTTCTCAGCCAGAGAATTTGTCTGGATGTGGAGAACTGTGAAGTACTTTGCTGTCAGAATAAGGAGGGAGAATGCCATGGTGATGCATCATATTTTCATCTGCTTTTTTTGGGGGGATAATGCAGCTAACAACCTCCTTTGAAAACGCATTGCAACAGTACCATCTGGCCTCTCTGTTTGTCATTACTTTGTCATCCCATCACCCTGTCTGCCCAAGCATTCTCTACCTCATAAAACATGACTGAAATGAACTGTCCTTAACCTCATAAAAAAACAATGTGTGACACTTCTGCTTCATTTGTGTTTCATATGCCGTATGATGGCTTGCTATAAGAATTTATGCTGATGAAAGTTGCCCATATTGAAAAGTATGTCTGTATAACTATTGCATCACAGCAGGAGAGCTGTAAGCAATACAGGGAAAATACTATCCAAAAGAAAATTGTGTTACTGTAACTGTGCACTGCTAAATAAATAATCTAACATACCTCTCATGCTGTGCTTTTAAAGGGTGAACCGGGTTTCATTGGTCCACAAGGAGAACCTGGGTTGCCAGGGCTGCCAGGAACAAAGGTAAGGGTGGTTGGTCAGTGCTCTGGTACAAAGCCCTTAGAGCCAGAGTCAAATTCGACTTTGTTGGCTTGTATTAGAGGTGCTGAGATTGTGCTAATGGTGTGAAAATCTTTTATCCAAAAATGAATAAAGTACTTAGAAACCATTTTTGTAAATGGACAGGAAATCTAAAGTTCAGTTTAAAATATGCTACTACAGTGCCTGGAAATGTGGAAAGTCATAGTTCATGGACCTGTGCTATGAAATACACATCTTTGTAGTGATGCCCTCAAACAATGCAAAAGCGTGTTCTACAACCATTCGTAATTTAAGTTCATCAGTTGCCTTTTTTACTATTAGCATCCCAGAATTCATTTGTTCAAGAGGTAGAATATGCCTGTATGAAGAAACTATATTTTCATAACCCATTTTAGGAAAAAGGCTTAAATGCGCAGGCAGGTATTAGAACTTTAATAGCACAAATCGGACTTGAAAGTACTGGTACATTAAAAAGGGATATTTTTTCATACTTCTTGCAGGTTTTTTAAGCCACTGTGTGGCAAAGTTAGAACATTGTGAGTCCTAAAAATAACCTATGTTAGGTATGATAGTTTGGGAATTCAGAAAAGCGCTGTTCTTTTACGTTTGAGATTACTGTGTTTACCCAGTGGAGAGTTCCCAAACTCATTGGAAGTTGTAGATGAGCTCAAAAATGTTTTCTTCCGATGGTTTGGTTTCTTTGACCATACTGACTTCATTCTGTGTGAAAACTGCTCATTATTTTCTGATGTATGTGTATCTGTTTCCACAGGGTGACAGAGGAGAGGCAGGCCCACCTGGGAAGGGTGAGCGGGGTGAACCTGGACTTCCTGGACTAAAGGTCAGTCTGATTTTATATTGGAAATATTTTGTTAGGTTTACACCTACAAACTCATCTTTTTATACCAAAAAACAGAATGAAAAATTGGTGAATGAGCTTTTAAATAAAAATAATGTCAAATGCACTAGTCCAGAATGCAGTGGCAATTTTGTGTTCACAGCTGTGGAAGTGCAGTTTAAATGGACTCTTGTTTGGTCTACAAAGTAATGACACTACCAATGTACATTGTCATGGAGTTGGCCAAGTTATTATCAGCAAAAGTCCCACCCTTCAAGTCCCTAACTTTCAGCATCAAAATTTGAACTCTTTGACCATTGTAGCTATTAATTGCAGAGAAAATCCATTTTGCATGCTGTTTTCTAGTTCTGTAAGAAAGAGATCTTTCTAACTACTTTTTAGGGTTTTCTTACTATTTTCCACTGAGCCAATACCATCAGTTTTCCTGTCCTAATACATCTTGAGCACACTAAGGCAGATTCTGTGCTTCTTGGCCAGCCAATTTGTATTCATCTGAACTGCTGCGAAAAGAAATAGTGATAATACTTTATTTTAATGTACTTATTTCAGGATAATTAAGTACCTTCTCTACTATTCGGTTATCATTTTTCAGAAGCCGTGGAATGACATAGGTCATTCCTGCAAAATGGTGTTAATGATGTCTACTAATGCCAGTACTACTTTTCATACGGAAGGATGGAATCTGTGGCCTCTGCATGCTGGTGTTAAATAATATATTACTCTGGGTGCTGTGAAATTTGGTGCCTTTAGAGGCTCATGATCCTGATCGTATGAAATGGGGTGGTTTCGCTGTTCCATACTAAGTCATTACTAATTTCTTTTTCTCTGCGCTCCCATTCCTCTATCATTTTTCTCCTGTCCATTTCCCATCTTCCCTCGAACAGGGGAAAACAGGTGAACCTGGATCTAGGGGCCCCAAAGGGTCAAAGGTCAGTAGTAACAAAACTGTCTTACCTGTAGTGATTAACACAATGATATTTATGATAGTTTATAATGTTTCACAGGAACTTAATTTATCTCTTTAAAAGAAAATGTAGCAGATTCTGCAGTGTTCTTTATAAATAGAACCTTCTGACTTTCAATTTTAGCTAGTAGAATTGAATCCTCTGTATTTCAAACACTGATTCTAGTTTTTCTTGTTATTATATCTATTTCACTCTGTTCTGCTTTTCCCAATGCCACATGGTTTCTCTCTGTATAACTCATGTGGGATAGTTCACCCATGTGCCAACTTCTATGTCTGTGGAGACTCAACTGGTTTTTGCAATAATTTTGTGGATCCAAACTTTGGTGGGTTAAGAATGACTGATATTCCAAGGACTTTAGGCTGAAGTAGGCTGGCCAGTAAGTGCTACAAAGGCAAGTTTTGTGGGTTACATTACTGTTTTAACTATTTAACCAAAGGTGTTTTTATTACTATTATTATTATTTCTATTTTATGTCTATCTATTTATCCATCCATCCACTTATCTCTATATATAGTGGATTCACGTGTATGTAGAGAGAAAATATGTCTCTATGATATTTCATATGCTATGCAAATTCTGTGCTCACTGGAGAATCTTCTGTGTTATATTGTGAAGCCAAAGCAAAATGAAAACAGATTTATTTAGGTGGTTCTTGAGTCTAATGTCAGAATAAATATGATAAGACAATATTGTAGGCTGGCAGGATACTGGTTGCAGTACTTGAAAAGCCTTTGAATAACATCCCATTCACAGTGCTTAAGGATATGATTAAGTAAGTGTCCCACCAAAAAGAAATCTTGGTAAATTGAAGGAGCTGATGAGGGGATTAACACTTCAGAGTGAAAGCAGAAGAGTAAATCAGGCTCTCACTGGCCTTCAGTTCCTGGGCACTTCCCAAATGCTCCAGAAATAGATATCTCTTCTAATTTTCATTTTTTCAAAAAGGCCTAACTGTCTTGAAAATCTGGACCAGAGAAATCAACCTAGTAGTTGAGAACTTCATTTTTGAGCAACACCAATGACTCATTTACTAGATATTGCAAAGGCAACAATGAAAGGAAAGGCAGATGGCACAAACTTGTTTATGTCCTGCCACCAGCCTCCTCCTCCACTTTTTCTTTCATTACCCCATGAAAGTTTTGTCTTCTGATTTTGTTTATTGCCACTGGTGAATTAATCATTCTTCCCTAACTTCATACCAGTGTTTTATACATTTTAACAGGAACAAGAATGCACTATTTAGCCTAATTCATTTTGAGTAATATACAAATTTAAGAACCTTCTTATAAAAGTGTCTGTGAAGTGAAATAAATCATAGTCAATGGATGCTGGGTTATGAATGCAAGCATATTTTAAATCGTCTACATCACTTGAAACATATTACTAACAGGCAGGAGGAAAAAGCTGCATGCAAGATGGTAAAGATCTTACACCTGTCACAGTGAGGGAGTAAAGGGACTCTAATGCTGACGGTAACGTGTTTGTAGGGGAGGCAAGGACTTGGACCAGGGAAGTTCAGAAACTTAGTGGAGTCATGATCACAGAAACACAAGTTTGAAACATACCTTTGAAGAAGTTGCTGGGTACTTTCAGACTTCAGATAGTGATTTTATTTCTCTAGCTTTTTTTATTAAAGCTTTGATAATAGTGCAATAAAAATAGAGAAGTTACATTAATTATGTAATTGGTATTTTATTGAGTCTTTGGTATTTCTCATTCCATACCACTACAGCACACAGTAACAACTCACATAGAACCAAGTACATTGTTGTCCAGCTTGTTACTTACACAGATTTTTAAGGAATTTCTGTAGTAATTAAGATTCGCATTCTATTAATAATTAGAGGCATTTAAACTTGAAAATTAAAGAGAAACATATTTCGAAGGGAATAACTACCTAATATACTGTCAGACATCATATCTGTTCTCAAATATCCCTTTTACATAGGGTGATACCGGTGACAGAGGTGACACAGGATTTCCAGGTCCACGGGTAAGTCTACTTCTCGTTTCAGCTCTTTGTGCTCTTAAATTCAGTCTACACCACGAACTGAAATTGTAGCAGCAACCCCAGTTAATCTGGTGAAATTGGCCACTTGATTCTGGAGGAAGGTGTGTTGCTAACTGGCCTTTAATATGAGTTACAGTCCTTACTACTGTTTGAAGCAGTGCGCTGTTCACAGTTCATGGGCAGGATGTTACATGCCAGATGTTCTGACATAGTTCACAGCCAATACAAAACTGGTGTGTTGGAACTGCTTCAGCGTTTAACCATAGGGGTTTCATTTACTTACTTTCCCACGGCAGCACAATTCATTTAGTGACCTGTATGTTTATTTTTTTTAATTGTTTTTCTTTAAAAATAATCTTTAGTTTAATGCTAACTTTTGTGGTTTGTAGTAATATGTTGTAAATACAGCAAAATTTCAGTGCAGAATAATCAAGCTAAAGCATGCATCAGCAGTTAAGCGTGTAGAGTAGTCTTTGGCAGGTGTCTCAAAAAATATTATGGAAAATATATTACAGGGGCCACCTGGACAGAAGGGTGATCAAGGTGCAACAGAGATAATTGATTATAATGGCAATATTCATGAAGCTCTTCAGGTATGTAAACCTAACAATGCCAGAATGGCTTAGACTGATCTGGCAAAAAGCAGTTTGACATCAATGTATTTCTTTTCTGTGTAAGCAATGAGAACAATTTCTTCCCCAAAGATTTGCTGAGTTTATTAATTAGGGATCTCTTTCTATATTTGGAAACTGGAGTTGCTGTTTGGTGTAAGACAAACTGTTTCCTTGATACAATTTAGCTGAGTGAATTAGTTGCATTTCCCATAGAGTGTATTGACATCATCTAATGAGGATAAAGCTGATTCATTGCTGGATGTGGTGCTTAGTGCTGAAATCATGCAATAAACCACATACATAGGTTCAACAGAAGCATCTGCTTTTCAGTTCAAGTAGTGTAATATTGACATTTCTTTTTTTTCTCTCTTACCTTCTCCTCTTCCTATAAAATGCAAACAGCAGAATATTTGAGATTTGGAAAGCATGTCACATGGCTCCATTAGCAAGCTGTGGATTCAATCAGCAACTTGAGTATGTTAAATAGACTAAGCACCAGTCTTGCCATTTGTGCATTTCTAGAAAACCTGTTTTGACTGGTGTGCACAAAAGTGTGGAGGATTAAAGTGGGGTTACAAAGAGAGTGAATGAGTGTTTGCATAAAAGCAAAGTGTCAAGGTGACATATGTCATTGCAGTCAAGGTGGTTTACATTGTGGTATAGTCAGATGCAAATTCTTTGCAGTATAACTCCACCAAAATGAATGGGTTTGCTTATGTGCAATTGAAGACAGAATTTGGCTCATTGTGCATCTGATCATTTTCTCACTAAATCCGCTGAACTCTTTTTTTCTTGCATTTACTTGGTGGGAGTGAATAGATGTCTGGCCGGTCATTTGGTTTTCAAGACTCTTTTGAAAATAAAAAAATCTCACTGCCTTTAGTAAAATCTAAAAACCTGTATGTTGCTGAGGATAAGCCCACGCTTTCATTGTGAGTGGAGTCTATGGGGAAGTCAACACAGGCATGTTCTGAGGCTCTGCATTATACCCATCTCATTTGGTTTACTCTTCAGGGAATTCAAACACACAACTCTCAGTCTTTTAAACCATTATCTGAGTTAGATTCCTGAAGTAGTTTGAAATTAATGTTGCATATTACCAGGTAGATTTACCAGAGATGTTAGCCCCCGTATCTCCTGTGTTCTGTCTTTATATCTTCACACTGGAATCAATGTTACTCTCCAGTGCTGTGTAAGAGCATCTCAGAAAAGCTGCAGCACATAAAGAAGTCTTAATAAGGGACTAAAGCCTATTGCAGTGGTTGAAACAGATTAGGAGGCCCTTATCCTGTTGTAAATCATTTCAAATGTCATCACCTTCTGATCCAGGGCAACAAATAATTGATATTGATGGCGATGTCTGTGCAAGGATGGTGTAAGTAAGATTATAGAGGATCAGTTGACAATGTGCTTGCCAAATCCACCTCAGTCCTTTCAAATGGCAAGCACCCATTCCTAAGTCTCCTGGTGCCAAATTCTTAAGGGCTCTGAGATTTACAGCTTCTCCCATAGAAGGTAATGAGCACTTACAGTGCTCAGCAGCGAACTCTGACCTTGCGCAGAATTTGTCCTGCTGATTTAAGAAGTTCACAAGAGATTGCAAGATCTGGGCTGTCTACATTTTTTTAGAGTTTAGCAATAAATCATCAAGCAGCCTAAGAGCTTCAGAACAATTTAGTTACTCTGCCTTGTGCCTCCTGCTCAATTTCCTGTGTCAGTGCAGAATAAGACATCTGAGTCCATCAGCACTGAAAATCATGATCTTAAAATTATCTTCGTAGTTTGAACAAGACCCCTGCTGAGTGCATGTGGCTTTCACTTGGAGGACCAGTTACAAAATGTGTCTCAATTGAAATTGCTCTTTGGGGCTATTCTTCAGAATTTCCTAAGGCAAAAGGCAGTATCTGCAAGAGTTTAGTCTTTGTAGGAACTGCAGGATCAGATACTTTAGATATTAAAATCTGAGTGTGCTGATGAAAATGATCTTGTCTGTGTGAATATGCTAACATTAGTTGCAATGTTTATTTTAGGTTTTCATATGTACATAAACTGAATTTTTCACTGTTTTTAAATTTCTTCATATATTTCCATAAATATATTGAAATGCAAAATATATTTTATTAAGGCCATCTGTTAACAGATTTTTTTTTCTTAGTGTTTAAAAATCTTTTGGAAGACTCTTTGTATGATTTTACTGTTTAGTCATCACTTATTCGATCTCCTGAATTTTGCAGAAATCTACAATCTTCATGTATGTAAAATCCTGTTTCCCATAGAGTCCAAACAATTAGTACAACACTGAGAGTTAAAAGTAACATGGATATACTCTTATTTTCTGGAGACATGATGTCTCCTGAGATGCAGCATAGGTCTTGTAGAGATAATAATTGTAATAGGCAGAACTATTTATATACTTGTTCAACTCTGGTAACGGTGTCTCTTGTTAATACATTTTACCAACAGAGGATTGCCACCCTCACTGTCACGGTAATTCCTATTGCATGACTTAATGTGTTGTAGAACGTCTCCTTTATGTCATAGCCTGTTCATAATTCTGCCAGTTCAGGACATGTCTTCATTGGATGTTGACCCAGCTCATCACGACATGAATTTATTTTCTCAGTGTTCCCCTGTCAGAGAGTACATTGTTGAAAGCCCTTCAACAATGGACCCAGTTCTGCTCCTGATGAATTAATGGCAAAACTTCAGTTAATGTGAGAGACTAGGAAAATAAAGAGCACACTATTCCTGTAGATATACATCTAGGCAGATTAACTGCTTTGGACTTCTTGGTGTATGTTCTCATCTCTGCATGTCTGCATAGGGGTCCAGCAAAAATAAGAAGTAGGATTTGAATGCCAAATGATTATCTCTTATCCACCTTATTTTCAGGGTAGAAATAGAGATCTTTTAGATTGGATTGGGAACAAACTTTTTGTGGGAGCTTTCAGACCAGATGCAAATTATTTTATGAAAAATATCCATCTCAGGAAACTGTAAGTCAAGCTAAGTACAAAGCCCAAATATGGGGAATTCTCTCATCCCATGTTATTGGAACTCAGAAATAAATATAACTTTTCAGTACCTGTACCCTGAATCTGCAGAGGATTCCAGTTCCAGTGCTATTACCCCAGACAGTTTTCTATGGGAGGTTTAGCCATACTAGGCCAGAAGCAACTTCTGAAAATCCTGACACCAAGAGATGCTTATAATATTTCAGGTTCAGCCTTCCCTTAAAGCTCCAAACTTGGTATAAGCAAATAATTTCCTTCTTTCTGTTTCAAGCTTTTCTTTGTAAGATATCTGTTAGTCTTATTTTCCCTTCTGTACAAATACTCTGTGTTAATGGAGGGGATTTTTTAATTTTTTATTTCTTAAGAAAAATACCCCCCGAAAAAAAAAAAAAAATCCACTGTGCATCATCCGGGTCATCCTGATATCATATCCACGGCCTTAGACAGAAATTAAAGAAATGGTTGCAACTTACTCTATAGCAATTTCCTGAAGCACTGAGAATCCACCAAAACACTTAGCATATTTTAACAGAATCCTCTTTGCAATCAGTAGAAGATTTCTCCTGACTTTGGATTGTATTGTATTAGGGCATGAATGTTGTTAAATGTGGCTGAAGTGAATTTTGATCTCCCTGCCACTAAGAGGAGCTTTGCCATTTCATCAGTGGGGGCAGCGGGACTTTATTATAAAATATGAAGTACACTGTTATTTTAATAGTTTTAAGTAGTACCCCCCCTGTTGAGAGTTGCCATAGATTAACAACTTGTTCATAGCAAGTCTTGGTTCCCCTGTGTGATCTAACCCATGTTGTTAAGGTACCTATATTAACGTTCAGCCTGCGTTTACATGCCAAGCCTTTCAGCAATTTATTTATAAGTTAACAGGCTTATGTGTTTCTTTTTAGGGCCCACCAGGACCACCGGGACCCCAAGGGCTGCAAGGTCCAAAGGTGATCTTTCTTATTTTACCCACTGTATTTTAAGAGTGGAGGTATTTTCTATTTCTCTCACTGATTTGTGCACACATGTACCCGGAGCTTTCCGGTATAGTATACTTACCTGTAATTTTTTAGAATACGGCAGGCTTCAGACTTTGCACCCTGGCAAATTGAAATGTAGCCTTCCAGAGCAGGTGCTTTGATTTGTTGCCACACACAGATGCTCAGCTGAGAATCAGCAAAATTAATTAGTACTGAAACAGGGCAGAAGCATCTTTCCTCTGGATCTGCACTAAGGCTGATCAGCAGGACTTTTGCTGCAGAGTACCCTGTGTATTTGCAAAAAATAGCCACACAACCAGCCAGTCTCTCCTGCACGTTGCTTCTGCCTGGGTGGGAGGGATATAGGCAGGCAAAATGGTGTGTGCAAGGAGCTGCTTGGCCACACTACAAGCGCATGTAAATGCAGCTTTTATATTACAGGGGTGCCCACCCAAATAAACACAATATTTTCTAATCTCAGTAAAAATTAAAACATGCACATGTGGGCAGGAGCCTGGCTGCAAATCCAAGCCTGCTAACCCCACCTGGCTGAGGCTGTGCGTAGTACCAGAACTGTTAGTGAGCAGCCCACACAGAGACAATGAATACCATATGCTGCACTGTTCTATAAAATTTAATAAATTTGCCTACACTTAAAAAAAAAAAAGAAAGAAAAAGAAAAACAACACCACAAAAGTGTTGCAAACAGTGCAACCCTTATATTGATTTTACATTAGATTGGATAATTCTCCTATTTCTTAAATTCTGAATTTATCATTTCTTCTGTCAGTGGCGCTAAGCTCTTCCAATAGCAGGCACGTTTCTTCAACAATACTATACATTTGAATTTTATGCTTTATCCATGGTATCAGGTAGAAGTACATCACATTATACATGTTAATTGTTCTGAGAAATCATAAGAAACCAGATCCTTTCTTCTACATGAAAACTGGTAATGGAATACATAGTTAAGTGTGCAGGAATGGATTTCTACATCAGGCTGTACACAGCACAAAGCATTTCTGCAGCCCAGAGTGTGCTGTAAAACACGGAGGAGTTGAACTGGGGCATATGCTGTCTTCCTTCATCTGGATGATCATTCCCATTCAAAATTAATGACATAAAGCAGAATTCAAACTTACAGGAGTTTGTTTCCAATATTATAATCTATCCCCATCAGTATAAGTTGCTCCCTTGGAGGACGCTATTCAGGGACCAGTGCAAAGGGCAATGTTGTGAATGTGAACTCCTTCCCTGGGTGATTTATATGAGCAGGGAAAGACCACATTAAGTATCTTCCAGCCTTACATATATCAAGGACCATGATTCCATATTTATTTCAGTAACTGACAAAGTTCCCACTGTATTGAGTTTTCTTCAGCAGCCTCTCGGGGTTTCTTCTTTTTTCTTTTTTTCTTGTATATTTTTCTGATCTTTATACAACCCCAAGTTTATGTACGGGCTTAATCAGCAGGGCTATTTATTCAATGTCATATACAGGTATTGCATATATGGTGTTCTCTGGTTTTGTTGTTGTTAATTATGACTATTATTGACTATCTAATGACTATCAGACATTATTGATTAATTTAGTTAATTTAGCACTGTTGTTTCAATTAATGTCTTGGACAATCAGGGAATAATATTTCAATTCCATTTTGCCTTTTGCAGGGTGAACCAGGATCCCCAGGAGTTCCAGGAGTTGATGGGGAGCAGGTAAACTACCTAGAGTGGTTCATGTGAGCAACCATGGCATATTTCAGGGGATTGTTTCTTTGATCCCAAATTGTAGCTTAGATTACATAATCTTATGATCATTATCATGTTGCTGCATAACCTGTGGTCGCCTAATGGTTGTGTTGCTACATATTAATAACAAAGTCCAACTCACAACATGATTTATCCCGCTTGTTAGGATCAAAACTAGTATTCTATCAATGTATCTGTTTTTACAAATAATGTGCTGAATAAATATGTATTTTAGGGTCCTAAAGGATCAAAAGGAGATATGGGTGAACCTGGAATGCCTGGAGAAAAGGGAGGAATTGGACTTCCTGGCTTGCCAGTGAGTGAAAAAAAAAATAATAATTTTGGCTAAAATACTTGTATTTTGAATCTCTTCCACTATCATGAACTTAAAACAGTGCTGACAAATTGCAGATTAGGAGAGAAGGCACAGGGAAGGAAAATTCCGAGATTGTTCTGCATCTATCCTAGGAGGAGGTGTAACATTTTCAGAAATTCTTTCTATTTATGGGCAAAAAAATACTGCTCTGGAAAGACAGAAATTAGTTGGCATGCTGATCAGATTTGCATCTCTCTTTTAATAGTTATAATATATAAGACAACTTGGACAAATGTAGATTTGGTAAAGTTCAGGAGAAAGGAGCTGTTTTGAATACTTGTCAGGATGAATTTCAGATGAATTGTCAGGAATTTTAAATTGAGGAGAGAGAGAAAATACATAAATATTCATAAGCTGTATTATTCCTCTATGTACATATATACAAATGAAATTTCTCATTAAAAATAAAAACAGTTCCAAAAACATATCCATCATTAGTACAATATATCATGAATTGAGTGCAACTGAAGGACTTCTCAAAAATACCTTGCCACAACTGATAGCTGCTATTATAAAAGCATACCTTTACATTTGTTAACAGTTATTACTGGAGACATCAAAACTGGAAGCAACAACAACAAGCAAAACACAACTATACGTGTGTTGTAGTATTATTTCCATAAAATTAAGATTTTATTAAACAAATTATCATTTCTATATGGGTTACTAATAAGATTAAAACTGTTTATAAATGCTGTTTTTTTAAATGGTTTTGTAGGGAGCCAATGGTATGAAAGGTGAAAAAGGAGATGCTGGTTTGCCTGGTGCCCAAGGCCCTTCAGTAAGTCTCAGTGTATTGTTGCAGTGGACGTAATAGTCCAGAAATGGTTCTCTAGCCTTTAAATCTGAATAACTTTTCATATTCAAGGCTGATCTTTCCTGATATTCTTGACGGTTCCCATGCTTGAAATTTCACAATATTTTTGTTTGTTATGTAGAGTCCCTGCTCTTTTCAAAATAAAAGGACTTCTGGTCATAGAACTAAATAGGGTTTAAGAAAGATTTGGTTCTTTTCAGTTCTATTCCCTCATCATAAACAATAGTCCTGCTCAGTTCAGTGAATGCCTCGTGGTTCTGTAATCAAAGATAAATGTTTTGCAAGATAAGAAAAAGAGATATATCTACTAAAAACAAAAACCAAATCTGTCTCAACACCTTGTATTCTGTGGACCTAAGAAAGTCCAGTGAGAACTAGACTAGACTGGCTTCAGTGATGTCAGGAGGAATGTGACATGCAACCCAAGATAAAAACCTTCTTGATATCACTGACCACAGTATAAAATTGTTAGAGGGGGAAGTTCTGATCTTGCAGATATCTGTGCCTAATTTTCTGCACACTTCCTGCATAATTTTCTGTATAATTTTAATGGAATTAATACACCTGTTAAAATGTGTTGTTGTTCTGTGCTTGTCCACTTGTGAGTAACTTTATTCACATATGTAAATTTTCCAGGACCAGCTGTCTTGATTTTCAAAGCATTGTAAAGGCATTTAAAACAAACAACAAACAAATTAAAACAATACCTTTGTGATATGAATGAGTAACATTATCAGAGCACAGTAAGTTAACTACCTTGTCTATGGTGACATGCACTGAGTATTTGGAAACATAGCTCTGAGGAATGAAAGAGGTTACCCTCCGTCATCAAAATACACTGGGAACCCTGAATCTCCTCCGTGTCTGAGTCTCCTTCTCTGAAATGAAAAATAATCTGTTACAAATTAAATCGCTAACTCATTCACCCTGTTCTGCTTGATTTCTCTCAAAAGAAGGCCTTCCATTTTCAGGAGACTTCACTGACAGTAGAACTATCAGTGACACTCTGTCTTACCTTTGAAAGCTTCTTTTGTCGTAACTATTATTGCAAGCAGTCTGTGGGGCAGAGGGGCTGAGCATCAGACTGGAGACCTGTTTTAGCATCCCTCCTTCCACCTTGCAGGTTATGATAACAGCCCTTTGGGGTTAAACCCAGGGAGAGAGGTGATACTGAACTATAAGCGTCATCATGAAATTCTCTGCCATGGATTTGTTAGGAATACAGAAAAACAGCACAAAATATGCATGCACTAAATGCTGAGCAACCTGATTACCTCTTTTAATGACTTCAGGGAATTCTTGGAACAAGTGGGCTAAATGGAATAAAAGGAGAGACAAAGGGCAGTCTTGAAAATGTGCCAAACCCTAGCCTGAATTGTTTAGTAACTTTTTTCCGTTCATCATTATCTGAGAGGAATAAACTCACACATCATCTGCTTCCGCTCCCGTAGATTATGTAGTATAGAGACAGCTAAGGAGCACATATCATAAAATATAAAAAGTTCAGGTATGTCTGCTCAATAGTGATTTGGAGATGGTTTTTCCCCATGGTGTTCTGAAGTTTATTTTAAAGCCTAGGAGCAAGAATCAGGAGACAGGCGTCTTGCCATATGGCACAGGCCGTTCTACACTTCAGGTACCCTGTCTTTCAAATCAAAATAATTCCCATTCCTAAAACCCTTTCTAGATATGCTATCATGCACTGTTGCATTGCTGTGTTTCTAAGTGCTTGCCAATGGAAGAAGGATCAGCCTGAGTTTTGGTATTTGTGGGGGAGTTCTTTACTGTGCGTGATTTAATATCGTTGTTTATCTGTAGATCATAGGACCACCTGGACCACCAGGGCCACATGGTCCTCCAGGCCCCATGGTAAGTCTGGGAGGAAGAGAGGGGCTGGGAAGGGTTTAAACGCTTAAGTAGGCATTAGAATGCCTACTTAAGAAGTGCATTGAGAGTATATGACCATTAAAGAGGGACCTAATTTAGGACCTTTTCTACATGTCTTAAAGTTCTTATGAAATGGAGAAACAAATTGCACCTGCCTATGCTGGTGTAAACATGCTAGTGGTCTGGTTTATTCTCTAAATCGGGTGTTTACAGTGGCTTTATTGGCAGCTGCGTTTCATTTGCAAGGACAAAAATACAGATGCAATTTGCACCCATATAGAGAAGTAAACTCTTAAAAACTTGTGGTGTGTTTTTGTAATTGAACATGGTATCTTTATTTTCAGGGACCTCATGGTCTGCCTGGCCCAAAGGTAAATTAATGGCTGTCTTGAATAGACGTGCTCTTGATGTCTGTGAAGTGCTGTGCTTTGTTCTTTAATGCATGCAGCAATGTTTTGTCTGATGTCTCATTTAATAAATGTTTCTGATATTCTTAAACCTTAAAGCAGAGTTTAATACTGACAGATAGCTTAAAAGATTTTAAATTTTCTGTGATTTCTTCTTGTTAGTATTTCTTCTGAACATTGGCTGAAATCTGATTCTCTTATGGGTACCTGTGGTGCGGCACTAAAGTATTTAGTTTCCCATTTGTGGGCAAGTTACCATTCCAATTGCAAGTGGAGTTACTTTTGAATGGAGAAGTGTGATGTTCACTCAGGAAATGAAGTCAGATAAACCCTTCTTCCTTTATGATCTCTTGCCTGTCCTTCTTCTTCCAGTATGAAAACTTTCTTTCATGCCATGTACTTTTCTGACCAGTTCCTTCACGCATTACACAAGTTTCCTGCCACAATCTCATATGTGTATCTTCTTGTTTTCCAACCTTGAATCCCTGATTGGGCAGGTTTTCAATAATATTTGAATGTTTTATACAGCATAGTACATGAAGATACATTGTGAGGACTCTATAAGCATTCATTAGAGCTAGTGTTGCTATCAAACATGATCATTTTAATCATTATGGCTCCCTAATCACATGCACATTCCCCCAAAAAATAAGAAGAGGAGGGTTTTTTCATTTAGTTTTTAGTGTGTTCTTTTTTAAGGTGTGAGACAGAAAATCTTCACAGGCTTGACTCGTTATGAGACTATTTGTATTACCTTGGCGCAAGAAGCTGGAGTCATAAATCATTTTTTGAAGTCAGATCTGTTCCACGAAACCTGCCTTACCTCAGGTTTTTGGCCTGACACCGAGGCTTTTCTGAGATTTCTCATGTCTGTTTCCAAACTTTCGGCATTTTCAGTGCTACTGCTCTGAAAGTCACATTGAGTCAAATGGAAGAAGAATGAAGAAACAGCTACCTAGGGTGCAAAGGCAGCAGATGTCTGGAGTTACTTAAGGCAGCAGACTAGATTCTATTCTGAATTTTATTTTAAATGTATATGATATAATGTAACATAATACATCAAAGGGAAGCCAAGGAACAAGTCCATGGGGAGCAGCCCGTATGAAAAATGCACATATTTCTGTTTCCCAAAAGAGGCAGGCATGGTCAATACCCTTTTTGACTGGACGGCCGTCATGCTGGCATAGTTTTTTGTGATGTGAGAATGATTTATTAGTAATCACATGCCCACCATTATCCTCTTACCAATGTTTAATGTAATAGCCTATGCATAATTTAACAATCACAACAAGACAAGTGACATTTCTTATGTTGATTAAACCTCTCTGTATGAACATAGAAACTATAGACCTTGAAAATAGGTTCATGTTGTATAACGTATACCGCTGCTTTTAATTTGTTCTGTTTAATTATATATGCTTAAAGGTTTAAAATATCTTTATAAGAGATTTTGCTGCAAATTCCAGTTTGCCACAAGGAATAATATAGCTTCCTTACAAAACATACTTTTCAGGAGATCCCACTGTAAAGCCTTAAGTTTTGAGGCTTGTTTTTCAGAAAGTTTTCTTTCAGTTTGAATTATCTGTATGGGGTGGACTGTGGGATTTGAGGAAATTCCGCAAAACCCTGAAACTCACACTTAATTCAAATTACCTAAAAATAGTGATAATTCTTAGGAAAAGAATCAAAAGATTCTGTTACTCATAAGTTTCTGGCAGATATTTTTCACAGAGACTTGAAATCTCCAGCAGATACCTCCCAGGTATCTTTGCACAAGACTACCTGTATGTAGATTGCCAGCAGGCCAAGAATGTTGAATTTTTGTCCTTTTTTAAACTGGAATTTGCGGCTGTTTCTGAGACTGGCTTCTTCTATCCCACTTAAAAACCCATTATAGCACCAAAAAATTGGCATTTATACTTTTACGTTTAGGGTGAACCAGGGTTAAATGGTCTTAAAGGATTGAAAGGTGAACCAGGTCAAAAGGGTGACAGAGGGCCCCTTGGTCTTCCAGTAAGTAAAAAACCCCAAACCTATTCAACCTCAGTACAAGTCACAGACTTCTCTTTCTATTTTCAATGAACAACTCTGGTTTACTCAAGAGCACACATACCATTATAGAGCAGAGCATCAGTCTTGTTTTGTTCTACTCAGAATCTGTGCAGTTGTCTGAAGTAACGTCCTGTAACACCCAGTGCTGTCAGGCTTGTTACGTGTCAGTTGAAAGTGTTCAGTGTCATAAGGATGCCATCAACCCCATTACATTAATCATTTTGTTATTTAAGTGTTGTATGGTGTTTGCGTTGAATAGGGAATCTTCGCATCTTCCCCACATCTTCAGTTATTATTCATCTGCGCTTCTGCAGAAAAAAAAAATGGAGAGTTCTAACTGAGCAAAGTTAAAAATTGGCTTAGGGAGTTATTTATTTTTTTTCACCCCTAATTCATTAGGGGTGCTGGATTCTTCCTTTTGCCTTGTTTTTGGAATTGAAGGTCCTAAAAAATAACATTTTATTTTTCATGGAAATGTTATGGTTCTTAAAATTTAGGTTGACAAAAAGAGAAAATAATTTTGTGCTTACTTTGTGTATACGAAAGCACTCTACAAAAAAAAAAAAAAAAAAAAGGAAAGTGCTCATTTCTAATTTTTTAAACATGATGATTGCAGCATGTGATCACATTGATAGTCGTAAAATGGAGGGAAGAGATTTAGTAGGCCCAAAGAGACCAAAACCCCTCTGATGGATATTTTCAAGAATTATGTACAGGACCTCTGGACAAGGTGAAAATTCTCACTGAATCTGACAAAACCGACTATTTTTCAAGTTGTCAGTTCCAGCTATGGAAAGAGGGAACTTTGGAGATCTGACCCAAAGAAAATTTGAAAAGTCTGATCCCTCAAAAATTGCTAAGACGAGTGTTTGGGCTCTTCCAGAAGTGTTTGTTTTAACCTGGAGAAAAATGCTCCTTTACTTTTTCAACTTATACAAACCTTATCATACTCTTCCTTTTCCTAAATGTCACTTTATGGAGCAAAGTCAAAATGTTTGATTTTTCTAAAAGTGGCTCATCTTCACCATTAGTGAACTATGTCTCTTTTTTCTTTTCTCATTTTTTTTTTAATTAATTTTATTATTCTTTTTTTCCGGCCCAGCTTTATTCCCTATTCCTCAGCTATCCAAATAGTTTTGGCCCCCTTAGTCCCAGCACTGTTGCCCTCACTGCTGGGATAGCCGAGCAGATCCTTCACAGCTGTTATTCGCATAAAATCCACCAGAGGTCCTCCCGTCCCCAAGGATGCTGAAGTCAGTAGCCCTCCGAGCCGGCTGCTGCCCACTCGCCAGCCCTAGGCTGAGCTCTGAGCTGGGAGAGCATTGGGAAAACAGGAAACCTGCTTCTCTCCCGGGCTCCTGGAAATGAATGAGCCCATTGTAGTCAGGGTCCAGACTCTGTTAGCTGCATAATGCACTATTCTTGCGCTTAAATACTTCCTATCACTGTTAACATACATTTTTCTTTGTGCAGCAGAGTATGCAGTATTGTCATTATTTACAAATTGGAAAGTAAGCAAGTAAATTACAAAGTAAATATTTGCGTGTTAAGGCTCAAAAACACCCTAGCATCTGGTGTTTGTAGCATTTGTGTAGCCTCACGCTTATTCTGGTCAATTGTACCGTGATGGGAAGGCAAGGGCAGGTCAGTGATGTTGCACTGTCAGAACAGATTCAGGCTCTTGATGTTTTATGTAATTTTTTAACTAACATGCTGTAGTAATGTGATACCCATTCCAGAACCCTGTCACAACTTGTACTGTACGTTTGAATTATGTTTATTCATCAGCACCACTTACTAATCTCACGTTCTTGTCATCCGTGTTATACCCATCATCCATGCTTCCACCTAACCACACAGGGAGCATCTGGCTTAGACGGAAAGCCAGGACCCCGGGTGAGTCCCTCGTCTTTCTGTGTCACTCTTCGTTACCGAGTCTGTGTGCTTTCCAGCCGGCCACACTCTCCCAAGGCACGGAGGAATGAAGGCCAAACGTCACAGGCATTTTCCATGCCGGATCAGAGGGGGCTTCAAGCAGACTCTTGGGGCGATGTGTGGGGGAAGGAGAATGCAAGTACCTGCAGAAAGAGCTCTGAATCTTACAAAGCCAGTTTGGTTTTCATTTTTGGTTGGAGAACTGCTGCAAAGCCTGTGTTGGTTGGGGTGCTTATTTTCCTGAGTAGGGTCAGGGATTTGTTTTACACAGCAAAACATATTTGTTTTATGCTAATATGGAATCAGCAAAATGGATGCAGATGTGCTGGAGTCCCACCACAGGCATTCTTATATATAAAATAAATGTTAAATTATTTGTTTCTTATCATGATAAAGGAGTGGATAAAGTGAAAAAAGGATAGAGTTACGTATCCAAAGGTTTCTGTAAATCTGCCATTGATCACTGCAATGGGCATATCCACCTTGTAGGTGGACATTTCAATTTACAAAATCAGTGCTTAATAATAAATATTATTTGAACTTTCATATTCTACTGGCTAAATTTCTTTCAATAAATTTAAACTCTTTGTCTGACTTCCATGAATAAATCAAATCCAACTAGAAAATAGATGGGTTACCATCTAACATAAGAGCTTACAAGGTAGCGTTTTGAAAGCCAAATGGACTTGTATGCCCAGGTCCCAGCACAATTCAGTCTGCATTTTCGACTGGTGCAGGCTGATTCCATGTTAGTTCTTGGCTAGAAGACAGCTATTAAAACTAAAGACATGTGAGAACAGGACTTCTCTCTTACCTCTTGGTTTCCTTTCACAGGGTGTAGATGGCCCAGTTGGTCCCCATGGCCCTGCAGGTCCTAAAGGAGATAGAGTAAGTATAATCTCTGCGGGCTTTTCTTTATGAAGAACGTGCCACAAGAGTAAAATACCATACGGCTACTTATAGTGTGCCTAGATGTTACTAAACAGAACAGTTTCATCATAGAAAGATCAACCCAGAACTGTAAATGCATTCAAGCTACGTGCACATTTATCCATTTAATCATTGATTTTATAGCTCGTTAACTTCAGAAGAACTTGCATTTTGTGATTACTAATTGGTAAGAAGCTTACAGGACTTTTAAGTTTACAGTGCTATGCAGATCATAGGTTTGTTTTTTTGTTTTTTTGTTTTTTTTAAATTTCATCAATTAGCATAGATAATTTGAGAGAACAAACTGGAAGATAGTGTGATCTGTGATATATATATACATGAAATTGTTAAAACCAAAACCAAAAACCAACCAAACAAAAAACCCTGAGTATTCCTGAGGTATTTGCACTTAAATTTTCTATCTTGAAAATAATTTTTAGCCTCTATAAACATTTTTTTTTTAAGCATGGAAGTTAGGAACCCTCCTCTAATTTGAAATATTCACAGTAAATTTTCTTCAATTGAAATAGGATAGAGTCCTTAATCTTCAACTATGAAGGCTGTCATCTTTAACAATACTGCAATGAACTTGCACAACAAAAAAAGATGATACCTTATACTAACTAAAATTTCCAAGGATTTCCCAGCCCAGACTCATGTCTCTTTGAATTTCTCAGTTTAACAAAACAGCTGTGCTAAAACAACTTCAGACTTGATGCACTGGGGACACAGCCATATGGCTCCGGTCCAGTTAACATTAGCAGCAGTAAAATAAAGATATACGTGACGTAAGCATTCATTTCTATAGAGCTGTTTGTTGAAAAATAAATACAAGACATGCAATGCAGTCCAAAATAGGAACAGTGGCCTGTAGTTAACACTCAGGCTAGTTCATGGTTAGTCTAAAGGACTAGGGCTTTATTCTTTCTTTTTTTTCTTTTTTTTCCTTTTTTTCTCCCTCCCCCCCCCCCCCCCCCCCCCCCGTTTTTGTTTTTTTTTTCCTAGGGGATTACAGATTCAAGTTTTTCTTTTTTTTTCAGCTAGGACATAACTTTTTTTTCTATCAACTCTGTGGTAAGATGGCTGAACACTATATTCAGCATTTCAGAAAATACTTGAGATGAAATACGCATATAGAAGTATACAGAAATACTGTGCATCTTGTTCTTGCATTATGAGCTTTCATTGTGAAGGATGTTCCTGTTTCTGGTTGAAATTCCTTTCAAAAACAATGCACTATCATATGTGCTATTCTTCTTGTATTCTTGTATTGAGAATAACTATAATTGTTCTTCCTTATGAAGTATCCAAGGTCATAATCAGTCATACTGCTGGATCTAGAATCAGCCTCATTATAGCTGTTGAAAAGTTGTATTTAGAAAGGAGCTTAGAGCTGCTGAGATGTAAATCAGTTCAATAATTCTATATACACAGAGGGACAGATTTACAAAAACACAGAAACTAAGGTGTGGAAGAGATTCCTGAGCACCCACCATTTTCTGTGCAGCTGAATGAATGATGGGAGGAAGTTCACAAGAAAGATGGAAGAATTTTTTTCCGAGCAGTCAACTACGTTGATTATTGCTATACTTGTTTATTTAATAATTTCATACTGCTTAGGAAGAGGAGTTTTTCACAGAATAGTTATCCTAACAGTTGCCTGGGGTTGGTATATGTCTTGTTACATAAATAGCAAATCATATATTCTTAATAGAGTCTTACAATTGCATTTGCAACCGTTGAGCTTGTTTATGTGAAAGCAGGGGGAGAATGTTTTTGCCTGTAGATCTCAGACTTTATCTTTTAATTAAAAGCTGTGCACAATGCCACCGCTCTGTCGCTGGACTGGATCATATTTTGTCCATGCTGATAAGAAAAACCTTGGACCAATATTAACCTAGAAGGGCACTAATGAATCCAAAGGTGAAATATAACCACATTGTATCCAAAATAAAACTGCGTTCTTAAGGCCACATTATTTAAAATTTGGAAAGACAATCTCACTTTAAGAGAATACTTGTAAAATGCTGGTCACTGTACATGTATGTCTCTTTAAAAGTTGAGGAAAAGAAAGTATAATTAAACTAAAACCCAATTATTTCCTCAGTAGAAACTATGATTTCATTGTTGCATAGGCAGCATTTGTGGCAATGATGAATTACTCATCTTAGGTAGAACAGACCTGTACAGAGTAGGGATTCTTGGTTTCTTTCAAATTTCGCTTTTTAATTAAAATAGAAAACATCAGTCAGTCCTTTATGCAAAACTTATTTAAATGGTGAAAAACTGGACTATGGAAATAGTGAATGTCACTAGAAGATAGGAAACCATGGATTTTAGAACAAATGTCCTCACTGTATGAGCTTAGCCGTGCAATTTTCTCTCTCAGCCTTGAACTGTTCATTGATTATTAAAAGCAAACACAGGATTTAACATTTCATTAAGGCTGATACTGGTGAACATTTCAATACTCTATGTGTTTGTGTATTTCTCTTGGTAGAAATAAAAATGGTGGTGAACAGTTTGAATTGTTATCACATATTTTAGACCAGTGTCTTTCAGCCCTTAAGAAACTTTTCAGCTACTGCAAAATTGAAAAATATCATTTTGCCTAGGTGCTTAGACAGCTTTTACTGAGGTCATCTTCATTAGATGAAGGAGTTGATTGTAATAGGTCTCAGGGTTTGGCTTTGTAGCTGTTCATCTCATTTGTATATTGCCCTGGGAGAAAGTAAAGAACATTGGTAAACAGACAAACCTCTTGAACTGCAACCAGTGAAAGGGGACGTGTAAAACTGAAGGGTACTGACAGGCAGAATGTGTATCCAACTTCCTGTCAGGCTATAAGAAGCTGAAAGCGACAAAATTAATATAATACTAATTTTGGGGAACACCTGCCTGGATGGCGAAGACCTGTTTTTGAGTTTGCTTTTAGCTCTCGGACATATAGCCTATGCAAGGTCATCACTGCACAAGTTCTGCACTGGGAGGAAGAATGCATTCTTCTTAATTTGGTTAAAATGTTTGTCACCATGATAATGGCATGAAATCTCCATCAGTCATGACGGAGACACCAGTTATGCAGTTTTATTCCTGCAAACCATATTCACCCATGACTCAAGAGACTGAACTGAAATAGGAAGCAAAACACAAGCCTATGGTTTCTGTTCTTTGGGCATTGATGAATTCTCTCAGAAAAGATCTTAAAACCTTTTTCTGAACTTTGCAAATATCCATTTCCCTGAAGGAAATACTTTATTCTGAGTGCTAAGGGCAGTATTCCTATGACAATTCATCAATCTTCTATAATCCATAAACATTCAGGACCTCATCTGATATTCCAGACACGTTTCAGCATGTGCTTTGGATTGGAGGCAAAAACTGTGAGATACAGTTCTCTGAATGTACTCTTACGTAACAGATGAGATTATTTCCCTAGACTGATATGCTAAGCATTCAGTATTTTTATGTCTACCATATGTTTAGCAGTGTTATAGGCCTGCCTTGTGAGGACTTTGTACAGTCATCTTTGCTGTTTAAGACTGAAAAAAAGACACTTAACTAGTCTTGACGTGTTTCAAGTATCAATCAAAGGATTTTGTAGCTGTTATATACATAGGTCAGCACATTAGTTTCTTCTCAGCAGAAAGTTTTACAGCTGCAAAGGAACTTACTGTTTTGTAAATCAGCTGCTACTTCCCCATGCCTCGTATTGCTCTGCAAAGGCATCCAGCCTTAGTGCTGCTCAGAATCGGCTGGAGGTTAAAAGCATGAAAAAAAAATTAGGCATTACACATCTGATCTCCTCCTCTAAAGTAAGTATAGACAGCATCAATCTCCATAAAAATATAAAGTATCTAAAACAATCAAATGTTGGTTTCTCCGACCAGCTCCTTATTGTAGTGATTATTTAACAACTGGTTCAGACACTCGGTTTATTCTGGTGCCTACATTTTTGTATTATCTAGCCAATACAATCTAGATTTAGCAGCCAGTTTTTAGAGATGTGAGGGACTTGGCTGTGCAGATGGTCAGCACTATTAATTAGGCACATCTACATCACTGCCTTGTGCTTTTAAGAATAAAGAATAGAGTAATGAATTAATAATGAGTAGTAAATAACCTAGATTTTTAAAGGTCTTGTATACACGATTATCTCAAGAGCAAAAGCGAGGCAATTGCTAGGGTGGAGCACAGCACTTTGGTGTGACAGAAGCCTTGCACAAAAGCTTGTGGTGGGTTTTGTTAAGGAAGCAAGGCACGCCCAGTGCTTACATGGGCTGATGTCAGCCATCTCAGAAAGCTTTGCTCTATTGTCGATCAGAATGATCTATAGGAGAGCACAGATGATTAATGCTGGCAACTTGAAATCTATCATCTTGAAACTTCATTTCATTTGGAAAAGTTTGGTTTATGTTATATCCCAAAATGTTTTTCGTAACATTCCTCTAGAAGCTGGAAAATCTTCCATGGAGTTTAGTGCTGAATGAGGTCAAACTTCTGGAGTAGTCTACTTGTTTTTCCTGCACATCAATGCAGTTTTGATTTAATAAAACAGTGTATTTGCATCTCTAATCTAGAATCCAATAGAGCAGTTAATAACACCACACGCTGAGTGGGATAATCTCCACAATGTCACTGGCAATAGCATTGCCTGATTAAATACGAGCTTTGATTGACATGTTATTTTTGCTCATCACTGTGTCAAATCTTAACTGCTGTGCTGGAGCTTGATGCAGTATTATTCCCAGTTTTCATTGGATTTTTACTGAGTTGAGTGTTGCAGCTGTTACAGGCTTAATATTGAAATCAGTGCAAATCATTTGGAAAAATATTTTCAGTCACTGACTCATTTGAAAACAAATATCTTGTACCCAGAAAGTCATTTTTCTTAGGAAGTAATATATGCCTCCTCCCTGCCCCCTGAATCATTTGCTGGATATTTTTAACTCAGAAAAATTGGGAATGCATAAACTTTAAGACAAAGAAAGCACTTTGTAGAGTCATTTCTGTATAACCTAGACAGTGTTTTTGTTTAGTTGTTCTGTAATCTTTTCTTAGGGTGAAAAGGGAACAGTAGGTGACCCTGGACCCAGAGGACCGTATGGTTTGCCTGTAAGTTGCATGTAGTTTGTACACATTGCTCTTTTCAACACTTCTTGATTAAACTGTGTGTTTTATGACTGCTTTTGACCTAGCAATACAACTAGTTGGAAAAGACAAACATAGATAATAATTCCTGACAATGCAAGATCACTGGCCTGTATTGCAGACTTTGATTCCTACTCAGGCATGCATGTCATTATGCAAAAGCAGTGAAACAGACCAGCCACGAAGCACCAAGGGAAAGGAAAAAGAATTCTAAGTGCTCCTCTATCTGCAGCTTGTGGTCTTGGTTGTCAGGGTGCAAGAGTGGCAGGAGTTTGGGATGAAATGTGAAAAATGTGATTGTCTTAGGGTCCATAAGTTGTTCGGATTTCCTTTCTGCAAGACTCCTTTGCCATTGTATTTTTTTTAATTTATTTTTTTTTGACACTTCAGAGACATCAGGTTTGTTTTCATTTCTGTGTGTTGTGCTCAGAAGCACTTTGAGAAGTCCACTGGTGGATCATTCACGTGTGGAGATCATATACTTTAAACCGTTTCACTCCTGAAGTATGAGTAAGAACTTCCTTTGACTGAATGACCTCACTGAGATCAGTGGGCTTCCTTTGCTGATGGTGGGGCCAGCTGTGTATACGTACATATTCTGTATGCTGACAGAAGCAAAGCTGCAGCAGTGTGCTGTGCCAACAGAACCAGCCTCTGAGAGAAACTTGCAATGCTTCCATACCTTCTCCAGTCTAATCTGTTTGAGCCAAAATTAAGTCGAATACAGGCTTGCGATTTCATTGGATGCATTTAATTGGATCAGGAGTCAGTGACTAAGAGGCAGATTCAGACTCTGTGGAATGCTGCACTAACTTGCCGTGCATGTTTATTTGAGGGTCATTTTTGTGAGTTAAATTAGATATAACAAAAAATATATACATATTTGTTTCCTCTTCTTGGGAACTATTTTTAGCCCACTCCTGGAACTTGCATACAATCAGCAGCAAAATTTTACAGTCAAGTTATCAGTTCCTGGAAATGTTAAACACTGATGGACATGTCCTTCACTAATTGCAGTGCTATGTGTACAGTCTTAGCAATGTGTGATACCACTGCACAGAGTGGACGCAGAAGTGGGGCGTTAAGTTGGCCTTTCAATATCAGAGCTTAGGGACACTAATGTAGTTTGTATGGTTCTTTGGCAGGGCAAAGATGGCGAGCCTGGCCTTGATGTAAGTAATATGTATGACCAATACACTCATGATGGTAGGTAAGCTTCTCTCAAAGAACAGCTTGCTGTGTGTAACACATTTGTTTCCATTTAGTGTGCATGCAGTACCTACAGAGAGTGTACTAAATGCTGCATTTGCTCTCTCCCTATGACAAAGAGAGCAAAGAACATGCAATGTACATCCCTTGTCTACCAGTCCCACCAGATATAGTGCTCAGTAATACAAGTAGTTGCTCCTTTGGAAGTTGATAGGCTGAAAAACTGCCCTTGGTAAGAGAACACTTCCACAGTCAGACCTGTGGCTCGCTTGGAGCAGAGGAATGAGTCACTAACATTTAAGTAAATTTATCACTAATTAAAGAGAACAATTCCATAACTTCCAAGTGATGCATTTCAAAGTATAGGCCCTTTCTTTGGGTGCACGACTTGCTGAAAGCCTTTCTCTCCTGTCCTCCACCAAAATCCCTAATTTGGAGGAGTCTTTTCCAGAAGCTACTTTTGCTGCATAGCATGCATATTGCCATTTTGAGTGATAAAATTTCTTTCTGTCACTGGCAAGGTGACTGCCAAACACCATGACTTGCTTCACATGCTCTCATGCATGCATGGGTATGCATACATCACATGTACATACAACGCATGTAGTGAAGTCACCTTTTTGTACATTTTCCAAGAGTATTTGAAAGCTTAGCCTGCATGTGAGTAGAAGTCAACCTATCTTTGTCCCTTTTTTTTATAGGGTTTCCCTGGTCCTCGAGGAGAAAAGGGTGATATAGGAGAAAAGGGAGAAAAGGTGACCACAATGTTATTAACTGTTGTTTGATTCCTTAGCATAGCCAGTTCTGCTGTCCTTATTCGATGAATCGTCCCATTAAACCTGCTCTTTGTTTTTGCTGTGTGCCAAAAGGCAGCTCACAGATACATGTTAAACAAAATCCTGTCTTAGAATGACCATGAAAATTTATGCACAGAACTATCGCCGTGTGCCAAAGCACAGTTTGTTTTTAGGCTTACTTTCTTCCATTCCTCCTGTGCTGGTTGAAAGTCCTTATCAGCCTGAAATTTTTAATGCTGCCCTCACTGACAGGAGTCATTTCAGTAGTATGGAAGACACTAGGTCTGAGCCTTGGCAGTATTTCAGTAACTTCTGACCCCAGCGTACTATGTCTGTACACGCTACATATCCAATACCAAATGGCTAGGGACAGGGAATGTTTGAAAGTTTAATTTTTGGCAGTGGCTTCCTTATATTTAAGAGAAGTACTCAGTGATACTTATGGATTTAAATTAAATCTTATACTACTCTTCTGGTAAACCAACCAGACAGTGAAATTAACAGAAACAGCCTAATGACATTTTGGCAGTCCACAGTGGCATGGAAATGTGTTCAGTATAGTGCAATTTAGGACTAAATACATGCAGAGCAAGCTCGTGAGCAAATCTCTGGTATTTCTAATCAACACAGAGCCCCCTTATTAAGCTTCCTTCCAGTTGCTAAAACTTGCTTTTTACTCATACCAAGCCCCTTAATCTAAAATTCCATATACACAGCAGGTCATTTTCCTAGTCAGACAACTATTTTTGCCTAGCTGACACACACCAAGTTATACTCAGTCTACATCCCCTCCAGGAATCTTAGACAGGAAGCTGAGGAAAGAAGTCCTTGTGGCTGTTCTTCTCCCTCTCTTAATACCATCAGGTAAAACAGTTCCTAAAAAAGGCATCATGAGGATACTATGAAATGCGTCCGTCCTTTCTGTCCCCATTACACTGCTTCCTTGGAGCTCAGAGATCACTGTAAGGTACTGGTCTTGGAGAACAACTGTTTCTTGTGCTCTATGAATTTTGTAAAGGCAGTGGCTGACCTGGCAAAGGAACCACAGTGAATGGTGAGCTGTTGCTTGCTGTCAAAGACTTTGGGTCTATCTGTCACAAGTGAATCTCTTCCTTATACATTGTCAGAACATTCAAAAAATTAGAAGGCAAAAAAAGGTCATTCTCAGTGAAAAGACAGGGAAGATTTAGCTGCAGCCTCTTAAAGAGAGCTTCCATTGCACACTTCTGACACATTTTTGGCAGAAATGAAGGAATACTTTTGTCTGGCAAGTAAACATTTCACTAGAAACACCTTAGCTTAGCATCAGTAGTTCCTTTTCCAAATGGAAGGCTGACTCTCAAAAGACCCAAAGTAATGCAAGTAATAAAAGCTTTCACTCTGATATATTTTTTCAGTTTTTCATTTTTTCCTTATATAAATTACTAATTATCTATGACTATATTGGTGTAACAAAACCTGATTCAGTTTACATGCTGAGGATCTAGCTCAAGATTTCTTGTTTTTTAAATACTGCTTACAGTATTGGCTGTTATACTGACTTCAAACACGTTGAGATTAGCAAATTTCTAGTTATGTAACTTAATTCAAGTTGCATCACAAAAAATCATGTCTTTACTAGCAAGCTGTTGAGAGGCAGCAACACTTGTTTTTTAACAGATATGCCTTGATAGGCAGCAAGTAAATAGTTACTTCAGAGACTGAATCCTAAACTGGTTTTTATTTTAGCCTGTTGGTAGTTCTACAGTGAAACCAAGTCAGTGTTTGCATTATAATGTCTGCTTAACTTGGCTGTAAAAAAAAAAAAAAAAAAAAGTTCCAACTGCAATTACTCATATAAAATTATAGTCCAGGAGTATTCAGCACAAAAGGATTTATACAACTGGTTTTGTATCTTTGAGGAAGGGCAAGAAGGAAATTTTTTTTGATTCTTCATGCTTCCAATCTCCTGTGGAGTCCAGGGTAAGGAAGTGAAGATTACTGCAGAAGAGCTCAGACCACGGAAAAACTAACAAAGTCTTCAGCAGTCTCAGACCACTCTCTATACAGATGATTGCTGCATTGGTTCAAATAGGACCATAAATTTGCCCTGTAAAACTGGAAGTTTAACTAGTCACCTGCTGACGTAACACAGCAAGTTAAAGAAATACAGATCCTAAAGACGTAAAAGAGAGTCAGAAATCAAACTGTACTGTCTGTTCTTACATTCATTTTTGGACTATGTCCATGCTATGTGCCAACCTCTACTCATGGTAAACATGTTTGTGTTACATCGAGCACAAATAACATGAGATTTGACCCTGAAACTGTTGGGCTTCTGTGCTATACTGTCGTGCTTGTAGGTTTAAGATGAAAGCTTATCCAACTTACAGTTCCTGACTTGTGACTTTTTTATTATTTTTTTTTTACATCAGTTTTCTAGTTTGGTACAGTATATTAATGTTTGGGTTGCTTTTTTTCCTAAATACCATCCTGCAACTTTTTGGCACACAGAAAAGATAGACTAGGAACTTTGTTCCTATCGCATTATGAGTGTAGTATGCTTTGTTCATGGAATATATTTTTTTTCATTTGAATGTGCAAGTATGCTATGACGTAGAATGAATAATGTGATTTTATTATGTCCTATTTAAATATAATATAGCTTTTCATTATTATTATTGTTTGTATAAAAAGTTGTTTTCTCTGTTAATGAATTATGTCTTTTTGTGCTGGTGTGGAACTAGTTAAACATCTGTTTGCTATGCTTCACCGAAACCCGTCTGCCTTTCCAAAGGAGCATTCCTTCCTTCTCCTTTTACCTTCATCCCTCACAATTCCTCTGTCTTTTTTACCCTTTTCCTCACAAATTAAATCCTCCCAGTAGCCACAACCTCGCTTGCTGGTTCTCCAATGTCATACTAATTTTCCTATGACTATTTTTCCCCATTTCTTTGTGATATTCCTGATTTACTCATCCTTCCTATCCTATTTTTTACAGTCCTAGCCCAATTTGTTTATTTTTTTTAATGGAACCTTTTTTTGATTTTTGTGAAATTGAGAGCAAGCCTGAAACTCATTTACCATTGTGATCAACTGGTGTGAAATCAATTAGAAAATGAACTCTCCAAACATCTTATACTGCTTGAAGGTGGGGTTATCTTTGCAGGTACCTTTGTTGAGGGGATTTGACTCATTTCCATTAGTAATTAAAGCAATAGAAGTTTTACATTTAAAAAGAAAACTCAGTTCAAACACAAGGGACTGAGTACAGTAAAATAAGTAGACGAAACGTCTGCTGTAGAGAGAACATTTAAATGGAACCATTAAATAAAGATTGTGTAAAGATTAGGATATTTAAAGAAACAAAAGTAATTATCATTTTTGACAGGTTTATGGTATCAAGATATTATGAACTCATTGAAAGTGCCATAGCACCTCTCCATCAAGCAGTTTGGATGTTTTGATTCCTGTAAAAGGGTTTGAAGTGAAGGGTCCCATTTTATTTGGAGTGGTACAATTGCACCCTCAGTGATGTCAGCCAGGTTTTAGTGGATTTTTTGTCCCAAACTCTTACCAGACTGCAGAAGGTCAACTCAGCAAAGAATGTGCTGGGCCAAATGCACCCTTGAAGCAAAACCATAGAGCCTGACAGAATTTTGCCAGAGACCGTCCACCCCTGCAAAGCATCCATCCCCCAAGTCTTTTTCAGAGAAACGATGCCGATGTACTCTGCTCTTGCAAAGTTGCTTCTGACTAGTGACAGATCTTCTGAGGAAGCTGCCAAACCCAGCTTGGCGTGCATGTGCACCTCAGAGCTGTCACTTACAGCAAATAGGAGACCTCTAATTTTGGACTATGGATTGGAGGGATTTGCAGATTTGCCTCTATCTCAAGAAATCAGTGATTTCAAGCCCTGTTGTAGGATTCAAAACATTCATGATACTGATATAAGATACCAACACAAACTAATACCAACTGATTGCAGTTCTTGCTTGTGATCATATAATTTATTTTTCCACATAATGCACCATCCAAACCAGAACACAGTGGTAAGTGTCCTTTCAGCTCTCCATTGGCTTAAAAAAAAAAAAAAAATCCAAACTTTTAAACCAATCGTTCTTGATTTTTTTTCCAAAAGAATAAAACGTGTTTTATCCAAACCATTGTATCCACAGGGGGAAAAGGGAAAGAAAGGCAAAAAGGGGCCTAAAGGGGAGAAAGGAGAACAGGGTGCTCCTGGATTAGATGCACCTTGCCCATTGGTACGTTTCACTTGTGTATTGGACAGTCGATTGTCCTGCTGTAGACCGACGGAATAAGAAATGAGGGGAGAGGAACGAGCACCAGCTAGTGTGTCACTTGTTGCCCTTTGTTAATGCAGCCTTATCTCAAGATCTGGAAATTATGAAGCAGAGTTGGTATTTCTGCCTCCCAATTTAGTTTAAAGCACTTAAAGACTCAAGACTTTAGAAGAAGATTTGGTTGTTTCTTTCATTATTTTCTGCCAACCATTGAAAAAGAACCAAATTCAGTGTGTGCCAGAGTTAGTTCTCGCACAGATTGAAACCACACCACTGCTGTAAGCTTGCTCCTCTTGCCTCGCTATTGTTATTTGTTCACTCCAGCTAAGTCAATACCGAAGGCATTTCCTTGACAGTAACATTGCAAGTTAATCTTTACAAACAGGGATTCCGTGGAATTAAGGGGGAAAAAGGGGAGCCAGGCCAGCCTGGCCTGGATGGGCTGGATGCCCCTTGCCAATTGGTACAGTATTTCTCTTTCCTACCAACCCTGCATGTGGTTCCTTTGTTTGTAGTCAGCCATTCTCAATGTAAAGTAATGTTTTTTTCTGGGCTGACTTTACATTATTCACGTAACACATGCATGTGCATGAATAAACCAGCTGCTTCAGTGATCATAACTGTAATGAAAGAACACACATTTTTGTTGACACTTCAAACCTAACTCTCAGCAGTTTGCTCCCACATTACATGGCAATTTATAAGTTCGTGTCCTTCCTACATTTTCCCTGAGAACCGTTTGTTTGTTATTTTCCTCCCAAAATGCCTATTGCCTTACTTACCCTGAACCCAAGTCTTTGTATAGAACCCCAGCACAATCACCACTTCTAATCAAGTCTGATGACTTCTGTCTGCACTGGCTCACTTTTTCACCCTAGCACATCCCAGAGCTACTCTGCACCCTGGACTTCCTTTCAAATCCAAACAGTCATGGGTGCATGTTTTCAGGATTTGGCCAAAATCATGTAAATGAGATTCATGTAAAGAATGAGATAAATATTGTTTCTGAAAATCAACTCATAGGTTTCCAGTAAGCAAAGCTGGAGCCTGCTCTCACAGACCCTACACAAACAAAAACTTTGGTGTATGGTCTGTTCATCAAACAGTATTCAAAAAGATTTGGAAATGAAAAGCTTACCTGAAGTTTGTAAGAAGATAACAGTCTGCAGCCCAAACCCTCACTGTCTTTAACGCCTTCAATTTAATGGTCTCACCCTTGGAACTTACCTTCCTGGAATACACAGAACACTCCCCACTTTATGTTAGCATGAATTCAAGTTCCCACCTATACTAAAATTCTACTTGTTGACCCTCTCCCTTGTACCAATCTGGCAACACTGATTTAGTGGCAAAGTAAGTTTAAATTTTTTCCATTTAAAAATAAAACAAACAACCACCACCAACAAAAAACAGTACTACAAACACATTTTCTAAAGAAGTAAGGATGATTTTTTAATTGTTCACAGTAAAATCTGCATGTTCTGATATTGTTTGTTGGTTAAGCACGGTTCTCTAAGATGAATGTTAAATTAAGTAGAATTTATTTCAACTTATAGCACTCCTAATTTAAAGACAGTGGATTTTAATCTTAAATACGTAGTCCATTAAGATTAGTCCATAGCCCATTTTGTTTGCTTCCACTTAATGGTAACCATATCTCATATATTTTGTTGGGGATAATCAAGCATGCTTTTGTAATTTAAAAATATTTCTGTCTCTTTGTTATCATTTATATCTGGAGGTTCGCTAGCATTGTTGATGAATGAAAGTTATTTCATTCCTACGTAAATACCAGAATAAGCTGCTAAGCAAACAAGCATGGGTTCTTGCTTTAGGCAGTAGGCCATTCCCATCAGATTACATACAAGCATATACAAAAATGCTCATTAATCACTGTCTTCACATGTAAATCCATGTAAGAAGCATTACTATTCTTTAGTCTTAAAAAAAGAAAAGAACAAAAAAGTCAAGACCTGAACTTTTTTGCTGACTACGCGTAGTCTAGTGCCATGGTATGTGTTGAGTATGTAACTCTTTGATGGGTAGGCCCATTATAGCTATGTGACTTGGAATTAGTTCCATGAAAACCTGCTTAACCAAGGTCAAAAGCTGGATCTGATCTCTCTGTGTGTATAGTAATGTGTGAACATAGGGTGGTGACAGAAAATAAATGGTATGACACTAGCATAAGAAGGAATTAGATGGGCGTACTGTCCAAGCGATGGCATAACGCTGATGGACTGCCCTGTTCTCAGCACTGTTCTCTTCTGCTTTGTCACTCGGAACTGTGTTCAGGGTATTAAGACTTTGCTGTTTCATTCAAAAGCCAAGAATGAAAGAGAACAGAAAAGATCATCACTGAATTTGAGTCTTGCTATCTTATCACTGGATTAACTTTGTGCTAGGGGCCCATAAAATGCAATACCCTCCAGATAAAAGTGATAATATTTTTTTTTTGCTTATTGATCTTGTACATTCAGCTACAGATTGTTGTGAATGACAGATTATATTAAAAAAAAAAAAAAAGTAGCCTAAGCTCTAACAGCAATGGGAAAGTGATTAAGATGCGATTAGATATACAGTTGTAATGATTTAGGAAAATACATCTTTATAGCAGAGAGGTGTGTATGTACTTACAGTTCACCTTGAGAACAAGAGAGATTAAGCTAGGAACTGGTAGCTACCTATGAGATAAAAAGGCAAAGCTGCTTCAGCTGTTCTAAACAGATACAGATGGAAGGCTATGCTATCAGATCTAACTATGCTCTTTTTATTTTTCTCCTCCCTTTGAAACAGGGTCCTGATGGATTACCCATGCCTGGCTGTTGGCAAAAGGTAGGATGGGCAGAGCTTTTCTTCCCAGGGGCAGTACGCCCTTGGCACACAGAAAACCTGAACAGTCATCCTGAACAACACGTTAGAGCCTTTTAGACATCTTGATGTATGCAGCAATGCAAAATAAGATCTTTCCATGACAGTAGTTGGTGTGATTAGATTACAATGTATGTAGAATAATTAATTGAGGCAGTATTTTAGAAACAGTTGGTATTAGATTTCTAGGAAGTCCAAAACTTGACTCTTCTATATGAAGAGACACACATCCTTCAGTTTCTGCACATGGTCACTGCTTCCCACTCTTAAAATCTTGTGGAAAGGATATTTTTACCAAGTACTGATACTGATCTATTATGGTGCTACTTTCCTGGGATATATCAAAAATGGTGCGTCGTGCCCATTTCTGCCTTACCTTTCTGTTCACCACGTTCTCCTGATTGTTGTGTTTTATACTAATATTAATTATATAATTAATAATATTACCTTTATACTAACATTAATGTCAGTGGCATCGTTATTTTAATGAAGATTTAACCTGGGCAGTGCTAGATTTAAAAGCATAGTGTTCAGACTAAAGCTGTAGGTGGGGTGATACTGGGTATATAATACACAAGAAAAAAATAAAGCGTAAGTGAAATCCTGGATACATTTGTCTCTGAAGAGTAGCTGGTGCTAAAGAAATAAATGATGTGTATTTGCAATTGTGCCATATCTATGTATTTGGAATAGAAGTCTGAAATACCGATTTACTAACCTGATCAATCTGTATCTCTTTTTGTCTCTGCAGTGATGAATCTAACCTTGCAAGCATGAAGTTGTGTATATAGTGCTCCACTTTTTGTATTTATAGTTGAAAACTGAACATTTGATTTTACAAGTCTGAGAGATGTTTACATGTAGCTGCTTCTACCTGTTTGCTATAGTCCATGTGTACATCTTTTTTCACTTACATCTGCAGTTAGATGGTATAAAACTGCAGGATAAACCTGCAAAGATTCTCTCTCTAGAGATACCTATACAGTGATCAATAATAGAAATCTGATTATTTCTGTAAATTCTTACATTTTGGCTTGTGGACCTGCATGGACAATGAGTGCCATGAACTAGTTTACAAGAAATTGTGACCAAATAAGAGCTAAATGCTATGAAATGTACTGTACCAGCTGCCATTGGAGTTTACTGACTTGGCTTTCATGTCCATCTTACACACTTCACTGAACCATGCCACTGCATCTGCTTGTACAGACTAAAAGCATGAGTTTGTGTGCCAAACCTGCTTGTTGTGTGATCACGTCACATGCTAAATGGCTGCTCACGGTGACCTTTGATTCCAGCTTCTGAATTGTTTCCTTTTGTCATCTCAAGGGAGTCACACCATGGCTTATTGCTAAAAAGAGATAAAGCAGAGGAGGATAGAAAGAGGCCTTGAATTTTTGGGGAACACAGTTCCAGCTGCAGGTGGATGGCTTCCAGTCTTGCGGGTCACCTAGCCCGTTTGATCAAAGAGGGTCCCGCCTGTTAATCAGCATCGGTTTGCCTTGCACTGCTCGCGGTCATGAAGACATTGGCGATAGGCCCTGACGGGTGCTTAATCAAGAAGGAAAGAAGTTTGGAGAAGAAACCAGACTTCTCTGTGGGTTGTTTGAAAAGGTTACAGAGATGCTGTGGGGATCATTTGATGGCAGACACCACCTGAGACCAGAAGCTTCTCAACCTTACTCAAAGATTGGCGCAGTTATGTGCTCTGCGTATTGTATTTTGGGACTGCTGAAGGCAAAAGCATCCTTGAGACATGGATGAATCAGAACATCCTCCTTTGGAGGATAATGGAACTGACCAGATCCGTATGTACCATGGTGTGGTTTTCAGGTGATTCAATTTATATTACACAAAGCTAGCTGAACTTCCCTGCAGAATTTTGGAAGCTATGATTAGCTTTGGTTCACTTTCCTGTAACAGTTGACATAAAGGATACATTTTGATAATCTATTCAACATTTGTGGTCATGGCATTGAAGAAAATGCTTCAAGTCACATTTTCATCTTGTTTCAGTATTAACAGTTTTTCTTTTACAGTCTTTGAAGCCTTTAAATCTAAGAAAAAAGAGTTTATTTTTATGTTTCACAGGCTGACTTACCTTGTTCTTTTTCTGCTGTTGCGGTGACCTTAGTGGACATTATTACCCATCAAAGATTGGAGAGAAATAAGTCTGTGCGATTACCACTGCCCACTTGTCATCACACTACACTGTTACAGGTGTGGTTATTTCTCCATTTCTGTTGACTAGGTTTCTACAGAAACATTGGCAAAGCTTTTCTTCTCCATCTTTTTATTACTAGAGATACTAAATACATGCACATTTGTAGTTTTTGCCACAAGGTATTTTTTTCCAGTTTTGAGTCTTCATATGGTGCACTGTTGTTAGTTGGAGAGACTAGTTTCAGAGATGGTGCCATGTTTGGCAGATGGAAATTCTTTTTATATCGCTTCGGTTCCTAGTATGTAGCAGGATGATCATAAGCTTTTTTAGTTACTTTTCTGAGAGTTGTCTTTCATATGTAGACCAAAACTAAAGTTGACAAAGGCAGCCTGTCTCCATCCATGTGTGGGTATTGTGCCCTTCTTGGAATGCACATTTTTCCTTGTTCAGTCATTTCATGTGAAGATGGGGACCTGTTGTGGTTGCACTTTTCATATTGCTTTGTGATATCAGATAAATATATACCACTATAATACTGTCTTTCACTTTGCTAAATCTTTAGTGCCATTTTGGTGTATAAGAGACAGAAACAGCTTTACTTGGAGGGAATCTTCCACAGATTTTCAAAACTAAAATTTGTTTTAGTGGACTCCATCTAATAGTACCGTACTAACAAAAACAAAATTCCAACCATATGTATTTAAATATACACGATATACATATTTATCACTCAATTCCATCCTTCCAACAATAAGATGTAGAGAAATGTTCACAAGCATGAAGAAAAATACTTTTCTTTGCTTGAATTTTCAGAAATGCAACTATCAACCTACTTGAATAATTACACTTACAATAATAAAGGCCTTTGCGTGGCATAGACTTGTGTTAATAGTTAGAGTGCTACAGCACTAATGTGACTGAAGGACTTTCCAGAAAGGGGACAAGAGGAGCATCACATAAGCCCTCTGACTTGCCAGTTTGCTTCTGCTTGTTTAAGAAGCTCCATCTCAAAAAAAACCAACACGCTGAGGAGCCAGCTGCCCTCCTCATAGAAAGCAGTTCCTCATGCCTACGCCCTGACTTGGCGCAGTTTAGCTGGGTATGTTGGAGATGTGAAGACTAGTGGTCGCTTGTTTTTATAAAATATTACATACTGGCAATTATACAGTAAGGTTAGATTTTATTTTTTTTAATGTCCTTCAGAGTGTTCAAATGCAAAACGCACTGGGATGTTTGTTATTTGACTAGACATCATTTGGAGATGCCATATTGAGTGTGTCCACAAACACTACTCGTTTTAGCGAACAGCGACAACATAAAGAGCTATTAAAGGCATGCTCTCATTAGCACTTTGACATTTCTTTAATTTTTTATCTATATTTTTAAACTGTCCTGACAGCATCCATTTCTATATGCCTCAATAAAGCTAGAAGAACCTTGGTTCATCGTTTCTTCATTCAGGAACTAAGTTTCATAGACACTACTGTTAAACATTACTCAAAAATCAATTTTCACTGAAATCTCTTACAGTGAGACCCCACTGAAGAAACAGTTTAGCACCTTTATTCACTTTCTTTTCTGTCCTGCAAAATAATTTCTTTCTTTAACTCCTGCCAGGTAGGAATACTGTTTTTTTGTTTGTTTGTTTGTTTTGGAGTTTTTTTCTTTTTTATTTTTTTTCATAATAATCTAATTTAACTTTTCCTAAACCTTTCATTGTTCACTTTCACGGAAGACTCATTCCATTTAAAAGGCCATGGTGAACAGCAGATAATTTAATTTGAAAGGTAAAACTACATAGATTTAACACTTAATATTTGCATAAAATATTTGCATTTAAAGATTTACTTGAAACGAAGCCTAATGGTATCTAGAAAAGTTGTATATTCAGTACAAGAAAAAAAAATATGTTGTGTTTAATATTTCCTCAAGAGAAAGCACCCTATGAAGACTTGCATCATGTTTATTTTGTTTAAAAAGCAACTGCTTTTGGTGCTAGTATATCGTTTTTTCTTTTGATGGCAAAGCTACAGTTTGAACCACCTGTGTGTTCTTATATCTTTTAGTAGCATTCCTCCAAACAGATAATGATTTTCTTTGCTTAGTTTGTGACAGGAACAAACTGTTCCCCTACCAGTCTTTTCAGTTATAGAAATGTGTACTGGTGTTCGTCTACACCGTTTCTATATCCCTGACCTTTTCAGGTATGATTAATTCTTTTTATTTGAGAGTTTTCAGTATTTGTTTCATAAAAAGTTTTGTAAGCATCTGTTACTTGAGTGTGTTATAGCCACATTGTGCAGAAGTCCTGCTACAGAAGCAGTAAGTCTTTTAAGCACTGTATGGAATATGTCTGACATACGTGGTCCTTGTCTTCATATTCATAGGTTAGTGTGGGGAATCTTTCTTTTTCAGGATGTTTTGGACACCTTTTTTATTTCCCCTGAGGTAAAGCATGAAATGTTAATTCATGGAACAAGTATACAATGTATTTTTTGATTTATATTTTTATTTATTGCTGATTTTGATGTCATGTTCTGGTAGTGTACTAAGGCAGAATGATGCTCTTCATCCAGCTGTTTATATATTCTTTTTGTCTACCGTTTAAGTATTATGAACAAGTTTCAAAATAACCCAATCAGTATACCTGCGCGCGCGTAAAGCATACAGTTCAAAAAGGGATTATTCATGTAGTTAGCATTGGATCCATTAAGCATTACAGTTGTGGATGGATGCATGTGGGTATTAGTTACTCAGTTACGCCATTGGAAGAGACAACACAACCCCAAATGAGGCGAGCAGTCCTTGGGTCCGTGTGAGAAGGACCTGGGTATTGTTTAGTAACAAGGGGAATATTATTGGCTTCAGCAGCGGTGTTTCTAAACATCACTGGCTGCCTAAATCAGGCAAAAACACTCACTACAGTGAGTAAAAGCTGCAGCGATGCTTCCAGTCTCTCGAATGTGATAAAAATGTTGGAAAACATGCAGAAGTTGGCCTTTCCTTTCAAATTTCCTGATCGCTGCTACTTGACCACCTTAAATTTAATTTTTAATTCTCTGTATTTTACCTAAAGAGAGACCTAAATTTTCACACTAAAGTCACACACAATACCAATATCAGCAACAACAGCGGTCAAAAAAGAGTCTGATTTTTAGCCATTGCAGAATAATATTCAATTTCAGTGACCAGAATGAAGACTAACACCTGTGGTTTTTGGGTTTTGTTGTTGTTTTGTTAGTTGTTGTTTTTTTTTCTCCTTTCCGCAACTTGCTTTTGTGGATCTGAATGTTGCTGCAATGTACAAATGAAAATTTTCTTGCACCCTCTGTTATTGCAGTATTTTACATGGTGGTTGGATTCATTAAATGATGTTAGAAACAAGTGCCTGCCACCATCATTTCTGATAGATTTTTTAAAAGATACTCCACAAAACAAGTGGAGTTTGTATTTAAAAACAAAGAAGGAGAAAATAAAAGAAAAAGAAAAAAAAAAGGGGCGAGGGGAGGAGTTGGAGGGTTGTTTTTGTTTCATTATATTTTTAAAATGCATCCAATTATCAATGCTGCTTGGAAATTTAATTTTCTTTGGAAAACAGGGGGCCTTAACTTAACCTGGGACCGTTAGTGTTTTACTTGTTTCTATTTAAAAAAGAAATTGTATGAATTTCCCAGATACCATTGGTACTTGCACACTTCTCTGAAGTATTATGAAGAGTTGGGTTGGTGGAAGAATGTTTTACATATTGTTAACATACATGTGGATATTCTTATATTATTGTACATGTTTGGGAAAATATCACACAACTTTAAAAATGTTACTAAGATGTATGTATCTGACTTTTTCCTTTGGAAAATATTATATATTTTTATTTGTATTTTTTACTTTTTTAAGTTCATCTATATGTGCAGTTATTTTTGTATTGCAAGTGGTCTCATAATTGCAGTAGAGGAGATAAAAGTACAAAGAAAAGTAATTTGGCAAGGATTACACTGCTTTGGGGGAAAAAAACACATGGGTCAGTATCATATTATCAATCCTAGAAATATTCTGAGTGTTTTAGCACTGTAAATATGTCACGAGACCTCTTTTCATGAATAGTGTAAAGAATTGCAAGGTTTTAATCACCCATTTTAATTTGTTATTAATTACCACTTTTTTGTGGCCTCTGGTCCTGACTTAATTGAACCTGATCAAACAGCATGCTTTTTTTTTTTTGTTTTTATTAAAATTTCTCCTTGTTTTTCAGTTGAATACTGTTTTGTTTTCTTTCGGTTTTGTACTTCATGTTTTTTCTTTTTTGTTTGTTTGTTTCTTGCTTGTGAGAAGTTGATCTTCAGAATTATTTTTACACTATTTATGATTTATTTTCATAATGTAAAAAGTGTGTAATTATTAAAATATCAATCCAACTGTTGGTGCTGATTTGCATAGTTATAAAGTTCTTAGTGTTGGTGCAAAGAAATTGCTCTGGTCTGTCTGGATTGGAAAAAGCTCGTGCTGTGTGGTGCTCATTTGCATTTTAAAATCTAGTATGGGTCACGTCAGTCAGCATTCACAGTGCCACAAAAATCGGGGCCTTTGCAATATGCTGCATTTTCCTACAGTGCACAATTAAAAACAAAACAAACAAACTTGCTCTTCCTATTCTTAATACACCTTTTCCCTTCAAAGTCAAGTCCATTTGGTCACCTTTTTTGAAGAGGCAGAAAAGATTACAGATATCCACAAGTTAAATAAGGAAAAGTAGAAGCTTTGTTGCAAACCTTAGAGCACCTCCTCACTCTGGAAAAGCTGCAGGGGTCTACATATCTGAAATTGAAACTATTGCTTACGCAAGTCTGCAGGCACCCTAGGATCCAAAGAAATAAAGCTGAAAATCACCCTTTCTATAAGAGTGATGTTAAAAAATAAACCTGGACTGTTTCTTGTCCCACAAAAGGACAGTGTCACGAGCAATGGTACAAACTAGAGGTCTGCTTTTTACTGTAAATCTGCTTTGTCCAAAAAAAGACGAAGCATAAGAATTATTACAAAATAGTATATTTTCAAAAGTGCCCTGTTCTCAGAAGACACATTTTTGCAGGAGTCTCCTTGAACAAAGGACTTTTTTGGAAGAACAAAACTTTGGGCAGTGGCTGTAATCTCTTCAAAGCATTGTTTAAATGTTTGTGTTTTCTAAGTCCCAAAATATTTCAGACAAACAAAACACTCCCCATTTTTCCCCCATCCTTCACCTCAAAAATGTATTCACTCTAGGCTAAAAGAAGAGACCGTGGGGTTTTGACCTCTACTCTTAACTCTCGGTAATCTCCGTAAGTGTATGTTAATCGTGTCTAGCTCTGTTTTAGACTCCTAGAAGTACTAAAAATAGTTTTGCTCCATTTCCCAGAGAAGGAATTTATAGCACACAGCTTAACTTGCCCAGTGTCACCGAAGAAGTGCCCTGCAAAGCCAATAGCAGGCGCTGCTCCCTAGGGCTGCCGGCGCTGGCTGTGACCTGGCTTCTCCTGTGGTGACTCTTGGCCTCTTCTTTCTGCTACCTTTCTTGTTTCTTCTCCTGTTGTAGAGGACAAAGAGTGGTTCTCGATACTGCTGCAGCTGTACTGTCAAGAAACAAGCAAAAAGTGTGTTTTACGTGATTTTGTTTTGTTTTGTCTGTCACTGTTTTTCCCCTTTAGCTGCAGCTGGCTAAAGCATGCTAAACCGGAGCTATGCTGGCTGCCTTTCCTGAGACTACACGTCGTCTTAGGGACCATTAAACTCATGAATCCTCCAATGAGGGAAGGAACTGGCAGTGTCTGTAAGACTGCGGCCCATAGGCCGTTCTCCTTTGATGAAGGGGATGCAGCTTTTTGGGGTTCCTGGGCACCTCCTCCTGGATCTGGAGGCTGCCCTGGGCCTGCCCCTGCTGGGCAGATGTGTTGGGTGGGTGTCCTCTGTCAGGGGCTTGTTCTTTCAGAAATAAGCCCAAAATTGCCTGCCTTCAGCAATGCCACTTTTGCCTAGCATCACTTTGTTAGCATGGGGTCAACCGTTTGGGACATTTCCAGCTTTTTTTTTTGTTATTTCCTCCTAAGCACACAGCTTCATTACTAATGTAGTAACAAACAGTGGGCTCTGGCTGCTGCTAGCACTCAGTGCTTTTCCCATTCTGTGATTTTACTGCCTCCTAGTTATCTTTCAGTATCAGGGTCCCTCTGAAGTGACATTTGAGTTAAGCAGTCTACTATAGACCTCTCACCCTACTGCACTAATGGGACGTTGGCTTTCCTCTGGAGGTCAGTCCTATCCAGGTACCTTCTTCATAATTTTGTGACATCCTGAGGCATTTATAGGGCTGCAAATGAAATAGCAGCTCATTTATTAATTTAAATGAATATTATATTAAATATAATAATATTTAAATAAATTAATAGATATTCAAATAAATTCATATTTAAATAATAAACATTAATTTATTATTATTTAAATGAAATACCTCTCATTTATTTAATGGATCTCTTAGTTAAATACTTAAAGGCCATCGCTTACATCCATCCCTGCTTTGTGGACTTACTAAACCTGCTAATCTTTACCCATTTAACAAGGAGTCTGTGGAGATCAGAAGAATGCAACAAAAGCAGGCTTTTATATACTCACCCCATGCAACTTCACCTAGTGGTTCGATTCTAATAGCCACCCAAAAATAATTGTTAGCAGAATAAAAGAACACAACAAAACAAGGAGATGACAAAACATTCGTGTTCCAGCAAGTAGTAACAGCCACACCCAAATACATGTGAAAAATAAAACAAGGGAATGTCAGAACATTCATTTTCCCACAAACAGGCAGTCTGTCTTCCCAGGGTTGCTAAATCATCTCCTTTTTTGTTGACTTCTGCTGCTTCCCAGTCTGAGCACTCACAGGATGTTCTTTCTCTCCCTTTTCCTGGCTGCAGGAGAAAAATGCAGTGCTTCTAAACGTTTGCTTGAAACTCAGAACTTGGATTCTCTGTTTATGTGTGTACACATAGATGCATTTATCTAAGCATACAAATAAATACATGGACTGTATTCTGTATTTTTAGGAAAATACTGTACAAAACCTGCTCCGAGAGATCATGTTCTGCCAGTGCAGTTGTACTCAACGTGCTTTAATTTGTGTCTGAGGTCAGAGGTGGTCACAGCTCCTGTCACATCAACTAAGACTCAGGTTTTGACATATATATACATCAAGATACAATTTTCAATAACCAATAAATATTCCTATTATTTTTGTATGTACAGATTACACCTTGACTGAGTTTTCCAAGTACCCACACCTAAACAAAGCAGTCATGAGTTCTTTCTAGCATTACCTTTTGTCTGGCTGGAATGAGAAGTACCCAGCATCTTTTTGTGCACTTGTAGGAACTCCCCTCTTTGTGGCATAGTAATTGTTGTGAAGTAATCTTATCTGGTAAAGATAAAATACATAGATATGGGGAAAACAAAACACAACAAACAAACAACAACAACAAAAAACCTCTCACTATTATCATATCATATCATAGAATGGTTTGGGTTGGAAGGGACCTCAAAGACCATCTCATTCCACCCCCCCTGCCATGGGCAGATGCCACCCACTAGATCACGTTGCCCAAAGCCCCATTCAGCCTGTCCTTGAACACTTCCAGGGATGAGGCATCCACAGCTTCTCTGGGCTACCTGTTCCAGTGCCTCACCACCCTCATAGTCAAGAATTTCCTCATAACCTGTAATCTAAATGCCCCCTCTTTTAGTTTAAAGCCTCTCCCCGGAGCCTTCTCCATGCTGAACATCCCCAGCTCTCCCCAGCCCTGGATGCAGCACTCCAGGTGGGGCCTCACAAGGGCAGAGCGGAGGAGGACAATCACCTCCCTCCACCTGCTGCCCACCCCTCTGTTGGTGCAGCCCAGGACACAGTTGGCCTTCTGGGCTGCAAGCACGCACTGCTGGCTCACGTCGAGCTTTTTGTTCACTAGATCCCCCAAGTCCTCTGCAGGGCTGCTCTCAATGGGTTCTTCTCCCAGACTGTGCTCATGTCTGGGATTGCCCACTTCTCAAGCCTGCCCAGGTTCCTTTGGATGGCATCCCTTCCTTCTGGTGTATCGACTGCACCAAATGGTCCACACTTCAAATCAATATCTCTCTGATTTAGAAATAAGGCTGTTGTGTGGGCTCATGTCAGAGGCCTTACGGAAGTCCAGGTAGGTGACATTGGTCAGTCTATTAGCTTGTGTGAATAAATTTGCCTTAAAAATTCTGGAACTGCAAGCACTACTGGCACAATCAGCACTGAAACAATTCACTACAAAAATTATTCAGGAGTCAGCAATCGTGGACAAGGCTCTGAAAAGCTATGCTGCTGTGAAGCTTGGTGAGGTGAACAGCTGTGATGGGTTTGTTTCTCAGGACGCAGCAGCAGCATGTGGATTGTCAGAGGTACGCTAACTCCTCCAACAGCAGATGGGTGAAAGGCACTTACTTCCTTGGAACTGATTGTAGTAACATTTGCTTGTTTTCATCCACCATGTAGGGAGACAGGAAAAAAAATGAATTAAGATTTTCAGAGAGCAGTAATTCTATGGAAGAGGAACAAAAAAAAAAAAGAAAATTGACAAGGTGCCAGAAAGTCCTGTCTCAGGGGGAAAAGACCTCCTCCTCTGCTCTACACATGGGATTTGGCAGGCACGTTCCTGCTGATAATATTGAAAGAATGTTCAAAACCCATGAGTCAAGAGGGAAGGATATTTTTCCTGATTTAAGTCCCATCCCATGACTCAAGGAACAGAGGTGCAGCCTGCCTCCTAACAAGCTATTTCACGTACCACTCTGAACTTTCCCAGTGAAGTTCAGTATTATGAACAAGCTTTGTTTGCTAAATCTGGAACAAAAAGTCCTGGTATAAGCAGGACTGGCTGCTGATGCATCTTTATAAAGGAGCGGAAGCACAGTAGCTTATATCTCACTGTGATCCAGGGTTTCTGAGAGACCAGGACTGGACAGGATGGTGTAAACAGCAGAAGTTTTTCAGCGTTAGCATTTCCTGCAGCCCTGGAAGAGGGACAAGGCTGTTCGCAGCACCAACAGAGGGCAGGGACACACACCGGGTGCTGGAGGCTCGTCTGTCCTTAAATGCCTTCTGACTCGCAGACTGCATGCTGTCAACAGTCAACAGGGAAACAGGGAAAACAGTGAAATGATGCCTGGGCTCGAGCTCTTCTGTGCATTATCTGTACAAAGGGATTGCAGTTAGGCACAGCATATAACGTACGCAACTTGAACTGCAACTACTCTGTGCTAATCATCATTTCCCAGCTTCCAGAGATGTAGGCAAAAAAGAAAAGTGTTACAGCACTCCTGACAGGCTCTAGTCCAGGCTCGATTTGGGCACCATCAGCTCTAAGTGCCTGTTCTTTTCATGAGAAGCTCCCTCAGTTGGTCTCTGCTGCACTTTTGTGCTGCTGGCTGGTGATGCCAGGATTCTGACAAAGCAGGGATGTGAAAGCTGTGGGGTTTCAAAACTGACATGGTCTGAAAAGCCAGGGCTCAGAAAAAAATGCCTGTAGGAAAAGGAATGCCAGCGCTCAACTACAGAAGCTGAAAGAAAGGTGGCTTATTTGGCAGAAAAGTAAGGAGGTGTGCTTCTTCACCTGAAAAACATGGGAAGAGGAGGAGGGGGTGAACCCACAACAGACAGGAGGAGAAGCCGAGGTGCGGGGCTGGCAGCTTGCCTTGCTGTTTGCAAAGGCGATGCCTCTTAACATCAGTGCCTGCTTTTCCTGGGGTGTTTGACATCCCATCAAAGGGTCACCAAGGGTATCCATGAAGAAATGCCTCCCTGAACCTACTCACGTCTGTGACTCTCACTAATTCGCCCTGCTTTCTGGGAATAGATATGTGGATGCTGTATAGAGGTACACACGAACAGATCCTGGGAGACAGGGAGCCGAGCTGTGCAGACGCTGCTACAGCCCTAACCTTACTTGAACCAAGTCCCTGGGGTCCCTCACCACGGCGTCTGCGATTTGGGAGCTGGAACGAGGGAGAGCAAGCGAGGGGAGGAGGCATGGAGGGAGGAGAGAGGGAGGGAGGAGGAGGAGTTTGCACTGGATAAGAGGCAGGATCCCAGCTGAGCCGCGCTGTTCTGTGCCATGCCGGGCGGGATGGAGGAGCGCTACAGCAAGGCAGAGACCCTCGCCCTGCGGAGGAAACACATCGGGTAGGGGCGGCAGGGGAGCACGGTGAGGGTGGTGGGACCTCGTCCTGCAGGAGCTGAGCCACACGCTGAAGGCTCAGCCAGAGCCCAGGCGCGTTCACGAAGCTTGTGTCACACCGGCTTCTCTATAGGGGACAGCTCGATGCTAAGGGAATCTTGCCCGCGTTGCACTGGGCTGCGTAGGGCAAAGAGAAAAAGACCTGCAGAAAGGGCTGACCTAGCAGAAGAGCGAAGTGTAGTCAAGAAGCAGCCCCAAGTGATGATGATGAGGTGTGCTTCTTTAAAGTGGAGCAGAGGAGTAGCCAGAGGCATCAGAAAAAGATGTGTGCAGCAGGACTATAAGCTTTGAGAAGGAAAGAGAGTAGATTTCCCTTTCCAGGAGTTGCCTCTGGGCTTTACAAGTTGGTGATCGCAGTGCACCCGACTGAGGGGATGCGTTTTGTAGCACTGAGTTACCTGGAAACAGCCGTGTTTATCTGAGACCACATAACCCTTCCTGAAAGTTTAGAATGCTTTCCCTCTGCTCAGCAATATCATTCAACATAATAACATAGCTGGCATATTCTCCAAGAGAGAAAAAAAAAAGGAAGGGGGGGGAGAGAGAGTTTAAAGAGGGCTTTGGATAATGTCACGTGGAACCTGAGTTTTGCTGGAAGCCAGCATGAATTGGGTGCTTATAAAAAGCTGCTTTTAAAGATGTGATTCAAAGCAGTCAGGAAGAAACACTGAGATTTTAGGTGCCTGCTCAGCAGCTCTGAAAATAAAGCCTCCGAGGCATTAGCATTTTGTTCTTGAACATGACCTCTGTGCCGTACAGTCGGCCATTGCGTAACGACTTTTTGGCTATAGCATAAAACAGCTCTTAACCACCCACCTTTATTCCCAGAGAGCTAACTGGCTATACATGGCCGTGAGAGATGTAAACAACCAGAGCTACAGCCCACAAATGCAGTGGGACATGTAAGGACCTGGAAGGACTTGCAGTCCCCATGCATGGAGCCCCTTCCAGACAGGGTCAAGGATTGCGGGTGCCCTTACCCGGGACTGCTGCTGTCCTGTGCTGCTGTGCCAGGGGGCATTCATCAGGAATGACTCAGAAAACTAAAACGGTGTTATTTTATACATTTTTTTAGGCCTTCCTGCAAAGTTTTCTTTGCCAAGGACCCTCTGAAGATAGTGCGTGCTCAGGGCCAATATATGTTTGATGAGACTGGAGAAAAATACTTAGACTGTATCAACAACGTTGCACATGGTAAGCAGTTTATCTTGTAAGACTGCTTCACTGCCTCATTTCTAATGGGAATTGTAATGCACGTCTTTCAAGTGATGATGACAGGGTCACAGGGCTTCCTTGTGTGGTTCGATAGCGGGCTGTTTGTGAGTAATACTAACTATTTTCTTCTTCAGTTGGCCACAGCCATCCATATGTGACAAAGGCTGCAACCAAACAGATGGAACTGCTCAATACAAACTCCCGGTTCCTGCATGACAACCTCGTTCAGTACGCTCAGCGTCTTGCGGCTACCCTGCCAGAGAAACTCTCTGTGTGCTATTTTGTTAACTCTGGGTATGTCTGCTTAGTTATTTTTTCATTAAGGCTATTTTCTCCCTGTTCAAGATGGACACTCAGAAGTAAGAATTTGTTAAAGTAGGACTTAGTAATAAGCAACAGAAATACTTCCAGTACTGATTGATTGCAGGATACTTTGTCTCTGCAGCTATCATATTTGATATGATGGCTCGGTGCAAGAGAGCCAAGGCATGAGACTGCTCTGCAGAACATCAGGCAATGGGAGCAGAGGGGCTGCTGAGGGCCAGGCTGGAAGTTTAGGTCTCCGTAGCAGGAGCAGACTTGTGTCCTCTGCTGCCTGATGGCTGGGGAGGATGGAGCCATCGTGGAAGGGGGAGACAGGGCCAGCATGCTCTGACACTTTCGGGGGGTTTTGTGGCCATGTTGTGCTTTCAGCTGCTCACTGCTCTGAGATGCGGTCTCGTTTGTGCCTACAGGAGGTAAATGTTCACAAACAAACTGGGGGAGGGAAATAAAGCATCTCTTTGTTTGCTGTTTGTACAAAGGACTGTTTTCTTCCTCGCCCTCTTATGTGGCATTTACAGTCACAACCTTAGCATTGTAATCTGTATAGAAAAAGAACCTGCTGTGTCCCCTGCCTCCTCATCTGTTAGCATAGATCTTAATTGGAAGCCCTTCCTCACTGTTTTGTGGATGTATCTGATGTGGTGCAGGTCTGAAGCAAATGATCTGGCTTTACGACTGGCCCGGCAGTACCACGGACACCAAGATGTGATCACCCTTGAAAAGTAAGTACATAGAGCAGCTTGTGTAAATGCAGCCAGCAACTCCTGCAATTACTTCAGAAGCAGCTGTGCAGCAACCCCCTGCTGTTTGTACTGTACTGCCTGCTGAAAGAAAGGCTTTGTTGCTTTCATAGTAGAAGAGGTCGGGAAATAAGTTTCCCTTTTTCACATTTGGATAATCACAAGTTCTGAAGATTTGTGAAAAACAGATTGTCAGTCACCCCAGAAGGTCAGTCACCTGTTACAGTTTTTGAAACATAAATTTCAATTTATGTTTCCCACAGAGAATGACAAAGCAATTCATGCCAGAGACATGAACGATAGTTTGAAACATCACTGCGTGGTCTAGCCACTGGGCTGTTCTGGAAAAGGGCTTTCTGTTTGTGATACTCTGCTGGAAATGCTTCATTTTGGACTTGAGGATCTCGAAGGTCTTTTCCAACCTAAATGAGTCTTTGGCTGCTATGATTCCCTGGTTCTAAATAAATAAGCATTCAGTGTTCACGAAGGATGACCTTGGAGCTCTGCAGTGGTGTTGATTCCCTGCTGTACCAACGCTCAGCTCTTCTCTGTTGAGCACAGGAGCATACACACAAACCTGAGCAGCTCCAAAATCAGGAGGAACTGAAAGGGCTGTCAGTCCTGAGGAATGTTCTTGACCAAGTCTCTGGGTCTCCCTAGCCTGGACGCAACTGTAGCATTGGTTACACTGCTGTTGGGCTGGATCTTTTCCTCAGGTCACAATCAGAAAATCCAACCAGAGCACATCTGTGACTGAAAGGCACAGAGTTTGTTTGACTCAGCTGTAGCCAGATCCCTGTTAGCCCTCCTTGACTAACAGGGACACAATTTGGAGCCCCTGACAGTAGTTTCAGTCAGGAGAAGCTGATGATGGAGCCGGCTCGGTCACTCTGCTTGACTGCAAAGTCTTGCCGGCCCGAACACCACAGGCTCCCAATTTCCAAGGCTCTGTGGGGTTTTGTTATCCTCTTTACCCAACGTGTCCGCTGCTGTCTTGTTGTGACTTACCTTTGTTTTGGGCTGCAGTTCCCTCTGCTTCAAGTTTATGGCTGAATGAAAGTGTTTTGGCCTCAATAGTAACCATCTTCAGCATACTTACAAAGCTTTTATAGTCACTCTTCACCTTTATCCCGTGACTGGCTTTGGCCAAACAGTCAGGCCTTCAGGGCAGGTAGGGGTGTGCTACTGCTGTATAAGGGCCACAACCTCTGTTGCAGTGCAGACCCTTGAGAGTCTTTGCAGTGGTGTTAGGGCCGAGCTTACAAAGTCTGGGCTGGCCAGAGCAGGGCCTGCAAGGTGGCCATGAGGCAACTGGACCCACCCTGCACTGCTGTTCGTAACTGGCCAGGGCAACCGCTTCAGAGCTGGTGCCATCCAAGGGACATCACCTGCCTGTCCTCACACTGCCATCTGGGTTTATGCAAGAACAAAAGCTCACCCCTGGTTCGTCTTGCTAGTGAATTAAAGCCAACAGCAATTTCGTATTGCCTTTGAGAGAAAGATTGAGAGAATTAAACTAAGATCCCATCACAAACAGTGCTACTGTGTTACAAATACAGCCTCTTATTCTGGTTTATTTATAAGCAAAATGGTAAATTTAGCTCTTCTATAAATTTGGTGACTTCAATATTTAACTCTCATGCAGTGCTTACCATGGCCATCTTACATCTCTGATTGACATCAGTCCCTATAAATTTAATCAGCTGGGAAAGGACAGCAAGAAGGAGTTTGTGCATGTGGTAAGTGAGCTTTTTTTTGTTTTCTTTTCTTTTTGTCATTGTTATGCCTGTTATGTGTTATATTCAATTAGCTACTTCTGGTGTAAATATACTTTCATTCTGCTTTGCTGATTCCAGTGTTGTTGTGGTTTAACCCGGCCGGCAGCTAAACACCACGCAGCCGTTCACTCACCCTCCCCACTCCCTCTCTGGGACGGGGGAAAGAAATGGAAAGTGAAGCCCATGAGTTGAGATAAAGACAGTTTAATAAGACAGGAAAAAAAATAATAACAATAATAATAATAATACAATGATGATAATAGTACTACTACTACTAATGTGTACAAACAAGTGATGCACAACACAATTGCTCACCACCCGCTGACCGATGCCCAGCCTAACCCCGAGCAGTCCGGCCCCCCTCCCCCAGCTAGCCACCCCTATATATTGTTTAGCATGACCCCAGATGGTATGGAATACCCCTTTGGCTAGTTTGGGTCACCTGTCCTGGGTCTGTCCCCTCCCAGCTCTTACTGCACCCCCAGCCTGCCCGTTGGCAGGACAGAGCAAGAAGCTGAGATGTCCTTGGCTTGGTATAAGCACTGCTCTGCAACAATTAAAACATCGGGGTGTTATCAGCACTCTGCTCATCCTAAGCCAAAACATAGCATTCTACCAGCTACTAGGAAGAAAATTAACTCTGTTCTAACTGAAACCAGGACAAGTGTACATGCACTGTACACTGAGTGTTTGTCAGTGGACTTAACACAGCAAAATTGTTTGCTTTTGGATTTCAAAGAGTCCTCATTTGCAATGCCGAATTCATTTTGTAGTACACTACAAGTTTTCATATTCATTGCACTGTACAGATACACAGTTTGAGGAAGGTAGCCAAGGAAAGGCAGAGCCCATCTGCACACAGTTCTGGGTATAGAGCTCATATTCACCTTAACAGGCTACCATTTGATTTCCAGCCTGATCTTATATATCTTACTGTGACAAAAATCATTCTCAGCTCAGAGGAGCACACCAAATTGCTCACAGGTCTTTCCGAATTTTTTATAATGCTCCCTTTATTTACTGAACTTCTTCCAACATTGTTGAAGGTCATACAGATTCTTACTGCGATGAGGATGCTGGAAATCAAGTGCCAGACTGGAAAACCCAGTTTTCCAGTTGCAGGAAGGGAAATTCCTGCAAGAAACTGAAATAACTTGACAGATGAGGACTCGGTATTATGTCTTAGGGGAGAGGAGGAATGGACTTGAAGAGGTGGATGAGGTAGATGGCTCTTCCAACATTTGCGTCCAGTAATGCTGAACACATCACAGGGCTGGCTTTGAGTTTAGGCTCCTGTACATTATTTTGGTACAAGTCCATGCAGAAATTGAGATTGTGCTAACTCCTGTTATGTATCTATGTTGAAAGACAGAACTGTACCTGTTACAAGAACTCAGAGCAATGAAAAGAAACACAGGGTAAATGTTTCACAGAAAGATTGCCTTTAAAAAAATATATTTTTTTAAATTGGTCTTTTCAGGCTCCTTCTCCAGATATCTACAGAGGGAAATATAGGGAAGACCACCCAGATCCAGCAAGTGCGTATGCTGAAGAGGTGAAAAAAATTATTGAAGAAACACAGAAGAATGGACGCAAGGTGTGTGTCTTGTGCTCTAGAAATACTGAAGCTTAATTTATTAGGAGTAAAATGAAGGCATGAAACAGGAAACTAAGGACATGTTTCTCTACTTAGTTTCCCTTGCTTGCCTTTCATTTTCCTGTGATGTATTCTGTCTTCAAAATGTGCCATTTTTCAACCTTATCATAATTTTTCTAGGTATCAGTGAAAGGATCAATTATAAATTTCTAAATGAGGAGATACAACCAAAACAGTTTAATTCTCTATTTCATGCATTGCACCAGTAGACTGTAAATATCTTAGGGCACAGACTAGCTTTCAGGTCAGCTGAGAACACTACACAATTTCTAGCAAGGATATATCTAAAAGTACTCTATGAATGGAGAAAATATGGAGAAAAAGATAAAATCTTGATAATATATTTCTGATTCCAGTAGCTAAGATGACTTTGAAGTCATCTGAAAAAGATGAACCTTTCAATCATATACAACATGACCTTGATAAAATCAGATCCTTTCTAAACAGGTTTATTGACAACGTGTGTTAATATTTTGTGTGATGGCACAAGCGTTTAGAGATACGTAGGGCTTGATTCAAAGCCCCACATTCAGTGGAGATTGGAACAATATGTTCCCTTCTAGTCCAATGGACTTGTATCACTCTTCTTTTAATTTCTTCATCAACTTTTTAAATCCTCTACTAACGGATAGTTTTGTGTTTTTTTTTCTTCCCTTGTTTCCTTTCTTTTGCATATTTCTTAGGTTTTGGTGACATAGACCTGTGGCAGGACAAGTTGTGCTAAAGGCTAAGCCTCACATGCTATGGGAAGCTTCGTACTCTTTGGCCGTAGCATGCCTCTTCAAATATAGTGTACGGTTCTTTACACGTTACTGCTCGGCCTTGTTTCCAGGAAGACTGCACCAGCCCAGAGAGACTTCTTGATGCTCAGGGAGGGGTTCACAAGTGGTGTGGGGATGCAATCCCTTAAATAGCAGACTTATGCTGAGACTTTGGGGTAATATTGTATCTCTGCTGCATAGACATGTTGACAAGAAATGAATTTTGATGTTCCAGTGTGTCTGATCCGCTGCTCTTGCCCTTCCTGACTTGAAATAACTTTCTTTTTCATTCCTAGCAACTGGAATTATTTCACCTATAGAATTTTTCTCCTCTTATGTCAAGTGCCTCATGCTGATATTTCACTTCTTTAGTTATTTTCATTAGGCAGGGGTGCCCAAAGCATAGCCTCAGGTCATCTTACAGTTCAGCTTCTACCCAACTCTACCTGGTGTTAAAGACTGAACAATTAAGCTGATCACCTCTTACTGGAGAGTCCTGGCATTAAGCAAGTTTTATTCACCTCTTGGAGAAAATGGCAAACGCTGGTACGTCTCCTGTAAATGGAAATCTGTAAATAAATTTACAGAATTCCCAGGAGCCTGTCCGCTGACAGGAGTAAGTGTCTTCAACTTTAATGGCTGTAGGACTGGGGGTTAATGGAGGTCCTTGTATTCCCATCAGGTTACAAAGGTGGCCCTGGCTACTGCAAATTTGGGCACCCCCGATTTAAAAAAAATGAAAAAATTCTCTAGCCGTAGCTCCTCAAGAACCCTAAGATGTCGAACCCATTGTGTGATTAAATTAGGGCACACATTTAAACATTTATTTCTAGACTGATAGATGTTTGTGTAAAGGCCAGGCAGACGAACATAGCTCTTACCTCAGTTTGTTTTTTGTAGATTGCTGCTTTCATAGCCGAATCCATGCAGAGCTGTGGAGGCCAAGTAATTCCACCTGTGGGCTATTTCCAGAAAGTGGCAGAGTACGTACATCACTTTGAAAGGGCATAGCTGAAAATTAACCGGAAAAAAAAATGTTTTTCACTGTAGGCTGATCCAATCAAATCAACTATCTTCCTCTCTTGCTCTTGGTTATCTGTGGTTTCTTCCTATTTTTTGAAAAGTATGATTTCACTTCTATTTTTTATGGAACATCAGCTGACTAATTATTTTTAGCTGGATAATTGTCTTTCCTTTTCTATCTTTAATCTTCAGGCCATAAGTATGATGGAAGATGAAGTTGAACCATCAGAGAGGTAGCCCTGCAGTAAAATTACAGTACTCCTATTTTACATCAAAATACTAGACATTTTTTGTTAACATTTAGTAAACTAATATTTTTTCAATTGAAATAGCTACAACTCTGTTTGAATAAGTTTCCAATCTCTGTTGTGCACTCCAGCTCTGTTTTGTCACACTATAAGCAAAACGATTGGCTTGAATGGAGTAGCTGTGAATATCTGTCAGAAATTTGATAAATGAACTATAGGTTCATTAGGGCCTGAGTAAGAGCCAGGTCAGTGAAGGACTCAAGTTCTACTTGCAGTACTTGTAGTACTTGTAGTGCTCAAGTACTATGACAAAGGATAAACTCAAGTTGCGTCACTCAGGATTCACAGGTCTGAGTATTCCTGAAAGCAGAGTCCTGGCAGCAGTCTTTGGCATATGAGAGGAAGAACCAACCTCTTCTTAGGCAGACTGCTGGGATGTATGCCAGGGGGGTTAGCCACTTACTCTGAGCATGGTTGTTAGAGCAGCAGCACTGAAGTTCCATACCGAGTTGTGTTTCAGCAGCCACATTCCTTCTTTTTTACTGTCTAAACTGGTTTCACACTGGAGATTTTCTGTTCTACCAACATCCTTGTCCTAGATTCAAGACCAGTCAGCGAAGTTAGTCACTCAAGCTATTCTATTTGTTTCCAGGTATGTGCGTGCAGCAGGTGGTGTATTCATAGCTGATGAGGTCCAGGTTGGCTTTGGCAGAGTTGGGAAGCATTTCTGGGCTTTCCAACTGCAAGGTGAAGACTTTGTGCCTGACATTGTCACCATGGGAAAACCCATTGGCAATGGCCATCCTATGTCTTGTGTGGTTACAACAAGGGAAATTGCTGAAAGTTTTGGTGCCTCTGGCCTGGAGTATTTCAATACTGTAAGTTTGTACATGCAGGTTTGTCCTTTTGTTTGTTTGTTTACATTTAGCAGTTACCAGTTCAGGTGATTCGTAACATCTGCATCCATCACTGCATCATGTTGCTAGGAGCTCAAGTCAGTCAAAAGCTAATACCTAAGAACAAATGGAGAGGCTTTGAAATATGCTCTCTATCAGGTAGTATATCTTAAAATGGAGACCAGCATGACTCTGGCAAGTCATGCAGTTCGTCTCATAGCCATATGGATAAATATCTCCTTAGTCCTACCTCTCCCTCGCTCCCCTCCGAAATGCTGACCATGTAACACTTCATTTTCTAGGATAGGCTCAGCAATGGGTGCTGTGCAGATGAGGCTCATACCCTGGCAAACCCTGCTGTGCAGTCATCATCTAACAAAACAGTGACCCTTCACCAGGAAATATTTGAGTGGCATGCATACCACAGAGGAGCAGCTTTCTTCTTAAATCCTCTTTTCTGCTCCTGTGACTGAGACTTCTTCCCAGCTACCATGCATTCTCTTTTCTTTCAATGGGGGTTACACCCTACAGTTGAAGAAATACCAGATCTGTCACCCACTGCTCTTCACAGGAGCATTTTGCCTGCATATATAGTCTACAAACCATGAGAGCAGCTTGAACACTTGAGTTGTGAAATCTTCAAATTACTGAAACCCAAAGCTGAGGAACAGGGAGCTCCCTCCCTTGGGCTTTGCTACACTGCCCAAACCATGGGGAGCTGTGCTCCACAGCCTTCATAGCACAAAATCTTCACCTCTTTAAGTTTTCCTCACTGCATGCCAAGTAGGAGAAGACAAGCAAAAACTACCTGGATAGACATGGATGAATGTTTCTGATGGGTGCTGTTTTCCTATTGTCTTTACTATCAGTTTGGAGGCAACCCAGTGTCTTGTGCAATTGGTTTGGCTGTACTGGATGTAATAGAAAAAGAAGATCTCCAAGGAAATGCTGCACGTGTAGGAAATTATCTCCTAGAATTGCTGGCTGAACAAAAGGAGAAGCATCCCTTAGTGGGAGATATCAGGTAGGTGCCCCATGGCATTTCAGTGTTTCAGAGACAAGAAATGATGAGGGAAAAAAATAAAAAGAAAATAAAAAGAAAGTCTGGGGTGAGGGGAACCCAGAAACAGGATGCCATGATTATGTTCCACCTCTTTGAAACTGGTCTACCCAAAATTAATACTGTAAATAACATGTTTGTCAAGAAATGTTTCCATACAGCTGTTTAGCTGGGGAATAAATGTAGCTTAGAAGGGCTCTGGGAGCAAGTAGGAGAAAGATCCACCACTATGCAATAGCCCAGTTGCCAGCACACTCTTGGGATGATGGAGACAATCAAATCTCTGGACCATTTCATTTGGAGATGTTAGTGTAGGTATCCCCCATCTCATGTTAGAACCATAATAACCACTCTTAGTTTTTTGTTTTTGTTGTTTTTGTTTTTAATTCTTATTTTTGATTATCTGTCTTTCACATTACCTTGTTTTGAGGTTTACAGGATAAGAAAGCAAGAATATTGTTACCTGGCCATGTAGCCTTAGTGACCCAGTTAAATTTATTCAGAATTAGCTGTTATTTCACTTGATCATCTGAAGTAGCAAGTGCAAAAAGATAGCTAAACAGAAAGTCCCATCCCTTTCTTGTTCTTTTCTCTCTTGCTAAAGTCTACGTTTGAGCAGAAAGCTTGGATTCCTGACACTGGATTTCATTTTTCTACGTTTTATCTCTGCTCCAGGGGCGTTGGATTGTTTGTTGGAGTGGATCTGGTGAAGGACCAACAAAAGAGAACACCAGCCACAGCTGAGGCTCTTCACCTCATTTACAAGTAAACGTTTTCTAATGACTACATGCAGTGATCAAACCCTCCTAATATTCCCTAGCAGTTACTCATTAATTTCAATTAAAATTTCTGTAGCTTCTATCGACATGGTATTAGAAAAAAGAAAAATTTCATAGTTTAACTTGGCATGAAGGGTCTGACAGGGCACAATATAGTTGTATATCTGTGTTTAACACAACTGTTTCCTCTTTCCACAGGCTGAAAGAGCAGAAAATCCTCCTTAGTGCAGATGGACCACACAGAAATGTACTAAAATTTAAACCACCAATGTGTTTCACTATGGAAAATGCAAAACACGTAGTGGAGAAAATTGATGTACTTCTCACAGGTATGTATGGTTTAATGCTCACAATACTCTTTGTTGTAATGACACTTTGGAAACACCAGCCACAATACCATAATGCAGGCTATTACATGCAAGGAAAAGAAAGCAATTATGTTTCCTTCTCCTTGTTCAAGCTGCTGTTCTCAATGCCATTTACTCAAAATAAATTAAAAAGCCTCAAATATACTTCAGCCAATCTTCATAGGCAGAGTCCTGCTCACGATTCTTTCTCTCATAGGCTCAGTGTTCTTATTTATCTCTGGTCACATGTGCTATGTGTTAAGGAGCAAATAAATTAATTCACCAGTGGCCTGAAAGACACTGGTGAAACTTTCCATAGTGCTCTGTTTGTTGTTTTTCTTTTTCTAACTGGCTTCATTGAATATGATTGTCTCACTCAAATTCAGCCTGAAGGTTTTCAGACTCTATTAATCTTCTACCTGGGGATCAATTCAGGGGAAAATAACGTCAGGATATTTATCATTAATAACATATAATTAACATAAGGACTCTCCAAGGTCATTCTACATTGAATGCTCCCATCTCCTGAGGTTAGAACAACTGGAGCTAGCCTAGCACAAACCTGCAGGATTCAGCTTTGAAAGGTCTATCTATAGGGTATATAGGATCTACATACCTGTGCTCTGGCTAAGCTGCTAAGCTCATGCTATTTAAACACCCACAGTCCTGATACATTAATCATGTTTCCTTGGAAAAATGCTTTAGGAAGTATTCTTTATTTTATCAGTTACTCTCCCATGGGATAAATGCTCAGAAGAATAGTTGATTGGGTATTGTTTCCTTCAGCTAGCAGTTAAACTGACTGTACACTTACTTACACCTGGTTCTTTTTATTTTATTTTTTTTTCTTAGAAATTGAAGAGGCAACTGGAATGAAGACAGGAAACAACATATCTGCAAATGCACAATGTAAAAGAAAAGTATGATTTTGTTTTTTTCTTGTTTTTTCTTTTTCAATCTTACTCATGTAGGTGTTTGGTTGTCATGCCACCAAAAATGACACCCTCATTTTTGGTGGCATGAGAGGCTCTGTGCATTGATACTGAGCTCAGAACTAGTCTGTGGAAAGGAGCCTGAGAGGATAGTGTTACTGGGGCAAATCTAAAAAGAGCTGACCTACACAGACCTACAACAAGGAACATTTCATAGACAAGCCCATTGCCTTGTCTGCCCTATATATATGCAAATACAAGCAACCAGACCTCGGGCTGCACACAACTGTGAGCTCTTAAGCAGTCAAGAATTTCACCAGTTCTAGGTATTGAGTGCTACCAATGGATATTTGGCTTTCTAAGCAAGCCTTCAGCCTGGAAGATTTCCAATTTTTAGGGCATTCCAAGGATTTAGTTTCCACTGTAGTGGAATCTTTGAGTATGAATGGCTGACATCCAAATTTGGGATTCCTTAGGTTGCAGCACTGGCTTTGGACAAATCATATATAATTTCTCACACCCTTAAAAATACATGTCATCCACTGTGCTATAGGGAAGCTCACTGAGGCATCCCTTCACAAATTTTCCAGTGAGGCTGCAAATGGCAGAGGCAAGAGCTCAGCTGTCTAGGGAGACAATAATCAAGGCAGAGATCGTATGGATTATTGGCTATGTGGATAACAGATAAATCTAGATTTGGGGTACAAACTCTTTCATACATTTGTACACATTTGGTTCAATTTATTTCAAAGGTGAAAAGTTATGCTTCTGAAAGAAGAGAATTGGGCAGAACTTCTTAGTAGGAACCAAGTTCAATGCCCGCCTGTTGAAAGACAAGCATGAGTCTTCATTGATATTTCATTTGTGTTTCAGACTAACGAAGGGGGTTCTCAAGCAGAGTCCGCAAATGAAAGCACCAGCCATATGAATGGAGCTGCCTGCAGACAAGAAAATGGTTTTTACCCTGAAAAATGCTCGGTGCCAAGTAAAAGAATAATAACTTGAAGACGGAAAGTTTTCTTTTTCAGTTTGAATTTGTTTTCTATTTGCTTTTGAGATGAAGAGTGCAATAGTCGGAGTCCTAGGATTTGTCTGAAGCCTAGTGCTACCTTCTCTAAATTGACTAAATACCTATTAGCTTTATTAGGAGTTTAAAATACATTTTCAGATATATGAGAACTATACCATGTGGCCTGAAAGCTACATGTGACAGAATGGACAAGTGATTCATGAATATCTTGGTGCTGATTGCAGGCTTGGCATAGGTAAACAAACTCTGTGAAATCTGTGGATTTACTCGTATTACAGAGTATGAATTGCTTCACCACCATACAAGCAAATCACCAATCCTATAAAGTTTAATATGATGAACTTAACATGCTATTTTTACAATATTTTAAATTTCAATATATGATATTGAGATGTTAATTACTTTCCATGTTTTAATGGCTGAATTCACAAAACAATACTTGAGAGAAATCATTATCTTCCTGTGTATCTTAGGTCCTATGGACCATATTCCCAGCTGATATAAATTGGTGTAACTTTGTTAATGTCAGTGATGCTCTACCAAGAGTCTACCTCTGTGTGTGTAGAGGCACAACGTTCATGCAAGCCATTCTTACTTTGTGTTCAAAGAAATGAATATGGATCATAATTTTCTATTGATAAAGCAACTTTTATAGAGAACTATTTATATAGAGTAAGATTTTAGTTTTTCTTTTTTTTTTTTTTTTCAAAAGTTTATATATTGAACCCTCTAAGTCCACAAAATATGCAAGTACAGTATAGATAATTTCAGATGCACTGAAATGAGGCTCCCAGGGATAGCCCAGCTTGCATTCCCATGGATTTTAGATGTTTTGAAAGCCGTGGGAAGTACTGCCTGATCCTTCTGTAGTGGTTCTGTTACTTTTTGTCAAAGGTGATGAAGAGTTGCACGCCAGTTGCACTGGATCCTGACACATAAATGCCTATGCTAACATTTGATAGATTACTAAAACGAGAGGACCTCTGCATAAAACATGCATGGAGCCGCTTTGCAGCCACTGCCTGTCTTTGCTGGAGATATTCTAGCCTGACTTGTGCCTCCTTGTCGGTGTTAGATTTCAGGGAAAGCGCACAAGCCCTGCTTTTCTCTTTTAATATATGCACAACTCTATGCTATGGAAAACACTGAGGGCTTTACAAGTGGTATGTACTTCAGGGAAAAAAAATCTATTCAATTTTCATACCCTGAGTTCTGCTGTTTCATAATTGCTGCTGACACTGCCACCGATATTGAGCACCTTATTTAATTTCATGTTTTCCACAATTTGCTATATTAATATTGATATTTCCAATATAACTTCATCCAACATCCAATGCTGGCTTATTTTCTATTTCATGATTCTTGAATAATTCCATAAAAATAAATCTCTTATTTGTAATTATGAAATCCTCCACAAAGGGTTTTTTTTGTTGTTGTTGTTGTTTATTTCAATTTCGTTCTTCAGTAACACCCATTTGCTGAGGAAAACCACTTCAGTTTTGGCCTGGGCTTCTCTCCATGCCGAAGCAGAGCTGGCTTGGCTGTATTTCCCTGAGGCTCTGTGTGGTCCTCTGCTGTACACAGCTCTCACCCTCTGTGCTGGAGGTTATCTCAGCTGCCACAGCCCCACTGCTTGCAGGGCTGTGCTGCAAATGGGGCTGGGCCCTGCCAGGATCCATGGCAAAGGCCTCTCCACCTGCACAAAGACCCAAATCAACCTCCTTTGGAGGGGTGGTAGAGGAATTTCTTCCAACTAGATAAACCACTGACAGACTAACGTAGTACAAGTACTAACATACCAAAGGCGCATTTCCATGGCACTTTGCTCAAAATCAAGGCTGCCACTGTGCTTTCTACAGGTGCTTTGATGTCCTCCTTTAGCCACACATTGGCACTAGCAGCTCCATGGTGGCCTCACAATTAACCTACCCTTTGAAGCTGGGGAAAGCACCTTCCTTACCTGCCACTAAGAGGCCAATGCCTTTCGTTCATTGTCAGCGAATTAAACTACCTGAACGTGTTGCACCTGTCTCCCTTCAATTAAAAAAAAAAAAAAAAATCTTTCCCTTCCCACCCACTGTTCCTACCAAGGCGTGTGTCTAAAGGCACAGCTTAGGACATTCCCAGTATCAAGTGAGGGCTCCTTACATTGTACCTCACCCACAGCATGCAGAACAAGCAGCATGCTCTTCCCAGCGACTGGGAGGGTTACGCTGAAAAGAACACAGCCCAACAGCCTTATGGCAGGTCATTAATATCTAATTTCTAAAAACATGATGAAGAACTAGAAAAATATCCAATTAATCTAAATTTGGAGGGAAATAAAGGTCGCAGCTTCATAAGCACAAGGAGCCTGGGCCGCTACCTGTGTCTTGTTTCTGCACATGCTACAATTACACAGAGAAACAATTGCTCCAGTTGGATAGTGTTTTACATCCAGTTTCAGCTTCATAAAGCAGGAAGTTCTCTACCTATCTGTTCTGCTAATGGTAGCTAATCGTGCAAGGTACAAGTTACTGAGAGCAGATGAATCTTCTATTTTCTTTAAACAAGAGAGGCAAGCACTTCTCTTACACAATTTTATATGAATTTATGAACCAATCCACCAGTTAACAGCAGTTGAGCTGCTCTTACAAAAATCACTATTACTGTATTTTTGTTAATGTTTTTGCAGTGTCTTAGAGTCCCCCAACAAGATTATGCACAACCCCTGCTGTGAAGGGTTTACTAATTAGAAGAAACTGGCTAAAGGATGAAAGAGAGTAAGCAGAAATAATTAAGGCCAGACACGAACAGTTGTTCTGGTCAGTTGAACTGATCAAATATGTGCTGTTCACTGAATAAGTAAAGTACTTCCCAACTTCTTTGTTCCCCTTTTTCCTCTCCTGTCCTGGCTGTGCAGTTCCTGGTTCTGGCCAAGTGGTTCAACCTCCACCCCAGCCCTGGAGTTCATCAGACACCCCTGTAAGCCAGTTCAATTCACTGACCTTGCAGGAAAAAAAAATATCCACCTCCCCTTTTTTTTTTCTTTTGACATCAGTTTTCTGTGAGGCCAATGAACACTCCTGGAGGGAGTCTGAGCCTGTGCAAGACAAGCAGCAGGAAGAAGAGGCAGTGGGGTGAGGGAAAGGCAGGACTCCTTCCCAAGTGGGGAACACACTGGAACTACTTTTATCTTTATTGCAGCTCATAATCATAGTTTACCACTATTTCAATCACTTTTACATTGCACTTTTAGGGCTTTTAGAGAAAAAAGGCTGTTCAGAACAAGGGAAAAGAAAGGACAGTGCTTTCTGCAGATTCTGATGAAAGAGCACTGTGAGAGTCTGAACCAGGCACCTGTTAATTCCCCTACATAAAAGCAAGCAGGATTGAACCTTTGCAGAGTTGGAAAGCTGTGCCTTAGAAGGCACTGTTCTGGGGAGAAGAAACAGGATCAAAAGTTGCTATGTCAACATAACATCCCTGACCTGCCAGGGAATCAGAGCATGTCCACATCTGGGGAGTATGCCTCAGCCCTAGCTCCATTAAACACTGCAATAGAAATGAAGGGACTAGAAGAATTATTGAGAAAAATCGGGTTTGTCTTGTTTACAGAAAAAGGAAAAAAAATGTCAAGTGTACCAACAAGAAATCTGGATCACAGCAATCTGATCAGTTTTGTGGTTACAGTCTGAAGGAGGGGATGATGTGGGAGACCCAAAGGCCCGGATAGATGCAAATGGCTGGTTTCATTCAGAATCCCTTCATGCCCATTTCTCCACATCACACATGCACATGCAGGAGTGTTACATTTTTTCCAATGGTTTCTAGAAGTATGGTTGTTGTTTTTTTTCAGACATGCATAAAATACATTTACAATCTTCAGAGGTGTAAACTTGGTGGATGCTAACTAGCAGGCAGCCCCCAACGCACCATATTCCAGAGGGGAAAAGCCCCCCACATACCCACATCCCCAGAAAAAGCAAGCTCTGATGTTATCTGGTTAAAAAAAAAAAAAAAAAAAAAAAAAGAGAGAGAGAGAGAGAGAGATGAACAACGGGGACCAATGGACAAACCTCAAACATTTATTTTACATGTATATGGTTACAACATGCAGTGTATTTTTCTAAAAAGGAAAAAGAAAAAAAAAGAGAGAGAGAGAAAATTAAAAAAAAAAAAAGAGAGAGAGAAAAGAAAAAAGAAGAAAAAAGAAGAAAAAAGAAAACGGAAAAAAAAAAAAAAAAAGAAGAATATTATGAATGGAGACAAAATTTCAATTTTAAAGCAGCAGAATAGGACACCCTCATCTCAAACCACATTTTTTCAGCAACAATGTGTAAAAACTAGAGCCTAGAAGCAGAAGTCAAAAACACCTTTCATAAAAATATTTCTGTCAGTGGAGAAAGCTGATTAAATGTCTCTTGCAAAATGTGGCACAAGAATTTGTGTAGGCATCCCCTGAAGAGTAAGTGCTGCAGATACCCTAAGCTACAAGCCAAAAAGCAGAGCTGTTAGAGAAACGGCACTAGGTAATGTGCTAGAGGAGACAAGGTCAGGGACTGGGATTTCCATGAAACACTATTCATTATATTGTGTGGTTAAGTACTGTATATATGCATATAAGCATATTGTATATAAGCATGTTTGATCTGCCTTGGTTTTGGTGTTTGTTTTTTTTCCCTCCATTTAATATAATAATTTAGAAAAACAACTGACTAACGCTTGCATGCAGAGCACTTTTCTTACAGCAGCAGAAAGGTTCATTTACTCTTTCTCAGTGATGACCTTTCCAGTCTGAATCTGGCTCGTGCTGCTGCCAACCAAGCTCTGGCAGAAGGCTTATGCAAGGGAAAACAAGGCCAAATGACAGTGACAGGCTTTCCCTCTCTCTGCCACCCTGAAGCACTTGATGTTGGTGCCTAGTTCCTATGGTTCAGCTGAAAAGGCTTCAGACCCAGAATGAGAAAAGACAAACTGCATTTTTGCATTTGCCACTGACTTGCAATGTGACTGGATTTTATCACGTTGCCTCTGTAGGCTTCAGTCTCCGGAGACGCAGCATATGTTACAAAGGTCGTGAGAGAAAAGTTTACACAGAGGGACTCCTCATGCTGATATTTCATATGGAAATATTTTTGGGCTTCTGTCCTAGATAGAAAGCTTCAAAATTTTAAAGCCTTCACTGAGCTTCACAGCTCAAGGCAAATCTGTACTAAGAAAAACAGCATCCGTTCACGTACGTACATCAGGGTAAACACTGCTCCACTATCACAGGAACATATGTCCACAGCAATAAGGAATAAAAAAAAATGAAAGAAAGAAAAGGAAGGGGAATGGGAAGAGGAAGAACATAAAGAAAAGTTTTTCCATGTGGCTCACTAAAGGTTGCTAAGAGTCTTTTATAATCGACAAGGCAGAAAGCCTGGCAAAGACTCCTGGCTTCATATTAGCTATTGACTCATTACACAGCTCAGCAAGTGACTTAGCGTCTTTATGTCTCTGTTTGCTCTCACCTATGAAAACAGCTCTAATAATCTTTGTTATGGTTTGTAAAGGCTAATCACCTTATCGGGCACAATCCCTAATTACATAGGACGGCAAGTCACAAAGTACAGTTAGTTCAATTTACTTATTTGCAGTTACTTCCGTTTATTCCCCACTTGAACATGGTTTTGTCAAAGAAATAAAGCCCTACTATGTGTAGTACAAAGTCATGGACTGGTTACACTAAATATCATGAAGCAGTGAATAGACACAACTACTGAACAACGGGGAAGCAAGCAGTCTGGTTTGCGACTCCCAGGAAACTTAAAAATCTGTAAATATATTTTTCAGCTTGCTCAGAGCACTTCTCTTAAGTGAAGAGAAGGCTTCTGGTCCCAAGTCCTTTGTTTTTTCATTCTAGTCACAAAATAAGACAGGAAAGGCGTTCATCTGGAAAATCTGCTTCTAACATGCTCCAGTGGCTTGCTCTTGAGAGCAAAGTTTCTGTCCACAGTACTTCTGATCAGCTCTCAGTCACATTAACTTTACACTGCTCTCTGTTAGCCAAGACACAGATCATACAAATCATAAATAGGCTATAAAAATGGACCAGATTTTGCACAATCACCTTTGAAGAAAAACATTATAGTACAGATGAGACCTCTGAGTGTCTATGAGACAGGACCAGATTCGCAACTTGGGTCTCTGTGCAAAAATAATCACGGCATTTAATGCTTCTCTCTTAACTCACAGCCAAACGAGGACACTGTTACAGGTGGTGAAACTCCAGTGGGGGAAAAAAAAAAAAAAAAAAAGTTCCAACATCAGCTAAGTTTGACAAAAGGAAGTTTCTTCTGACATAGATATGTAAATATATGTGTGTGTATATATGTTATACATGTAGGGGTGTGGTGTGTATAGATATACATATCTTGCCCACCTTCATGC